GGGTTATTGCAGCCCACTTCGTATCATTGATTTTTGGATAAGGGGCCAAAAGTATTAATTATGTAAAATTTACCAAGCAATTTTAGGTGTTGGGCAGTGTGCCCTGGCAGCCTTTGATCCAAACATTTCGTCACTGCCCGCTGCCATATTTAGCGTCATATTCACTGTCATTGTCTTTTGCCTTTCTTTGTTTTCAGAGAGAATCCAATACGTTAAGTTATTTAACAAATTGAAAGATGATAATGTATATGGAAAATAAAGATTTTAACATTTCTTAACCTTCGTTACTTTCTCAAAGAGGATCTTTTCTAAGTTGTGAACTCAAAATTAAATCAAATCCGTTTTTTACCAGCTTGACGCGAACAAGAACGTGAATTCAGTATCTTATGGTTCTCGGAAGTTTGTAAATGCAGGAATTTGATTGGATTGTACAGCCATTAGCCATGATGTTTAAACTCTTTATGTCGAGGACTCTGATTGGTTGTATTCGCTAGCTGACAATCCAAGAAAATCGCTGCATTCGTGACGCAAAAAGGTGACTGTTAAGATAAAGTTCGTAACAGCTTGACCAGTGTGAAAACGTAAAGACGAGGCAAATGGTTTCATCATAATTTATTTCTCGGATCTGTACCTAATTTATTTCATTCTGTAAATGGGCCCATTCTGGTTACCATATGGCGAATAGGAGTCATAGTAAGCAGGTTCTGAGGGAATAGGGTAAGAGGTGTACGAGCTAGACGAAGGGTACGAAATGGGTGCAGAATAACTAGAAGGTGGAGGTGGGGGTCGGGCGTAGGATTGAGTCACAGGGGCGGAAGTGACGTATCTGTGAACCGTTCTTGTCGGCGCAGGAGCGGAAGTAACGTATTTGTGGATAATGGTCTTTGTTGGAGCTGGTGCAGCTACGGTGTGGACGGTTGAAGCCGTAGATGAAGCGACATTATGTTGCGGCATCTGCATCATCATTTTCAGAAGTGAAGCTGCGGCCATGTTTGCAGTGAACGCTGCACGATTGGCAGCTTCGATGGCATGTTCGTAGTCGCCATGATGGTGGTCGTCATAATGATGATGGTCGTCATGGTGATGATCGTCATAGTGGTGATCGTAGTTGCTGTTGTAACCTGTAATGTCAGATGAAACATTCTGAGAAATGAACAACTAAAACTTCAAAATGTATACGTAGAAACAACAAATCTTAAAGGGCTCTTGTCATAGGTCAATAACTTTGTCCAAATGTCTCGTTTTTGAAAAAATGGGACAATGCATTCATACCATTATCTCATTGTCACCTTAGTTCCAACTTCAAATCAAAGTTCATCAGCTTACAATGTTACACTGACCAACATAATATCTTCACAATGGCAATCCAATAAATAAAAAATGCGTCTTATACCTTGACTGCAATAATCACCTTTCTTGTATCACGAAAATTTGTGATTTGATTGGATTGTACGCTAACGAATACAGCCAATCAGAATCCAGAGCCCTCAACAAAACGTCGGCAAACAAAAAGCCATAATGTCAACAATCTTTTAACAATCAAGATTGGCTGTATTCTCTAGCCTACAATCCAATCAAATTACTGCTTTCCGTATGACAAGAACGATGGTCATTGCAGTCAAATTGACGTAGAAGTTCTTACCATTGTAGTTATTGTATCCGCCATTGCTGTAGCCCCCATTGTTGTTGTATCCGCCATTGGTATTGAAGCCACCGTTGTATCCGCCATTGTTGTATCCGCCGTTGTTGTATCCGCCGTTGTTATTGTATCCACCATTGTATCCGCCATTGTTGTATCCGTTGTCGTAACCTCCATTGCCACCATTGTATCCGCCATTGTATCCCGTGTTTCCACCAGGAAAGCCTCCGTTGTAAGTATTGTCTATGAACCCCCCATTGTTTGAGCCACCATTATAAGTTGTAGGTGGGTTGTTGATTGGTGATGTTTGTCCGTAAACAGCTACCAAACACACAGCTAATACTGTTAATTGTCTCATTTCGTTATCTGCAATTTACGAAACCGACAATCAATTTTATTCTGTCCAAAGCGAACAATGACAATAGCAAAAGCTATGGTAAGAGTTAACTTTGTTGTAGAGGGCATAGACGGTAAATCAGATTTCAAACCGACTTGTTCATCAAACACTTAGTTTTAGTGGAATTGCAGGAGCAGCAGAAGCCTGATTGAAAATTGTAATAGTGCAAACACCTTTAATACTCGGAATTAACAACTTTAGAAAGTCTTACCTGTACCTTCTTCAGACGTTGTGGACGAAGAGCTGACTCTGTACAGGAAGCGAGACGAGGAGATCAGACTAACAACAGCTGTCCTGGTCTAATTAGTTAATTAGGACTCTCATTATTAAGCGGCTTCGTATGATGTCACATATTGTTTATTCAGATTTGTCAATATTTGAACAACTTTTCAGAATATCTTAGAAAATTTCGAGAAATTTGACCCTACCCATTCCTCGAACGTGATATATCGATGAGATTTTATATTAATTTTAGATAATCAAAGGAGATATCGGATCGGTTAAAGAGTTACGTTGACTGGCTTCCCACTGAAGTAGAGAAGAAGAAACCCCAGCCAAGGAAAAAGAAATGGCTTGGAAGTGACGATCGGGACAGGGAAAAACAGAGTAAGGGGGCGTAAGGGACAGGGAGATCAGATTGTTAGGGAACGAACGAGACGGAGAGTGCAGATAGTTAGGAAGGGACGAACGAAACAGGGGCAAGAAGTCACTGGGAAAAACAGAGAGGATGGGGGTGAACTAGACAGGAAAAGCAGAGAGGTAGGGGGCGAACGGGGAGAGTACAGCAAGGGAAGCAGAGATTAAGGGGTGAACGATACTGGGAGAGTAGGGAGTAGCTAGGTAGCAAAATCAGAGAGTAAGGGGACGAACAGTAATGGGGGAGAGGCAAAGGAGGAGTTGATGTTGCGGGGGTTGTTTTGAAAAAAGAAAGTGAGGATTATTATGGGACTCCAGATGGAGTATTGGGTGGATAGTTTCCCAGGAGGGGAGGGCGCGGACATAGAGGGCTCTATGGGGTATTCTCTTATATTGAGAGGTACTCATTTTACGAATTACAGTACTCCGAATACTTATCATGGGTTACTGTTCTCCAACTCTCCAACCGTTTAGGTATTAAAATAACTAAGCAGAATTTATGAAATTTTCAGTGGTAGTAGACTCCAAAACAATCTAAACAATGACGTCTCAAATATAACAATAATATTAATCATAGAATGATCATTTTGAAATATAAGATACAATGGCTCGAGGGGCGTATCCAAAAGGGAGAGAGAAGGGGCAATTGAGAGGTCATTGAGGTCGGGGGTCTGCCAGGCTTACAGTCCTATTTATCATAATGGACTCCCGTTCATTTAACCCGATATCATAAGACGAACGATCGATATATAATATAAGTTATATATAATATACGTTTTATTGTCAATAAATACAATTCATCTTCAACTGCAAGAACCTTTGACGTCGCCCTAATGGCTTATCTGAAAAAAAAAAATTAGAAAATCTTAGAATAAACGATAGAGTGTAAAACATTTACATACAATTCAACTTATCCACACTTACTCACCAGATATTACGATAGCTCGTCCATTCAATTCATTATGCAAATATGTATATATTATAGAATTTAGAAATAATCTTTTTAGACAGTGATTCGGGCTTATTGTTTATATATTTGTGGTCTGAATCAAGATAGATACTGAGCTATTGCCCTTGCTGCCTTTTTGTCGCTTGCATGTACACGTTTATTTTTACCTATGCTGCTGTTCTGAATAAACTCAAACCCAATTATTTGCCATGATGCAAATGCTAAGCCGAAGGAATCGTACCTTTTGAAGAGGCCTCCAAAACCGCTGCCATATCCACCAAATCCATTGAAGATACTTCCTAAGCCTCCCAAGCTTCCGAAGTTTCCAAAACCGCCCATATTGCCTCCGTATCCACCTCCACCAAGAGAGCTTAACAAGATGCTCAGGATTTGGCTTGTGGCCAAGTTTGATGACGAAGAAGAATGATCACCATGGTAATGACTGTCGTGGTAGTGACTGTTGCTATGGTGATAATCATCATGGTGATAGTCACCATGACCGTAGCTGTCACCATGACCACAGTTGGCTCCATGGCAACTACCGTAGTAACCATTGTTGTTGCTGCCATGGTTATCGTAACCATTGGAATTGTAACCATTATTGTAACCCGTAGTACCATGATAGGCTCCATCGGCACCTGAAGAAAATGAAATGTAATGAAATTACGTCCCCCTTTTCCGCATCTGTCTTTTAACATGAAGTTTTGGTAATGTCATGCAGTGACAAATGGGGAAATGTTTATCAGGAAATGGTAAAAGAGTCATTAGGCAGCTCGGGGGACGAAAACAAAACAAATGTAGATGACCTTCAACTTTTCAAAAATACCTGTGATGGTTTGGCCGCCATTGTTCCAAGTATTATCATAGCCATTATATCCGCCATTGTTGTTGTAGTCGTTACGGTAACCATCGTAACCTACATTGTTGTTGTTCCAATTGTTGAGGGCACCACCACCGGCTGCTGTTGGTGATGTTTGGCTGTAAACACAACCAACTACTACTGCTAATATAACCAAATACTTCATCATTCAAAGACTGAAAACGAAAACAACATTTTAGTAAAGATGACCAATCAGGCAGTGGATATGAAAGGGTGTAATAAAGTTAACTTTGAATTTTTCAATTTTAAACCTACTAAACCTTATTCAACAAAGTCTGCAAATCTTATTCTGAAGATTTCATACAGCTAAGTCAGTTACTTACCTTGAGTTGACCAGTACCTCAGCTCTCCAGTGGATAAAATGACAGTGAACTTTCACAGAGCTTCCATCAACAGCTGTTCATTAGATTGAGTATCGTCATCAACCTCATTAGCGTCTTCAAGTATTCCCCGACCACCTGGACCCCTCAGTGATCCGTCCATCAGAACGGATGTCACGTTCAAATCATCTGCCGGAAGTTGTAAAACAAACATTGCCTTAAATCTTAAAATCATTAACTAACTAAGGTCGTAGATCTAGGTCAACTCAGAATTTAGGTCAGATAAAAGTTTTAATTGGTCTCGAAGGAAGATTACTTTCATTTTCGTTGGAAACAGACGCAGTGTTTGGTAGCTCTGGTAAGCGATTCGCCTTTCTTCTCTGATCTTCAATTTTTAAACTTCTAAAAGATCTGCTTTAATGGATCAATAATAGCATGTTTTGTGGTCGACATCCCGACCTAACGTTTTTAAATTATTAATCGTTAATTAGGCATAGACATATTTAGTGCAAAATTCTTTTCTGAAATGCGTGGATACTGGTGGTCACTGACATCCAGACTTCTCTTGTCTTTGACGCACCTTCGTCGTAGCTGTTTGGACTGGATGACAGAGGCTTGGAAGCTAGTTAGTATCTTTTGTTTGGCATTAGAATCGGATGAGGTCAGATTCTTCGGCCATTCATTGTACGTTTTGACTTCAATTTCAGTGGCAAGCCAAGAAAATGAATACCCTGTCGATCGTTTGTTTTGCTGTAGCAGTTTCATCTGCTTTGGGACAGTTTGGTCTCGGCGGTTATAGTCCATTACTTAGTGCTTTGGGCGGAGGTGACGTCCATCACGTTGTCCACCATCACGTCAGTGACGACGATCATCACGGAAGTTACGACGATCACCATCACGATTACCATCACAACAACAACCGTCAGACGTATGCCGATTACTACAACGGAAACGACAATTACGACGGTTTGAATTACAACAACAACTACAATAACAACGGTGGTACTGGTACCAACAATAACGGTTTTTACACCAACGGTAACACAAACGGACAGTACAACAACTATGACCATTACTCGTACGAAGACAACTACAACCATCGTGATTACAACGATCATCACGATCATCACGATGACGATTACCATCATCACGAAGACGACACTAACAACAACTTGGCAGCTCTTCTATTACTTCATACCTTAGCTAGACCACAACCAGTAGTTGCTGCTGTTCCGACACCGGTTGCTGCCCCGGTCACTCACACCGTCGCCGCTGCACCTACAGTCCACACTACCACTCATACTTACGCCGCACCAGTTACATCAGTCGCCCCAATGACCACTGGTCTTGGGCTTGGTGGAGGACTCAATGGTTTTGGTGGATTCGGAGGCTTCGGAAGCTCTCTCGGTGGTTTGGAATCCGGATGGGGAAATCTTGGTAGTATGGGTGGCTATTTCAAGAAATAAATGCCCAAGAGGGCTTGTGATTTTATTTAAATAAAGGATGAATTAACTTAAAATATGTTTGTTTTTTTATATGAAAAATCTTCAATCTTCCTTGAAGCAACATGGTATTAAAGGTGTACTACCGCCTAGAATGAGCCCCAAAAAAAATAATTCTCTAACTTGGCTTATAACATTAGCGTACAAAAGAGGTAGAATGCCTTTAAGAATTACAAATACAAAACTCCACCACACCTGTGGGCAATATTCTGCATTCGTCAGCATGAAGTACGTGATCGAAACCCCCTGACCCACTTAGCATGGATGCATTGGTATGGGAAGTCAAGGTTTGGAGCTGAAATCTTTCAATAGTGGCTCGGCAGGTCAATTGTGACATATCATCACATGTACCTTTAGATCGACAAAACCTAGCCCTACCCGTTCCTAGAACGTGCTATACAGATATACGTTTAGGGCCAGACATAAAAGGACACCTTTGATGGGAGTTGCTCCGACCAATTTTTTGCTCATCTTAACAGCCACATTTCGCATCGATTTGGATATCTGTACAAAGCCGAACCATTAATGAGTCCATCAAGACATTACCAGATATTCTAGAATGCCCATAGGACCCACACGGTACCACAAAACACTCGAGGAGTAGGATTTTCCCTTTTGGTATTGCAGTACTGTCCCTTTTTAAGTGCTCCGAAAAGACGGACATAACAATACAAGAAAGAGCGTTGGTTATTTCACCCACGGTACAATTGTCAAATTGAAATTTCAAAGCTAGAATGACAGAACCTTGGGGTTCTTTGAATAGCCCATTTGTAGACTCAGTACATATCTAACATTTTGGTGTATAACTCCCTTTGGAATTTTTCTGGGAGCGTACCTAGTTTTTGCTGTTACTCTGACACAATGCCCTTTCCCGCCATCTATACGAGAAGCCATTAAGAGAGGACAATAAAGTCCAGCTGAAGATTAAGAAGCTATCTCAGCTAATCAGTAGCCTAATGAGGACCATCTTTGTTTGCATATCATCAACAACAACCACAGCTGATGAGAACGTGACCCAATTAAGATCCAGAATACACGTGTTCCGCCAGAAGACGTCAGAAGCTACGACAATGTGATCGAGAACTTTCTTCCCTATAATTTTCTGACCTAGTGATCTGTTTCCTTGTTGACTTTCTGTTTAGACCGCGGAATTGTCACATTCTCTTACAGGCTTCAAAACAGTAAGTTACTTTCAATTTCATATCCACCATTGCTCGACGGGAGCCCATTTCGAGGATTTCCTTGGCTGCATAAGGTAGAACTCAACCGCCCATTGGTTGTTGGATTTTAAAAAAAATGAACATCTTGGCAATCTGAAGCAAGCTAGAAACTGTTGCTCATTTTTTGCGAATGGTTTTTGGCATCGATCACTTCCAAATATTCCCCCCTTTATTTCAGTCATTTTGTTGGTAATGGATGTAAATATGAGCAGCTAACCATACTGTTCTAAAGAGTTGACATACTCCAGAGCGCAGAGTCATTTGTGACTTCAATTCTGTTTTTAGTCTAAATCGCAACTTAGATCGAAACTTACTGACTGTGTGCTTTGAATGAAACATGATACATTACTTCATGTCTCCCTGAACATTCACATCCATGTTCCCTAATTGAATATAATGTTCTAGATTCGTTTTCCTTTTTCTTTTAGAGCTGCGAGATGAAGGCATTGTGTCTACTTGTATTAGGATACTGCGCGGCATCCGTTAATGCCCAATTCCGACCAATAGGTGGTGCACCAGTGCCATACGGTGGAGCTCCAATTCAGTACGGTGGCGCTCCAATTCAATATGGTGGCGCACCTGTTCAATATGGAGGCACACGAGTACCATACGGAGGCCAAGTTTATGGTGGTCAACAGGTTATTGGTGGACAAACACTAGGAGGGCGACTTCCTATTGGTGGACAAACGATCGTTCGACAACCGCTTATCCAACAGCAAGCACCGATCATCAGACAACCACTTCCTGTTATCCAGCAGCAGCGTCCTATTGTCCAACAGCCAGTACGCTTCCCCATTCCTTCACCTGTTTCACAACCTATTCCAGCACCTCTTCCTATCGTAGCCCCACAGCCACAACCAATCCCACGACCAGTTCAACAACCACAACCTATCCCGCAACCAGTACCACAACCTATTCCAACTCCGGCGCCAACTCCAGTTCCAACTCCGGCCCCGCTTCCAGCCCCAACTCCAGCTCCGGCTCCCGCTCCAGCACCGTTACCACCAATCCAAACTCCTCCTCCACCACCACCACCGCCACCCCAGCCGTTTATCCAACAACAGCCACAGATCTACGAGCCACTTCCACCAGCACCACAACCACAAATCATCTACGAACAGCTTCCACCACCCCCACCAGAGGTTATCTACCAACAAGCCCCACCTCCACCTCCACAAGTGATCTATCAAGAAGCACCACCGCAACAGCAACAAGTCATTGAGATCCACGAAGTTCAAGAACAAGCACCTGCTCCTCAAGTGATCGAGCATGTCGTTCACGAACAACCACAAGTCCAACAACGGATGATTGAAGCAGCGCCGCAACAAGTCGTCCAGCACGTCGTTAGACATGTCGTCCAGCACGTTGTTCCCCACGTAGTTCGCGAACAGCCAGTTACCCATGTACGACAGACGCATCACGTGGTGCAACCAGTTCAACAAGTCGCTGCTGTCACTCCTATGATATCAATGCCTATGATGAGAACCTTTGGAGGTCTTGGAGGTCTCGGGGGATTTGGAGGCCTTGGTGGACTGGGTGGACTTGGCGGATTCGGTGGAATGAGTGGTCTCGGTAGAATGAGTAGTCTGAACAGAATCGGAGGTTTGGCTGGCTTACTGGGAGGTTTCGGACACCACCACCATCATCACGACCATCACGATTATTATTAGAGTAGGTATTTAATCATCTAAAATATTCCAAAGTGTTCTATTTGATTACATTTGATTCAGAAGACGATTTTTCAAAGTAACAATGTTCACTCAAGATATAGTTGTCATTTGAAATTGATATTGAAACTGAATTATTGAACCATTACAACATATTCAATTAATATTGTTCTCCTTTATTTTCAGCTATATGGTAAATTGTCATAATAAAGCTTATAAGCAAACATGTTTGTCAATTATTTCCAAAAACATCTATGGGATATTCACCATACTATGTTACGGTAGATAGGGAGGGGGGCGGATTGAGGAATAGTCTGAGTTAGCTTCATGTGAAATGCCAATCTCCAATCTCTTAACAATAGAAGGTCTTGCTCACTGGTCGCCGCTATCTGAACTGACGGAGTCTTGAATGCAGGAGTTGCTCCCCTTATTTCATTTTCATTGTTCTTCCGTAAAAAATATCTATAAAAAAAGTCCTAGCTGTTTATAAGAATACGTTCCTCGGGTTTTTATGATATTCAAACCCTTTCCATCAGAAAATCCCTCGAGATGGGGGTTTATAATCTCTAATCAACTCATAGTTCTCAACAATTGAGGTGTTAAAGTTCGTTCGTGTTTAAAATAAGACCCAACAGATCAGGCACTATTAATCGACCACTCCTTCGTTACCGCGATCAAAACGCCCCATTATAACCGAAGCCAAATGGATTCGAACATAGTTAAGTCTTAACTTTCAACAATAGCTGAGAAAATATCGTTTTTCGCACAAATGAAAATGAAGTGGGGACAATTGGGGTGCAAACCACTTTTCTAGGGGGGCAAATCCCCAGCCCCCCCCCACCCCACCCCCTGTACCCCCACAGGAACCGCCACTGGTCGTCAATGTAACGTTCAGATGTGGATAACTATGTGCACACATGGCTAAGACGACTAACATTTCGACGATGAGCTGCGAAGATTGATAACTGATTAGCTTGGCTAAAAATAATGAAGCACCATTGATCAAAAGGACGGTGAAAGTGTCCCTTCAAGGAAAAAGCCTGAAAGAACATAGCACAGTGAAAATATACGAAACGAAAACTCTAGAACTGTATCTAAAAGTACTGATGAGGCAGTGGAAAGAGACAGCTGACCCGAGGATCATTAAGATCTTAGACGTGATGATCTGAGCTTGTTCAAATAGGCCACCATCTGTTCCTATAGTTAATTAGAGAAGACGACTCTCATTAATTGGGTTCGGCTGAACTCTGCTCTGTTTTCTTCACCAGTCATGGCTTGGTTTCACTTTAGCTCGACAGTTCTTCCTCCTGTTGATGCTGTTACTTGAACTAGCAGGTTAGTTGATCTAGTTGTCTCTATTTGGGAGTGGGTTGGGGTGGAGATGCATCTCTTCAAATACTATGTTTCATAAACTAGCGACAACGGAACGGCAATCGTAAAGTCAACAGTTCCGCACACTCGTGAACGATTCCGTGTTTTGTTTCGAGTAACATCCACACAAATGGTATTCCATGGTAGTTCTCTAAGGTGCACATCTGCCCCACGCCATTTATGTTGTCAATATTTAAGAAAATGGTTTAACATGATGCATACCTTACCATTTTCAGAATGAAGTTATCTATATTGCTTCTGGTATTGCCTTTGGCGATATCATGTGTTTCGGCACATCTAGAGATCAACGGTCTCGGCCTACTCGCTGGATTAATGTCCAGATCCATCACCAGAAGACGACCAGTGATTATGGTCCGTGTTCCGGTCCCAACTCAACCACAAGTCACTCAAGTTCAGCAACCAGTGGTTCATGACAGACAGACACTCGTTGTTCCTAAAGCGGTTCCGGTACCACAACCATTTCCGGTTACCAGACGAGTTCCGGTTCCGGTGCCAGTTCGAATACCAGAGCCTAAACCAGTTCCCGTTCCTGTTCCTGTCCCAGTCCCAGTGCAAGTGAGGACAGTCCCAGTTGTCTCAACTCATACTCATGAATATGCTCTTGGTGGTGATGACTATTCGCCACTGGGTTACGGCAATGACTATTCGCCACTCGATTACGGTGAAGACTATTCGATGGGTGGTTATGGCGATGGCTATGGCTATTCGACAAGTGGTTACGGCGACGGCTATTCGCCACTTGTTTACGGCGATGGCTATTCGACAAGTGGTTACGGAGATGGCTATTCGACAAGTGGTTACGGCGATGGCTATTTGACAAGGGGGTACGGTGATAGCTATTCAGCAGGTGATGGCTACTATGATAGCGGTTATAATGATTATGGCGTATCTAGTGGAGTGTCCACTGGGTATGACTTTAATGGAGGAGTTAATGCCCTTGGTTCGTATTCCAGCTCTGCGACAGGCTACGGTGGGTATGGGAATACATATGGTGGTGTCCAAGGGTACTATTGAGTTACTTTAAAGAACTTGAACATCCAATAAAAACGTTATTTCTGTTGGAACCTGAGTCGTCTTTTTACGGATGTCAAATTCAGCAAGGCACTCCTCCAGTAAATGCTTTTGCTATGATTTGTTAAAATCTCCCGAAACCAAACCATAAACAGACATTTTTAAGGTTTTACAATTTATTTCAAATTCTCTGTCGTTAGCCTGAAATGAAGGAAACAAATATACGAACATATTATGGGTTACAGTATAAAACTGAATATTGTTGGGTGTGGTCTAAGGTGTGAACACGATAGTTTATTCGGGAATCATTTTCTGCCCGAACAGTGGCGGAGCCAAAGTAGGGGCAGAGGGGTAACCCGCCACCATCAAGTTTTAAAGAATAAGGTCCCAGTTAGAAAGAAAAAAAAAACGAAGAGCTAACCTCTGTAGTTGTTCATTTATTTAGAACTTGATCCACTGCTACTACTAGAGCTGCTACTACTACTACTACTACTTCCGCTTCCGCCGTCGTTATTTCCGCCATATCCAGGATTGTAACCTGAGTAACTTGGCTGGATTCGATTCATGTCCCTCGGTGGAAACTTTGGTGAATTGACGTATACAGCTTGTACAGTAGTAAGGCAGGCGATACACAACAAAGCAACGATAATAACCTTCATCATTTTGATTTTCTCTGAAACGAAATTGGACTTAAACATTAATATGGCTGATCCCGAACTATCTAAATATTGACTATGAATTGTGGGGTAGCGAAACTCAAAGCAGTCATATTTGAAAATATCTCATTAAAATTAGACCCAACTTTCGTTTCGTTTTTTTTTTAGTAGTTTTTTTTTTAGTATAGAAACTTCACGGTAAAGTGGCTACACAAAGAAAACGAAACGAAAGCAAAAGAGCTGCATCATAGTTTTGCTAAATGTTTCTGGAATTGCAGGAACTACACACCTCCGACGGAAATGGTGTTCAAGGTCATACATGTCCCCGAGACACATAAATAATCCATACAACCCCTTTTCAATCTCCGAAATTGACGGTTGACACAAAGTCCACAACATTCAGCCAACAATGCTTCAAAAAACCACAAGGATGGGCCAATGACAGAAGCGAGTATCGGCCCATCTTTGATAATCCAATCCTTTACTGTGTACAGTAGCCCTCAAGCTACATTGAAAAGACTTATTGCAATCCACAGACAGTTGGAGCGGTCTAGAAATGACCCTCAGAAACCAAACTATAACACCCTCCACAACGGTTACTTTCATACCTGAATCTCTGTATCCAAGTTTCTGATAGAGTGCAGATCAGCTATTTTGATCTATATTTATAGAAGTTTAATCAAAAAATTTCAGATGCACATTTTTATGCACCTGTATAAAGCATTGAACAGAAATTGTTGACACACAATTAGCCCAAAATAATTCTGCATAACGCTAGTATGTTATATTTGTATAGTTGATAGTATGTATTAAAGTTAACGTCAGAGCAACATCAATGTTAGGTAGAGTATAGCTAAGATAAAGAATAGCACAGCAATATGCTTGGCATAGCACAGCCATAGAATAACGTTACATAATATAACATATTCAAACATAATAAAAAAGATAACATTGTGTAACTTAATGAAACATAACATAGCGTAGATCAACATAACATAGCGAAGATCAATATATAATAACATAGGATAACATAGCGTAACATAAGATAACATAGCGTAGCATAAGATAACATAGCGTCAACATAAGATAACATAGCGTAATATAAGATAACATAGCGTAATATAAGATAACATAACGGTATATAAGATAACATAGTGTAATATAAGATAAAATAGCGTAGCATAAGATAACATAGCGTAACATACGGTAACATAGCGGTATATAAGATAACATAGTGTAATATAAGATAACATCGCGTAATATAAGATAACATAGCGTAACATAAGATAACGTCGCGTAATATAAGATAACATAACGTAACATAAGATAACATAGCGTAACAAAAGATGACGTAGCGTAGCATAAGATAACATAGCGGTATATAACATAACTCGGCGTAAAAATTATATTTGTCTTGCCCCTGCCCCTTTCCCCCACCCCATTGCAGGCTCCGCAATGAACAGAGGTCAAGGTCAAATTCATTACTGTGAAATCACGAAACTGTACTTTTATGTTCACCTTAACTAATTATGACCACGTAGCTGGTTCCCACAGGAACATTAGGTGACAATAGTATGATTTTTCAAAATGACGCAATGAATTTGACGATTGACCTTACTTATTGATTATAAAAGGCAAAAAAAAAATTTAGTTTTTAAGTTAATTCTTCAGGACGAGAGGTAAGAGCTTCTGAAAAAATTGTAGTAAATTTCTTTATGGTACATTCGAATGAGCCACGACACAAGGGCAGTTACCCATGCAGACTTACATTTTTGATGCAAAGGGCTGCATAGTGGATATTTACAGTGTCAAATTTAAAAGTTTTACAATCGTTCAAAATGAAAAATAGGTAATTTAACTGAATTGTTGATTGCTACAGCCATACGCCTGAGACCAAGTTGCTGAGAGACGTTTAACGACATATTAAGACCCTAGTTGTTCACCCAGAAAACAGACGATCATTGGTCTCTACAGTCGAATCAATTGCTCTTATTGAATATTTCAGAATAATCTTCAAGATGTTTAAGCTAGCATTGCTTGTAGCTATTATCGCTTATGCTTACTCGCAAGGGTTCAATGATTATGGCAATACCCTAAATCAGCAGAACGCTCTGGCCTACGGTGGCGGTTACAACGGCGGCTACGGTGGTTACAATGGCGGTCACGGAAGCGGACACGGCAGTGGGCACAGTCACGGCAGTCACTCCAAGAAACACAAGAAAGGTCATTCGGGAAGTCATTCAAAAGGTCATTCCGGAGGTCATTCTGGTGGAAATTACGGCGGTTACGGTGGCTACAACGGCGGATACCCCGCACCTTACGGAGGTAACCAAAACAGAGGATACTACTACGATCCCTATGCAGCTGGAGGTTACGGCTACGGCGGAAATGGATATGGATTTGGTGGAAGTTACGGAAGCCATGGAAGTCATAGCAAAAAACACGGACACGGAAGTCACAGCAAGAAGCACGGAGGTCACAGCAAGAAACACGGGAGTCACAGCAGAAAACACAGTCATAGTGGTGGCCATAGTGGAAGCGGCAGCTACGGCGGATACGGTGGATACGGCTACGATGCTTACGGAAATCCAATCGGATACGGAGGAAATGCCGGGTATTACGGTGGAAATGGTGGAGCTCAATACGACGCATACGGAAATCCCATCAACAACAATTACAATGGGGGAAACGTCCAATATGACGCATATGGAAATCCCATTTACAACAATTTCAATGGAGGAAATACCGGATCAAACGTCCAATATGACGCAAACGGAAATCCCATTAACAACAATTTCAATGGAGGAAATACCGGATCAAACGTCCAATACGACGCAAACGGAAATCCTATTAACAACAATTTCAATGGAGGAAATACCGGATCAAACGTCCAATACGACGCAAACGGAAATCCCATTTACAACAATTTCAATGGAGGAAATACCGGATCAAACGTCCAATATGACGCAAATGGAAATCCCATTAACAACAATTTCAATGGAGGAAATACCGGATCAAACGTCCAATATGACGCAAACGGAAATCCCATTAACAATAATAACGGAGGATTTCCATAGAAAGAAATAAAATTTGATTAAAATACTGTATTTTTCTTTACATTAGTGCCAGAATTGATAATGATCATACAGTGAGTCAAAATCTAATTATGACTCATTTTCAAAAAGCTAACTGCTGTTAACATCCGACCTTGTTACCAGAACCAGTTAGTTTTATATAAGAACCATACGTAGTTTCATATGACTTGGCTCCTGGTACTCAGTAGACTAACATGGCTTCTGGTACTAAGTAGACTGACATGGCTCGTGGTACTGAGTAAACTAACATGGCTCCTGGTACTAAATAGACTAATATGGCTCCTGATACTGAGTAGAGTGACATGGCTCGTGGTACTAAGTAGACTAACATGGCTCGTGGTACTGAGTAGACTGACATGGCTCGTGGTACTGAGTAGACTGACATGGCTTGTGGTACTAAGTAGACTAACATGGCTCGTGGTACTAAGTAGACTAACATGGCTCCTGGTACCAAATAGAATAACGTGGCTCCGGGTACTAAGTATACTGACACGGATCCTTATACTGAGTCGACTAACATGGCTCCTATGGTACTAAATAGACTAACATGGCTCCTGGTATTAAGGGGACTAACATGGTTCCTGGTACAGAGTTGACTAACATGGCTCCTGGTACAGAGTAAACTAACATGGCTTCTGGTACTAAATAGACTAACATGGCTCTTGATCCTGAATCAAGTGATATGACATGACTCTTGGTACTCTTGGTACTGAGTATACTGACATGGATCCTTGTACAAGGTCGACTGACATAGAACATCATACTGAGCCAAATAACATGGCTCCCAATTACGTTCAATTTCTTCACACCAAATTTTGCATAATATTTCTCCACTGCCGTAAGCATCTGAACCCAAGTTATGAAAATGAAGGTTAATTTCTTGGAAGGCCATTTTTGACCCATTATCACTTTAGTCTCACAAACTGTAATTTTCACAGTTCACAGTTGAAATTTGAGCATTCAAATCCGTGTGTCTCCAGAATTATCTGCGTTTGAATTTTAAAATGACGACTCGTCAATTTAAGATACTCTGTGATATAGAAAAGACATATATAGAAATAGTGAGTAAAATTCCTAGTTTGAAGTATTTTTAAAGGAATTATGTGATTGCGTACATGGTACTTCTGAAGATTATTTACATATGTTCAGGACTAAAACGAATCAAAATGCCTCAAAATGCCTCAAAATGGCACAACTGTCCCTTTAAAAGGTACCAAAAATGAGAGTAATTGTCATTCGGAATTTCTCGGTGTGCCCGTAAATACGAATCTAGTTCGGTAATGAATGGAACGAATGCCTATAGATCTTTAAAGGCGAGCCTCTAAACTTTGACGTTTTATCAATGATTTATCGCGTGGAGATTGACACAAATAAGAGTCACTTGAGCATAACTCTGGCTCACACTTATGCCTTCAATACCAACAAGAACCCTCTTTGTGCGCAGTGGTTAGACCTTCATTAAAAGTTGCTCATCCGCTAATAATTAGAGGCATCTTCACAATGTCAAGCTATTACGAACTACGTCTGATACCTTGACTCCATTTGGCTCTTTTCTTGTATGCAGCGATTTGGTTGGATTGTACATTAACGAATACAACTAATCAGATTCCTCTACCGGAAGTAAACAATAGGCCATGATAATAACAAATTATCTGTCGAGGACTCTGATTGGCTTTATTCTCCTGCGTACAATCTAATCCAATCGCTGCATTCTGTGATAAAAGAAAGATGGCTATTGATGTCAAGGTATGAGACGAAGTTCGTAATGCAAGATGTATTAGAGGAAGTATTGTAATTCTTTTGCACAAAGAGGTACTAAAGATCTAGTCCAAAATTTGATAGCTATAGCCCAGTCAGTGGAAGCCAACACCCGAAGATTCGTAGAATCTCAAAACAAACTTGAAAGATTAGACTGAATTCAAAAATAGAATTTATTTTGAAGGTCAAAATTTAACGACCATTGATAACGTTTCCAAATGGATCTACACCGCCATTGGTTCCGGTGTTAGTTGCAGGGTTGGTGCCTGTGGGAAATCCACCTGCGCCGCCGTTGTATCCACCTGGGCCTGCGGTGTATCCACCTGGGCCGACATATCCACCTTGGCCACCGTAACCACCCGGGCCACCGTAACCACCTGGGCCGCCATATCCCCCGTATCCACCATTATCGCCCGAATGACTTCCACTGTGGCCGTGACTGTGATGTTTCTTGCTGTGTCCACCGCTATGTTTATGTTTGTGGCTGTGACTTCCATGTTTGCTTTTGCTTCCACTGCTGCTAGAGCCGCCATTGTTTCCGTATGGGTTGTAGGGGTTGTATCCGTTTGCTGTTGCGTACGGGTTGTATCCACCGTTTGCCGCTGCGTAAGGATCGTATCCCCCATCTCTAACTTCAAAAGGATTGTACTCTTCTTGACTGTGACTGTGGCCATGACTTTTACCATGACTGTGCTTGTGTTTCTTAGAATGACTTCCGTGTTTCTTGGATTTACTTCCGGAACTGCTGCTTCCACCAGTGTTACCGTAATAACCACCAGCATACCCTTGAGGTGCTCCTCCGTACTGGTATCCTCCTGGAGCTCCGACAGTGCCAGGGCCATTCTGGGGTGCAGTGGCATATGCCCTCTGTTGGTTTAATTTGTTGGCGAAATCTTGGAATCCGCCCTGGGAAAAGGCACAGCCAATGAATGTGGCTAAAGCTACTAACTTGAACATCTTGGACCTGAAAGAATTGTGTTTGGAGATGGGTTAATGTCAAAATAAAATGTTTGTTAATAACCCGGATTCAAGCCTTTTATTGGTGATATTTGTTGAAAGCCGACACCGGGCATACTCTCAGAAGTACTGGCTATGGCATGAGAGTTTTCGTACCTTGGAGAATATTTGAGCCAGACAACAGACAATTAGACTCTCTACCGACTGAGCTATATTCCACAATGACAGTGCTCATACCCAGTGTAAGATAAAAAATTTTCAAGATTGCCTTTTAAAAATCCTTTACAATACATTATCAAGCCCTTTGCAGACTGTGATGTTTATAGGTAGGTCATGTCAGGTCGGGTTAAGGATGAAAAGGTCAAGCATGCGCAGTGATGAAATGTATCAGAAGACATGTAACGATATGTTGATAGTTATGAAATAAAGTATGGCGAATCAAAGGGATATTGTTATTCTACCCACGTATCAACACAATACAGACCAAATTTCAAAATAGATTTAAGCACAGTAATGATCGCTACCACAAAATCCCCATCGTACAATTTTCAATAAATGGTATACTATTGATTTTCAAGATTGTTCTTTGAAATGAAAAAAAAAACGTCATATTACCTGTTTCTTTAACTCTAGTCAGAAAGAAGTTGGAAAGGTGATGATTGTAATAAAGTTTCGGCTTTTTATACAAAAACAGATTAACAAGTAATCAATTAGTAGTCGACGTCGATTCACGTCAGTCACGTTTTGGTATTCACGTGTTACTTCTCTATTCTGTGAGAACTGACGAGATGTTGATAACGTCATATTGTTCTTTGTAACCGAATTAAGGATCTGATTACAGCCATATTGATAGATTTAAGGAATTTCCGATGTTTTAAATCGAAGCCGTGTTGATTAAGTACTTAAGTGAGTTGGGTCCTTCCCCTGGATTGTTTTTAACATATTATGCTCCCCTGTACCCTGAGAAGCTCTGTAAGTCAATGTTTTGCCTTGGCAGATCCCCAGCACAGGTTGTCAATCATTTTATATTGTGTGTTAGCCTTTAAGATACTTACTTAAGAATATTTTATATTCCCATTCTGGGTCAATGGCTGAGGGGGGAGGGGGCATATGGGGCAATTGCAGCCCCGAAACCTATACGGAAACAATGGCGGCTCTAGCAGCAGTGGAAGCAAAAGCAAACATGGAAGTCACAGCCACAAACATAAACATAGCGGTGGACACAGCAAGAAACATCACAGTCACGGCCACAGTGGAAGTCATTCAGGCGATAATGGTGGATACGGGGGATACCCAGGTGTATATGGCGGCCCAGGCGGTTACGTAGAGCAACTGATCTTATGATTCAATCTAGGCATAAGTCGAGATTTGAACAAGGTCCCCTGATCAGTGATGCAGGTTGGAAAGGGAAACATTTAAAAAGTGTCTAGTCGTTGGGATGAAACGATAAACTGAGACCCTGTGTTTTACCATGTTCCTTAAGCACCGGTAGCATATATACAATAATATAAACAATATATGATGCCGGTACTGAAGGAACATGGTGTTATACGGGTTGTGCATATTAAAGATCCTTGGTACATGCAAATCGAAAAAGAGTAGTCTAACTCCTTTGTCCTGGCAATTTTTTTTTGGGGGGGGGGGGATTCGAAATCTATAGGCTATGCATGTTAAATATCCTCGGCAGTTGGAAATAGAAAAAGGGTAGTCTAACGCCATTGTCCAGGCAAAAATTTGGGGATGATGAAGAATTAGAAATCATTGCACATCTCTCATCACCTTTTACTGAAATCTGATGGTAAACAAAGGATCACTGTGGTAAATACATCGTATTCCGAATACGGGTTTTGACATGGTGCGAGGAAGTATGACGAATGGAGGTGTGGTTTTGGCACGATGTGGTTAATAAAACAAGGGTTGATATCAGGGTTCAATCAGTTGCGGCGTCAGTGGGGGTACAGTGTGTGTGGGAGTGGGGGCATTTGACCCTCGTGAAAAGTGGTTTGCAACCCCTAATTGTATGCCCACTTTATTTTCAACAAATCTAAATGTCTAACTTTTTTCTCTAAAATATGTTTCAGAATGCACAAATCAATACATTTTTTCTGAAATATTCTTGATAAAAAAAAACCTCTATGACACCACCACAGTGTAGCTAAAATTTGAATTCAGCCTTAGCAGTTGTCCCTCCATTGAGTCAATCTGCCCCCTGTTTGTACCCCCAGTCTTGCGAAGACCGCTGAGAGTTGTGGTAGAAATCTCACGAAAACTATAAATTTTCATTTGATTCGCAGATCTTCATGATAATTTTGATTTTGGAGAATCATAGGAAATATTGGATCGCTAAATGCGAAGCCTCTATCATCCAGTCCCTCTGAACGAAAGATCCTCGTCATGGACAGGTATAGTCTGGGTGTAAGAGACTACTAAATGCGTTGCAATACCGCTTGAATTAAACCCGGGTCAATATTTGCAATTTCCAATCATATATCTAGGAATACATACCAAGTCTAGTCGAAATCGGCCAAAACCTGCAGAAACTAAAGCATTTTCTATATGTCAGATCCCAGGGAGTTTGGAGAGAATTTTGGCGATGAGAATTCGAGGACTAATGCGAGAAAGCGGGGAAAATGGTGAGAAAGTGAGAAAAAAGGCGAGAAAGCGGGGGGAAAATGCGAGGAAAAAGGCGGAAAGTCGAGGGTAAAAAAAGGCGAGGAAAAAAGGCGAGAAAGCGAGTGTAAAAAAAGCTTTCCTCACTTTGTCGCCTTTTCCCTCACCATTCTCGCCTTTTTCCTTGCATTTCTTTACTCTCGCTTTCTCGCCTTTGTCCCCGCTTTCTCGCCTCTCGAAGTCGAGAGAAGATATAGCCATTGTGTACGAAGAAAGTGCTTGGACATCAAGACTCTGATAGTCCAAAATTTGCAAGCTCTAGCCCCATTAATGGTAGTGAATATTCGAGGCCACGTAAGATTCAACAAAACTTTGGCATTCATGAAAAACTTGAATTCAAATATACAATTTATTCTTTTTAAAGGTCACAACTTAAGGACCATTATTAGTGTTTACCACTGGATTTACACCGCCATTGATTCCGGTGTTAGTTGCAGGGTTGGTTCCTGTGGGAAATCCACCTGCGCCGCCGTTGTATCCTCCTGCGCCGCCGTTGTATCCACCTGCGCCGCCGTTGTACCCACCTGCGCCGCCGTTGTATCCACCAGCGCCGCCGTTGTATCCACCTGGGCCGCCATATCCACCTGGGCCACCATAACCGCCTGGGCCGCCATATCCACCTGGGTATCCCCCGTATCCACCATTATCGCCTGAATGACTTCCACTGTGGCCGTGACTGTGATGTTTCTTGCTGTGTCCACCGCTATGTTTATGTTTGTGGCTGTGACTTCCATGTTTGCTTTTGCTTCCACTGCTGCTAGAGCCGCCATTGTTTCCGTATGGGTTGTAGGGGTTGTATCCGTTTGCTGTTGCGTACGGGTTGTATCCACCGTTTGCCGCTGCGTAAGGATCGTATCCCCCATCTCTAACTTCAAAAGGGTTGTACTCTTCTTGACTGTGACTGTGGCTGTGACTGTGGCCATGACTTTTACCATGACTGTGCTTGTGTTTTTTAGAATGACTTCCGTGTTTCTTGGATTTACTTCCGGAACTGCTGCTTCCACCAGTGTTACCGTAGTATCCACCAGCATACCCTTGAGGTGCTCCTCCGTACTGGTATCCTCCTGGAGCTCCGACAGTTCCAGGGACATTCTGGGGTGCAGTGGCATATGCCCTCTGTTGGTTTAATTTGTTGGCGAAATCTTGGAATCCGCCCTGGGAAAAGGCACAGCCAATGAGTGTGGCTAAAGCTACTAACTTGAACATCTTGGACCTGAAAAAATTACATGATACATTATCAAAGAATTGCTGGAGGGGAGAAGGGGGTGGGGGGGGGGGGGGTCTGGGGTTTGCCACAAAGTTTGACTTTCTGATTAAAAGTTTGTTCATGACTTTTAAATTCAAGCTATTTATTGGCTGAATCCGACAGGGGAGCATTTGTGTACACCACCATTTTATTTATTACAAAATTGAAAATATGATATCTGTATGTATTTGCCTCAAATGTGTGTCAGAACGCACCAATCAATTAATTTTTGTTTTCATGGGAGAAACTTCTCAGACGCTCCATGACAGACTTGTGCTTGTGACGCTTCCAAAGAGTTGACGCATTTTGAATTCAGCGTCTACAGTTGTCCCCCATTGAGTCAGTCTGTCCCCTAGTTATACCCAAGTCTCGGGACACCTAATGGGCCCAAAAGTCGACAATCCAATTCACTGTCGACTGAGCTATTCCACCGTCACAAAAACAAAAGGTTCAAACCCAATGGAAAGGGAAGTTCGGAGTATAAGTTTTTCAAAAACCTAAGCCTAGTTCGGATTTATGTTCAGTGATGATCGCTACCACAAATTTCCCATCGTATAATTTTCAATTGGTTTTCGAGATTGTTCTTGAACTAAAAAAACCTGTTACCTGTTTCTTTAACTCTAGTCAGAAAGAAGTTGGAAAGGTGATGATTGTAAAAAAGTTTCGGCTTTTTATACAAAAACACAAGTAATCAATTAGTAGTCGACGTCGATTCACGTCAGTCACGTTTTGGTATTCACGTGTTACTTCTGTGAGAACTGGCGAGATGTTGACGACGCCATATTGTTTGTGCAATACAAGTTTGCGAATTCTGATTTACAATTAAAGATGATGAAGCGATATAGAAAGTGCCATTCTGTTCCGATCAGACGATTCCGACTGTCTTTTTCTTTTCTAGCTTTTAGAAAGATTTCCTCACTGACCCCTCACCATGCCTAATACTCTCTAAACCCGAAAGGGGAGCCGAGTTGTTCGAATTGATGATCTATAACAGTGGTTCCCAACCTTTTCCCCGTCTTCATACCATACTGGAGCAATCAACCCCGACCCCTCCCAAAAAAAAAAATTGTTTCATCCTCATTTTCAGCATGCTCTTTCAATTCAAAACAAATTCTTCTCCTACATCAGTTTGCCACACCCCTGACACCCCAATCCCACATCCCAGGGGGTGAAAACACCCAGGTTGGGAACCGGGAATCTATAACAACTGACACAAATGGATCCAAAATTAGGACAGCTAACTTAAAACATATTATTAAGGATAGCTTCCATTTCGTGTCAAAAATAAGTCTGAAACATCTATCTCTATTCCAGCCTCTGGTAGCTATTTTAACAATGGCGAGCTTCACAAGGCAGATGTTTCGGACTGTTCAAAAAATGAGGACATGAGCTTTCAACCATTAACCTCGCGAGTGATTCCCAACCAATTAACGAGTCAATATGTTTATTGTCCATTGTCCAATTTAATCCATATCGTATCAAGGGTGAACTCTATGAGATCTGCACATTCTGGGGGTGTTCTCATGGGATCGCCACCATCCGTAATGTTTCGTAACCTTAACCATTTTTAATATATAAACTCAGGTTTTTTATTTTCATCTCACTTCTGAAAATAAGTTCGTTTGATCATCAGGTAAGCGTTTTTTTTTTTTTTGCACCAAACTCAATCTCTTTAAAAAAAATTCTCATTCAGACAAGATTTGTGCTCAGTCTTCTTTATGGCATTGTAAAGAGGTTTTCTTCTAAGAAAATATATGTGTATCAGAGATGAAGATAGCATCAATTTGCATCATTCCAATTTTCAATCAGACGTCTGTGCTTCCTACGATAATAGAAATGTTAAATGGTTTATGACAGAACTATCCCAAAACTACTACTAATGATGGTAAGTGATAGTGACTTATTGCTTAGTTTTTGGTGTATCACAAGAAAATTTGAATTTCGCTAACATCGGTTCAATTACAAAAAAGAGTGCATTTTGGTTGAGAGTCCTTTATGAAAGAATAGGTCGTTACAAGGGGTTTTCACGAACAGAATATATTACATCGAAAGTTTGTTTTTTTTGGATCAAATTTCAGGAGCCAAGATGAGAATTCTGTTAGCGACTCTGTTATTCTGTTTAACAGTCCATTATAATGACGCTCAGTCCACAACATATCAGCAACCCACTTATACCTACGGCTACCCACAGGGTATCAGCTATATAGCTCCCACTGGGTACACAACGGGTTACCCAACTCAAAGCTATCCAACTCAAGGCTACCCAACTACAGGATACCAAACCACTGGCTACCCAACTACAGGGTACCCCGTAATAGGTTACCCAAGCACAGGATACCCAAGCACAGGTTACCCAACTACCAGCTACCCAACCACAGGTTACCCAACCACAGGTTACCCAACCCCGGGATACCCGACTACTGGATACCCACAAGTTCCTTATTATGGATACCCATATGGATATCCTACTGGAGGCAATGGTGGCGGATATGGAGGTAATGGTGGCGGATATGGAGGTGGTGGTTCAGGAGATTCTGGAGGATGGTCAGGTAACGATTCTGGCGATTGGTCCGATAATGGTTCAGGTGGATGGTCTGGCAATGGTTCAGGAGGATGGTCTGGTGGTGATTCAGGAGGATGGAGTGGCGATGGAGGATCTGGATCAGGTTCTTGGTCTTAAATGTCTAATGAAGTGAAAGATATGAATAAAGCTTTTGATACACAAAAACGTTTTGCTTCGATTAACGCGAATTGCTATTCAATATAATATAGAATCGTAGCGCTCTATCCAATATGCCCTTATCAATCGGGTTTCTCCTTATCAGTGCAAGTCGTCTGGAGAAATTTTCCTTAGTGCACACTGCATGTCTGTCTTCATTAGTCTAATTAGGTGCTTAACTCACATACTGTCTGTCTAAATGCAATATCTTTTTTCAAAGTTAAGAATTTCAAACAATCTCGGGCCCTCACTGCCAATAACCCGATTTAACATCTAGAACAGAAAATGTCCATAAAAATTAAAGTCTTTTTTGCTTATAAGAGAATTTGATGATTCTGAGCAATTTTTCCATTCATAAGTGACCCATATTGACTTGAATCATTGCAAAATCGCAAACCTTTGTCACGTTTGCGAATAACGATGTAATGTCCATCCATGAAATAGAGCGTGCATTACCATTAAAATGGTCACGATAACTATTGCCTTTTTTTTTTGCCTGTATAGAGGGGTGTTTAGGGCGTTATTAAAATGGACCTATTGAAAGCTCTGTATACAAAAAATTTAAGAAACCCATAGAAATAAAACGTTTTATTATGCAGTCTATCATACATAGTATCAGATACAGTTGCTAATACCACAATAGCAAACAAGACAGAATACATAATGAAAATAAATAAAAAGTTTCAAAATTGCTCAAAAAGTTCATGAAGCGAAATTAGCAAAAACATGAGTCAGTGAGTAACATAGAATTTGTGAGATCTTGGAATATAGACATAGACTAGAATTACAGTGCCCAGTGGTTTAAAGTCCGTTCTACCTGAAAATTTCTCATATCACCTTAAAGAGATTGTTTCTAAATCAGGAGCACTGATAGCATCAATTTGAACCATTCCAATTTTCAATCAGACGTCTGTGGTTCCTGCAATCCCACTAATCTAAGTGTTTGACGACGACACATATCGCTAAATATGCTTTACCACAAAAGGGATCTTTGCGATTAGTGACATCATAAAAGTAATCAGTAGCATCTCATTTTTTGTTAACAAACATTAAAGAAAAAAAATCTGGGAAATGGATACTGTATATAGAATGGACTGAACTTAATACTAAAAATTAGAAATAAACATTATATAACAAAATAGAAATAAATAGAACTATATATATATATATATATATTGGTATGTTAATTGATATCACAGTCTGTTATTAAACATAAAAATAAAAATACAATACATATAAATTTTCTCAAAGGAAATAAATAAATAAACACAAGACGCACATAAAAGCCCTTATTTAGAGAAAGTAAAAGTTCTGTGTACGTAGATTGTCTTATTCTAAAACGTGGGAAAACGTGTCATCATTAAGCTCAAGCTAAAAACCAAAGAGGCTTCTGATGTAAATTTAGAGAGCCAATGATGTTTTTTGGGGTAGTTTCTTAAGGAATGGGCTATATAACGGCGTGTGGTAACTTAACAAATAATGAAAAGACTATTAGCTAACCAACCAACCTCGTTCAATAAGTTGTAGACTATATAGACTATGTATATATATGTGAATTATTTCTAATTGTGGAGAGATTAAAATGCTTTTTGGTCCCATTACAAAGCATATGTTACATGCATCACATAGCTATTTCAATTTCTATGCCTACATAATTGAAGCATATATAATATGTATTCCAGCATAGTTTCTAAGTTAAAGGGATTTAATCACATAATTTTTTTGGCTGAAAACTGGAAAACAAAAAAAAGTATTTGAAAAATATCATGATTGTTTTTAATAGCATGCATTATGCATGACACAACATAGAAGCTTATACATAATTAGGAATTCTGAGTTAATTCCAAGACATAAGTTCCATAGTTTCCCCTTAGCTTCTGAACAGCAAGATGGAATAAGTCGCATAATTTGTCACTGAAAAACTGAGTAAGAAAAAAATTTAACTTTTGTTGAAAAGTGTCCTGATTGTCTTTAAAAAGCATGGATTTTGGATGTCACAGCACAACATGACCAGGAGTATCTCAGAAGATTCAAAGTTTCATAGTTTTAAAGTTGGTCTGATCAGTAGGAGGACCTCAATATCAGTTTATCATTCACCATCTCTAATACCTGTATACCTTGGTTAAATGTTCCAACCAAAATACTGAAAAATATGATTAAAACATGTTATTCTGTTGCCAAAAGTTTGCATTAGTGTTGTCTAAGAAAATCAAAAATTCTACGACAATTTTTAGAGATTCTGAGCCAAATTTTTGAAATCTTGATTATATTCAAAAAAGGTGAAGTTACCTGTTATCTTCATAAGCTATAACTGAAGTCAATGGTCCAGAGCCATCAAAACACCACTCTGTTATACATTCTAAAATGAAAACATAACTTAAAATCAGAAATTGTCAAAACATTAGCCAAAATAAAATAAGCCATAACAACTTAGGTTCAGAAGGACCTTAACTAACAGCTGGTCATGTGCCAAACCTCTTGGCATTAGATTCCCATTTACAAAACACTTTCTCAAGCTCACCAGGCTTTCACATGCTGACCGATTATGGAGGCCATGACCACAATTTGTTCAACGCAAAGAAACAATATAACAACTACAAACCTTCTTTACAGCAAAGTTCAGCAAATCAACTGCTGCATGCATTTTCTCAAAAATTCAGACAACCTACCTTGTGTGTCTCTGTTCCATACTTTAACAGAGCAGTCCCGAGATGCTGTTGCAACTAGACTTTGATTGGGTAAAAATATACAGGACTCAATTGCTTCAAGATGACCATTGAACTCATGAAGTAACTTTTTGTTTCTTAAATCCCATAGCTGAAACAATCAAAAAGCAATATGGAGAAAGCTATTCTGTCATCAAAAGTATATGAAAGCAGACAAATACTGCTCAGTTTCTCTAGGCATAGGTTGTATAGGTGTTATATGAAAAACTCTGAAAACTGAAACCACTTATTGCTTCAATTCACTAGCACTTGTCAATCAAGTGTAGAACCCCACCCTTTCAATTTTGGGCTATATGAGGGGTGTGTCATAAATTATTCATCCAATGATATCAATGATGATTGGATATATCAAAGAACAATCATTGGTTCATAAATATTGAAGCCTTACCTAATGCATAGCAAGCAAAACATAACAGACTGATAAAAATTTCAAAAACAGTGACTTACACTAGCCTCACAACCATTGCCTGTAAAACCATTACTACATGTTAAACAGTATGTACCATCTGTAGTTATATCACAAGCCATCTGAATATATTGTTTCTTAATAAAATTATATACTACATCCATATTTCTACTGTCAAATATTCTATAAAACAAAACATATTTATTAGACTTGCCACAAAATATATATTGTAAGTATGCAAAAGATATATTCATGTACAATTTGGCGTTTATTTTGCTTAATTCTGTTAGTCAGACAGAAACTTTTTTGAAAAACTTTCAGATAAGATAAGGGACACATTTCTCAAGATTTTGGTCTATAGTTTATTTATTTGAGCACCCAAATTTCCAAACCTCCTTAAAAAATCAGACTGCCCCTTTAAATCATTTCCTATGATTTCAGTAAGGAACTCTAGGGGCTAAATAAAAGATGAAACGAATGACACCTGGCTAAAGAAAGTAGATGGAAGAAAGGGAACAGCATGTCAATCTTAAGGGCAAGATATAAAAATAGTAAGCCAACCATAAGAATAGATATAACCCCTTAACCCTGTTTAATACTAACCTTACTTCTTTATCTTCTCCAGTCTGTAAAATCTGTTCTGTATTCGGTATCCATTTTACATCTGTAACCTACAAAAGATAATGTGTGTGTACAATGCTTTTCAACAAATTGAATACATTATATAAGACCATTTCAACAGTCATGGAATGATTAAGGACAACTAACATTTCTGCTCTGGGCAGGGGAATAAAGTCAGGTAATATCCATGCAGTGTGCAATTAGGGCAATTTGACATTTGATCTAAACATTCCCTGTAGTTTACAAAGTTCACAGTCATGGTGAAGTAATATAATATGCAAAAACTTTAGGGATTGAAGAGGTACAAACCAGATTTTGTGGAATATTACTCTGAACTAAACATTTAGCTGTTTCTACATCCCAGATCTTTACTGTATTATCTCGAGACCCTGAACATAGTCTGGTAGTATCTAAAAATAGATGGAGATAGAATACATTTTGTTCCAATATTGGCAGATTTTTCTGGACTGCCAAAAGCACCAAAAGTACCAAAGTTAAGAGCAAAATCTAATCATAACTTACCACTATTGGCATGAATGGCTGTAACAACTAAATCATGACCAATAAATTCCCTAACAACATGGGAACTCCCTCTCTGCCACATTTTTATGGTTTTATCTCTGGAAGCACTGAACACTCCTAAACAACTTGATCCATAGCACACCTGAAATGAATGGAGTTTTACACCCAATGGCAAAGGCATTAATTTAATTTAAATTTGAGCGATGATAATGTTTTACCATTAAAGTTTCACAAATTTCCACGGCAAACCTTCTGAGTTGCCAGAAAGGTTTACCTACTGAATGCATCTACATTTATCCTATTGGATGAAAACAGCTATTTGATTACCAGACCAGTTTCTGTACCTTTCAGTTTCTTGTATGAAAATATTTTTGCTCACAAGAGTTACTTACCTTTGTTATCTCTCGTTCATGACCCGTCCATTTATCTTCTTGTCTTTTGTTTAAATAGTCATACAATATCACACTCTAAAAAATAGAAAATCAAAATCATTTCATACTTGAGTCAAAAATAAACAGAAGGATAATGAAGGATGGTCTCGTGGAATTTCAAAACCGTTAGCAAATGCCTTAGCATTTTTTAGATAGTGAAATAAAAAATGCTCAAGAACCACAGACATCTTACTGAAAATAAGAATGGTGCAAATTGAGGCTATCAATGTCCCTGATACACATAAAAAGTTAAGAAAGCATCTTTACAATCTATTGAAGTCCTCTTTAGTCAAACTACCACTAACCTTATCCTTGCTGCCAGATAAACAGAGTCCAGGTTGAACACTGCTTAAACTAACCACAGCTTCAGAGTGGACTGGATTAACTAACATACTACAATACCCTTCTGTATCACTCTCTAAACCACCCATATCTACATTCCTATATTTAAAAATATCATATTGTAATATTGTGGTCTTAACATATTAAAGGGACACGTTCACCACTTTTTTGACCAATCGTACATTAGTCTCAGAAACAGGAATTATTTAGTTTACCTAATCAGTCATACTAATAGTGTTCACAGCTCACCATTGAAATTTGAGCTTTCAAATCCATGTATGTCCTGAATTATCTGCGTTTGAAAGTGAAATTCCTAGTTTGAGGTACGGTATATTTGAAGGAATTATGCCATTTTGTACTATCTAGTACTTCTGAAGACTATTTACATATATTCAAAACCCATATTGACCCCCGAAATTGAGAGTTATCCTTCCATTACATGAGGGGTGTTTTTATGTCCTTCAAAACAGGACTAGCACAATATCTTAAAGAGGATAGAAAATGTATACCTGTTAAATGAAGCCATATTGTCTGTTGGTGTTGAAAAGCAGATATTACCCATACCAATTATTCAGATTTCCTGGTACTTCTACTGACACCAAGTCTACAATGGTCTGGAAAGTTTCCTCCTGCAGATGGGGAGGCTGACACTACAGTGGGCAACCAGGTATATGGTGTGCTAAACTGGATGGTTATCTTAGTGTGCCATATTTCATAGATTGTCCAACCACTGCACAATATAAGCTTATAGATCCTCTATTAAGACCTGTTACAAAAAAAACAGAATTCAGTTTCTATGATTGTCCCACACCAGTGATTCCCCTACGCCAACTTTCATCTAGGTAGCCTGTAGAACTGTAGACGTGGTTAGAAAATACAAAACAAAACAACTAACAAGATCAATCAATAACGTAATAGATTTCACTTTCAGGATGTCATTTTTACCTATTTCAACATTAAAACACAAATGGGAATTGAGTGCTTTGGGTTCGAATCTTCCAAATTAAAAACAAGTACCTACCAAAAAAAGGAAACCAGATAATTAGTTTTAATTACTTTTTTTTCATGTTTTGTTTACATTCACTACTTGCGATTCTTCAATAGAGTTACTTCCCTTGACTAATGCAATTAATCCAGACCACAGCTAAATAATAAATCAAATGGAAATCAACAGCAATCCGAAATCGACAAATTTCCTACTTTTTCGAGCTCAAGAAAAAACGCTCTGCTTGGAAAAAGATAAAGATTGAAATACTATAAACAAAATTCTTTAAGAAAGGATTTGAAACTTTAAAGCTATCATGTCTGAAAAAAGAATTTAATGGGCATAAATTTGACCACTTATCGAATTTAGTATGATTTTCTACTATTATTCCATAAAGATTATTAACGCCGACACCCACTTACACTTGACTCACAAAAATGAGATGTTGGTGGCAAGATATCTTCATTTGGAAACAGTTTCATGGAGCGTGATAGCTTTAATTTTTTTCTGGGACTGGATGATCGAAACTATCAAGGAAAGATAACTACCACAGAAAAAAGCGGACGACGCTAAGGCAAATTACTCCGCTAGTCTAGCAAGTGCTTTTATATCTGAAAAGGATATTTGAAGCACAATTTCTGCCAATTTTATTTCGAAGTCTTATTAAAGAGATCGTCATCTTTCAAGGGTCACGCTGGAGATTCTTCAAGAGAAATTCCAAAGGTATTTTAACAATAAAATGTGTACAACATTCTGAATCAAAAGACCAGCGGGGCGAATCACTTCTTCAAAATACATCAGATTTCGACGTAAATATAATTCCAATTCCAATCGTCTGTCATGGCTAAGTTTTGATTCCTATCAGAAGTTTTGGATATTTGACCATATTGTCCATTATCCAAATTCGATTGCCAAAAATGTTAAGTGATTTTACAAAAAAAATAAAAAATTTCATTTTCCAAAACAAAACTAGCACGCGGAAGTGACATCCCACGTGACTAAATCAACCAATTATTTTCACGCCCAGAAATAACACGAAGCCACCTTCCGGTTGAATTTTAAGAGCGAAATATCAATGTTCTGAGGTTGAAGAATTTTATTTTGTTAAGTTTCGTTATAACTTGTTTATTTTTAGAGGTAAGTATAGAAATTCTGAAAGAGAATTCATTTCTGCACCTGAATTTCCAAGTGGTAGCACAATCAATGGCGGAATAAGCTAGGTTCAATGTCATTTGTTTGTTGACTTCACAACAGAATTGTTGATCTTGACTTGTCAAAATTGATCATATGTTCGAAATGGTAATAAATAGTAACTTTCATTATGAAGAGGATCAAACCTTATGTACACAATTGCTTTTAACATATTTGCTTTTTTTTTAAAGCAAGGCCTTTGCTTTTGAGTCTTTTCAATTTAACCGTGCAGTTTTGTAAAGAAAAACATGGGTTTTCTATGAAATTAATGACCAAATGGACCTAAGCATGTGGTCTCTGCATTAGAAAGTTTATTGCTTTGAAATAAGAAGAGTTTTTTGGGGTTTTCAGGGCAATGAGTAGTGGTGGTAGTGTTACCACTGGAGACAAGGGAGAGAATCCAGGGAGTGAGGATAAGCCAGCCCTAGAGAGTTCACATCCAGCAGCTGGGTTACAACAATCTCATGGCCACATCTTGGCTCAGCCTACTCCTACTTTTCAACATGCTGAACTGATGAAACCTATGCAGGTAATTCTATGTCATAATGATGTGTTGGGGACTGCTATTCGTTTATTTAGCACAAACTTATGAAGATGTGAAGTAAGAACTAAGGCCACTAAGGGTATCCAGGTACTTAACAACATGTACGATAGGCAAATGTGGAAAATGGCTCATGGCTATTTTGTTCAAAAAAAATTTGATTTAAAAGATTTGAAACATGATGCACCAGAAGGTTACAGAAAAGGTGGTTATCTGAATAGTTGTCTTGCTACCCTCGATGAAAAGGATTTTTGCTTCATAGCAAAATAACAAAACAAAAAACTTTATTACGGCCCAGGTACCACCAACTTTTTTGGTTGAAATTTGGCCTTTTGAGAGTTCTTTAAAGATTTCAAAATCATACAAACACATTGTCAAGATTTGGAGGGATCAAAATAAAAGACCTGAGACACAGGTCTAGATCAGAACCTACACATTATGTTAAGCCTATATGTCCTATTTTGACAATGAAAAGTTTACATTGGATTCCTTATTCAACTTGTCCTGAATTTGATATTTCAGAAGAGTGTGCGTCCAATAGCTCCAGCTCCTACTGGAATAGCTAAACCTGGCAGTATCAGCCATAATCCACCATTAGGCATGTCATCTGGACTTCTGGCTCAGACTTTTAGAGGAACTAATAAAGGTTTGTTGTTTTTTTTTTTAATTTTGAACACTGAAAGGATCAGTTTGAATGAATAAATAGATATTTTTATTGCATAAGCATTGAAAATTAATTTTGCAGCAATTAAAAAACTTGACACACATTAATGTTTCAATTATTTGAAAAATAAGAGAAACTAATAAAGGTTTGTTGGCTTGGTTTTATGTTTTGAAATTTTGAAAAAATGAATGAATGAAAAATTTATTTAAATGCGTTGGCAAATTGTTTTTGCATCAATATTCTTTGATGAATTTGCATATGAATAAAATTATGAATAAATTAATGGAAAAACTATATATCTGTACATGATTAATGGATGTGTATTGGTTGAGATATTTTCCTGATTAAATTATGTAGAATAATATATTAGCAAAAATATAATAAATTACAAACATTGGAATGCAAGAATGAACCTTACAGGTAAAATAAAATGGCCTTCCAATCATTATTTGATGAAAACTATGGGATTACCTTACCTTTGATTGGTTGAAAATAATGTCATTAGAACAGAAATGTAGTTGAAAGCTTGTTAGATTAAAATAAAGACAAAAAAAGAGAAACAAAATTATAATCTTATTTACATTAAATTGGTTGGTTTTCATTCAAAAGCTTCAAAACATATCAGAAAAAAAAGGAAACAAATTTGATTAAATGGGTAAGCTTATATACCTGAATACATCTAACATGTTGATTATTTTGCAGTGCCAGACACAAGTAATGTTGGTAATATCGGAGCTAATTTAGTAATGGGAGGGCATGCAGTACCGGTCTCACTACAACAAGGTGGTATAGTCCAGATGAATCCCTCAACTTTGACCTCCACCCAGAATGTCACACCCACAGTTATATCAACTCCCATGAATATAATTAGAGCTCAGAATCTTACTCATCCCACTTTTCCTTCACATTTACCAAGAGGTAAGGCTTTGCTAATTTCGAGACCGTGACAACTATTTTTATAGGGATAACAACTTTCTTCCAGCTGGTCTTTGACCAAATCTCTTGGCATTGATCTATCTCAAAGATTAGATTAGAACGAATAACCACCATTAATCAGAAATATGGTCTGGATATCTTTATAGACAGGTAGTAGTAGAGCCTGTTAGATATTCTGGAAGGTTCATTTCCAAACCTAGCTGTCCTGATGAGGATTATATATCAGAAACATGTGATGTCAGCACTGGATAAGCTATAGTCATCATTTGCTAGTTACCTCAAGCCTCAAAGCACTTTACCTTGAGGAGGATTTGAACCATGGAAACATAATTTCCAAGCAGACGACAATCAAACTCACTAAGGACTGAGATGCTCTACATAATTAGTGTCTAATTAATTTTAGAAAAAGAATTAAAATACTTATTCCTTATTTATTGTGAATATTTCAGGAGCTGTGGCAGCTTCTGCATTATCAGTTGGAAAGACAGGACCAACAATGGCAGCTGGTACAGCATTGTTACGTCCCACCCAATCTACTGTACAGATACCAATCTCATCAAATCAGGGTATGCCTGCTGCCTTGTTACAGACTCGGCCATTGTTGTCCAGTATCAAACCAGGCACACCTCCCATCGTTAGACCAACTTCTCCTGTTATTGGTATACCCATGACTGCTAAACATGGAGAACATATAAGGTAGGTGCTTCTAATGGATTAGTAGGACGTATAATAAGGATAATCATGTCATGGAAGCACGATCACAGGCAAGATTTAACTCAAGATTCAATTTCGCAGCAAGACCGCTCGTGTGCCCGCACCTTAACTGGTGAGAAAATTGAGTAATGGAAGAGTAAGAACCAGGAAAAATGCTTAGTTGGGGAGGAAATCCCTTGGTCAGAGGACCAAGAGATGCTCCGTCTGCACCAGTGTGATACCACTTTCTTTTTCATTTCAGACCCAGTTATCCCTATCATGGATCAGTGACTCCTTCATCCAACTCAGCCATCCAGATCACTCTACGTAATGCTAACTCAAACTCGGACAACATCTCCAAACCTCTCATCACCCATACTGGTGGCCACAATCTCTCTAAACCGGTCCAGTTAGCCCAGACCCAACCTGTCACTCAGTCTAAAATCATAGTTTCACAAACTACTAGTAATACCATGATACCAACTTCAACTGTTAATATACCAAAAACAGGTGGGTAGCTTTCTTAGGGAGGTACAGGAACAAGGGTGAAGATCCTTATCCTCCAAGAAAATTTGGATAAATAGAATTGATTCAGTGAATTATGACACATTTTTGGGGCAATTTGTGGGGAGTACAAACTATTTTTCTGGGAGGCAAATACCCCCACTGGCCCGGGCTCCGCTACTAGGTGCAAGGCCAACAGATGGGAAATTGGAATTGTGTAAATCTATACACAGAAAAAGTTAAAAAACCTCTTTATAATCCCTTAAGAGTTCACATTGCTATAAATTGTGATACATTTTGTTTCTAGCCAAAATAACAGCTCAGAGGTCTGCAGTGGTTTTACCGACATCAGTGACAGAAGTAAGTCGGAGTGACACAGGTCAGCATCAGATGTCTCATGGTCCCAGCTACTTCTTCTCCCAACATCGTGGACTCCCTACAACTACTACATCAGTAGCCTCTTCTAATAGTTCAGTTCATTCTACAGACACTCGCCATGATAATAGGTAAGATACAATTGCTTATTTATGTGTTGTTAACTACCCGTGTCACTTTTCAGACTTTGAATCTGACATCCAGTTCCCGTACAATTCAACTTATATTGAGATTTAACCTTTGATATTTTCCATCTAATGCAGTGAGGAAGGGCAAATAAATAAGTATTTCTGATAGAAACATGGAACATGTTCAATATCTTAAAGATCCCTTCCCAAATGAGAATGCAAAGAACATAATTAGACTTCAGCTTTTGTCCTGGTAAAAGGTTCCTCTTCATGGTGTTGCCATCATGACCAGTAAAAGTTAACATTTAACTCCATCGCATTACATCTTGAACATAAAACATTGTAGTCTAATTTTGCTATCTGGTTAAATTTCCTTCGTTGCAAAATCAGTGGCATTGTTGTTTTAAATCACCTCTGCCAGAGCTTTCGTAATTTAAACAGATCAGGCCGCAAAACTTTTCGTACTTTCAGGACAAATATCTCTAATATTCAAGTACCATCCTATATACAACAGCCGAGCCCTGATGTTTATAATATATATAACCCTGCTGCAGCTGCTAATTACCATGTTATGTACCAGCCAAGATCCAACATCAACCTAGTGCTATCTAGACCTCCAGTAGACCAAACTGGTCGAGGTCAGTACCCTTGTAGACTATCCTTCCCACTCTACTCTAATTCTCTCTCTGTCTAGTGTTATCTAGACCTCCAGTAGACCAAACTGGTCGAGGTGAGTACCCTTGTAAACTATCCTTCCCACTCTACTCTAATTCTCTCTCTGTCTAGTATTATCTAGACCACCAGTAGACCAAACTGGTCGAGGTGAGTAGCCTTGTAGACTACCCTTCCCACTCTACTCCAATTCTCTCTCTGTCTAGTGTTATCTAGACCTCCAGTAGACCAAACTGGTCGAGGTGAGTATCCATGTAGACTACCCTTCCCACTCTACTCCAATTCTCTCTCTGTCTAGTGTTATCTAGACCTCCAGTAGACCAAACTGGTCGAGGTGAGTATCCTTGTAGACTACCCTTCCCACCCTACTCCAATTCTCTCTCTCTATCTAGTGCTATCTAGACCTCCAATAGACCAAACTGGTCGAGGTGAGTATCTTTCTAACCCTCCAAACCCTCCTATTGATTGTCTAGTGCCATGTAGACCTCCAATAGACCAACCTAGTAGAGGTAAGTATCGTTCCAGACTCCCCTCAACGGCGCTCATCCCCCCTTACTTTAAATCTTGGTCTAGGTTTATATTCTTTTGCTTATCAACTAGATAGCTCTCCTATTCGGTCTAGATCTATGTAGACCACCAGTTGACAAGGTTCCTTCTTGTCAGTGATGTAGGTCGGAGGAACTGATATTGAAAAAGGGCTGTGTTCGAAAGGGGAAAATAAAGTGAAGCCCTATGTGCTCTAGGCTTTGCATGTTCAAGATCCCTCGACTGTTGGAAATCAAAAAAGGTTAATGCTGCTGTTCTGCGAACTTCTGCACACTTCATTTTGTTTTTCAGTATCAGTGTCTAATCCAGTGCCCAACCTATCAGCTACATTACAGACCCATCAGATGACCATGGCACCCACAACTGGTGTAAGATTCAATCAAATAATGCTAGATCCAACAACCAGACATCCCACAATATCTGTTCCCTCATATTCAACATCTACTTCTCATGTTGACAATAAAGGTATGGTTTGGTTTTGATTTTTGTTTTAAAATTGTTATTGGTAGATGTACAGATAGTACAGTGATTTTGCATTAATCCAACAAGACTGTTGTTCAGTGATTATTGAAGTCGTGGCTCTCAGTCTTTCTTGTGGGAACTGATTACACATTCAGATAATGACGCCATTCTGTCAAAAGATCAGTCAGAGTGCTCTGGGCTTCACCTAGGGGTTTGCTGCATGAAAAAAGGTCATTGATTGCACACTGCATGGTGTTAGTTGTCTTCATTCATTTCATATGAATTATATTTTTTGCAGGATTTCTAGGCAGTAATCTAACAGAAACCAACATGTCCAGTCTCGCCTCCGTGGCAACTGTAGCTAGTAATATTTACTCTAACAACAATCAACAACAACAGCAGCTACAACAACAGCAACATCATTCACAACATCAACAGCAGTCAAATCCCAGTGCTTCACCTCGACCTACTATACTCAGAAAACGTACCAGTGACAAGTAAGTTTTGCAAGAGGACTGGGCAATATTTTGGTCTTATGCCACTTGATGATTCGGGTTTGATAATGGCATAGGTCAAGATAATTCCTTCATATTTTACTGGAGCCTTGGTGGAATAGTAAGTGCTATGCTGGGCTACCAGAAGGTCCAGGAATCAAGCCCAGCATATGTTGAGAAAATACCTTCTTACCGATTTGGGCCAAGTGAAATACCAACATTGGTATGAAAAAAATAGTTTCAAAGTATATTTTCTTTCATATCGGAAACTGCAAAATTTAAGAATTTTTTCATTTGATATAAGTGATATATATTTAAATATTTTCTCTGTTATTCACAGTATTGGTGCCAGTTCGGTAAAGAAACAGCTGGCGTTAATGTCTGAAAGACAGAGTCCAAGACCAGAACCTTCTCAACCTCAATCTAATACTAGTTCACCAAAAACACCGGCAGGGTAAGCTTTCTTTACACTTATCTTCCTCAGTTGTAAAAAGAACATTTTTGCAGAAGACAAATTCTTGGCTAAGATATAAGATTTACCTCTTTCCTGTTGCATGCCACTAAGCTTTACTTTGGTTTTTTTGGAACATGATACTCATATCAGGTTGGGGATTTAGTTTTTCTGAATTTTTCGCCAGATTTAAACTTGGAAGATCATCACAATTCTGACTCAACTGCTCTCCAAAGGGCAATAACTCTCATGTATATTGTTTTTGTTTTTTTTCAGTGAAAACAGTCAGTCGTCCACTGATACAGCTCTATCATCTAACGATGCTGCCACGCCTACCCAGAATTCAGTACCAGAGATGAGAGTTAAATCAGAGCACTCTGAAGTACTGGAAAATGGTAAGAATAGGTTCTATTGTCTTGTAGAAGAAATTTTGTTTTCAAACTGACTGACAACTTTTTTTATCAAGAGTTTTGTGTCGCTCTAACTTCAAAGTCCTGAGTTAGTCAAACCAAATTTATGCTTAAAATTGTGCAGACTACAGAAGAAAAAGCAATCTAGTTGTTGAATTCAGAAACAGCTTTAAAGTAACAAGAAAGGATTTACAAATCATGACTTCCATTGGCCACAGATTTATCAATTTTTGTTAACATTGCAAAATATTTTGGGTTTTCCATTAAAATCAATACAGGGAGTTAAAAGTATTTTATTAATTTCATTATTTGTATACAATATATTTATAGGTTTAGCTGTATTAACTAGTGTTATGCAATCACAGGCACCTAGTAACTGTAATTCAGTAGAAGCTTCACCTAGGAAGAAACCTCGAAAACAGTTATTGTAAGTATTCACTTCATTCTGTTTGGCCAGACTCTTACAGCTTGGGTTGACATGACGCTATACATTTATGGTTTAAACCTGCGATGTTTTGACAACAAACATTATTTTTCTTGACTCCATAATGCCAGAATCATTTCTACATCAGAGGTGTCAGAAAAGTTACCACAGGGATAACTGGCTTGTGGCGTTGGATTGTTCACCCACCAACAGGGAACGTGAGCTGGGTTTAGACCGTCGTGAGACTGGTTAGTTTTATTCTATAACGTATAATTTCAGACATGCTAACGAAGAATTAAAAGATAACTCATCAACTGAAGAAGATGATGAAGATGAAGAAATGGAAAGCTTAACAGAAATTAAAAAAGATAAATACAGTCCTAAAATAAAGGAGGAGCGATCAGGTAAATATCTCCAGGTCCAGAGCATAGGTGTAGGATGGTAAACAAGCTTTTGTAGCAATAAGATGCCAAAACAAAAAATTTTTGGATTATAAGGAAGGAACGATAACAAATATTTAACAAGTGTGAAGGGAGTGCTACAATGGCTCAGTGAGTTGTATACTAGCTGGTTAACCTGAAGGTCCAGGGGCTTGTTTCACAAAATCTTAACTAATTTTCAACCAAAATTTTAAGAAACATTGTTATGATTGGCTTATGAAGTTGAACTATTAATTGGTTTTAGCTATTAGCCAATCGGATTACTAGAATACTAAAGTCATTGGAAATTAAGTTTTTGTGAAACATGCCCTGGGGAGTTAATGGCTTCAGATTTTTCAATCCAGGTTACCCCTGCCACATATGCAGGTCTGAGGGTCAAGTCAACTGTTGGAAATACAAATAGAGTAGACTAATGCTGCTGTCCTAGATAATTTCCTTCATTGTACACTGCAAGGAGGATGTGAAATAAAAGTCCAAAAGAATTATCATATTTACTATTGGTTCAACTGCTATGTTGCCATTTTCTAAACTCGAGCTGTAGTCTTTTCATACTTTGTTATGTGCTTTCTATTATAGAATATGTAGATGAAGAAGGTGTAAGATGGACTACAGACCGATGTAAACCCCATATATCCTTACTTAACTTTTATAACTTAACTTGGAAAGCGAGAAATAATCATTTCTTAAAGGCTTCAGATGTTAAACCAAAAGGTAAGATCATAGAAAATTCCTTTGGATATCAACAATGAATAAACAGTGGAAATTTATTTGGAGGGAGAGAAATGATATAGTCAAGACATTTACAGAGATTTTATGTGTATCAGGGCCATTGAATGCTTTTTGAATCATCCCAAATTTTTCGTAATACATGTATGTGGTTCCTGTGATAAAAGAAATGCTAAACAGTTTTTGCTATAGTGACATCACATAACGTTTAGTTTTAGTGGAATTTCAGGAACCACAGACATCTGACTGAAAATTGGAATGGTGCAAATTGATGTCCCGGATTGATTTAAAAAGTTCAGAAAATATCTTTACAATCCCTTGAAGATGTCAGATGTAGAAATAATACAATATTCTCTATATTTGATGTGTATTATCTTACAGAGGAAAGAAGACCCACAGTTAATGAACTATCCAATCAGAAAGGAATTGTACAGAAATCTAGTGGTTGGAAACTATATCACATGGCAGCTCAATTAGAAGATTTGGTAAGATTTGAATTTTTCGTGGGGAGCCGCGGTGGCTTGCTAACCTGAAGGTCCAGGGTTCATTCCCGGCATAGGTTGAGATAATACCTTTGGATTTTTCAACCCGGTTTCCCCCCTGTCAGTGATGTAGGTAAGAGGGGCTGGCATGGAAAAAGTATCTAGTAGTTTGAATGGGACAATAAACCGAGGCCCTGTGTGCTACAGACTGCACGTTAAAGACCCCTCAACAGTTGGAAATCGAAAAAGAGCAGGCTAATGCCGCTATCGTATAATTTCTCTTATGGCACCCTACATGGCGTTACCCGTCTTCATTAGCCCACATGGTGCAGAAGAGTAGGACGTAAAACTCCATTAATTTCATTTCATTTGAATTTTTTGTGCTTGAAAGAAAGTTTGATCGACAATGTCTGAGAAAAACCAAAGTCTACGTACATGAAGTTTGAAATTGAAAAATTGTAGACTAAAACTTTTGCTTAAAGAGCTCGGATCATGGGGATATTGCCCACCGAGAGAAATACCTTGATGGAAAGTATCCCTAGTCGTAGAGAAACTCTTACCTTGCCACTAAACATGGTATACCTTAGCTAAAAAATAAAATAGTAAATATGTCAAATGAGGCAAGCAAAGTTTTCTATAGGAAGGGAAATAACTCTTGATTTAAGTAAATTCAGACCACAATGTTATCACCTCCTGTAGAGAGGTTACTAACATGTATTTCTATATTTGATCAAGATAATAATTTCAGGCATTAAATTTCAGGTTGATCTAGAGAAAGAGATCTGTGAAAGAGTAACCAAATATCAACATTTATTTGAACCTAAAATACCTACTGGTGGTAAAATAGAGAATGATTACAATAAACCTTATGAAATGGCACAGGTGAGATTTTATATTTACTCTGGTTTTTAACAGAAGTTCAAAAATTCTGGTCAAATTGCAGTTCATATCCTAATATTTGTTTGTTACCATCCCTATTGTTTTTTAGTGCTCAGTTGGTAGTGAGTTGGATTTTCATCTGCTAGGTAATTAGGTGCTGGGGGTTTGAATCCCCTTTAAACTTGAAAATTTGTGATACCATGGCAAGTGCATCTTAGAGTTTGGTTTAGCTTTGTCTTTCCATATATGCCATGATTATGAAAATGATATTAAATGGGCATGATATAGACGTAAACACATCTATTACATCATGACTATTTGAAGCTCCACTCATTGAAATTAATTAAGAACCCTGATGTGCCAAAGTTTTCTAATTGAGCTTTTTTTTTTCAGGCAAATATTCAGAGATGCCAGTTATTGGTAGATCAGTTATTAGAAGCGAAGTCGTCTATGTTGAAAGTTTTAGACCACAAACCTAAAATCCAGGAAATTGTGAATAAACACATGAGTAAACGACCCATTAAAAAGAAAGAAAGACCCTAAAACTCGTCTAGGGTCTACTTTCATTTTATATTTATAACAATTTAATCATTTCATTATATAAGGCATGTTTGTTTTCATTCATAATCACTTTCATATGTTATAGATTATAAAAAATCCCATTTCATTTCATTAACCAAAAGATGCAAAACAGTAGTATGATGTTTGTGAAAATCTATTTCATTTCATGGGCTTTATAAGATGCAAAGGAATCCATTTTATTTCATAAGCCCATGATGTACTCATTAGAAAGATATAAAAAAAAAATCAATTTCATTTCATCTGCTGACACAGTATATAAAACATTTTATTTCATTTGCTGACACAGTATATAAAACTCCATTTCATTTCATTTGCTGACACAGTATATAAAACTCCATTTCATTTCATTTGCTGACACAGTATATAAAACTCCATTTCATTTCATTTGCTGACACAGTATATAAAACTCCATTTCATTTCATTTGCTGACACAGTATATAAAACTCCATTTCATTTCATTTGCTGACACAGTATATAAAACTCCATTTCATTTCATTTGCTGACACAGTATATAAAACTCCATTTTATTTCTTTGCGGACACAGTACATAAAATCCCTTTTCATTTCAATAGCTGATGACAATAAAATAACTCAATCATGACCCTATTCCATTTCATTTCATTTGCAGAATAAAGTGCAGAACAAGACACAAAACTTTAATTCATTCGGCAAGTAATCAAATTCATTTCATTTTATATATTTATTAGGGCCTCTTTGCAAAGATGAAATAAATTAGAGATTAATTTGTATTTAAAAGTGATTTTGTAAATGAAAGTAATATTTGCCTGTATATTTTGTAAATACAATCATGTAGCTGCCAAATGGCAAACCAAATATTATTTTACAATTGAATAAAATTTCCTAATCATGCAAAACAAATCAATAGCAATATATTTAACCATGTGAACTCTCGAAATGCCATGCTGTTTTCTAACTTGATTGCAGAATGGCATCAGGTCTTAATGTGAACCTTAAATGACACTTGGTAGTCAAATTTCCAAGTGCATAGTGCTATCAGGTCTTCTTTTATAGATTTTATGCCAAGTACATTGACCATCATGCTTAAGTTAAGTTTAAACTCCAAGATTTTGCCAAGAATAACAGGTGCAGAAAAGTAGAACGTAAGACTCCATTTCATTTCAAATATTAATTCCTTGGCAAGAATGATTCTCTTCATTAGCTGAATCAGGTGCAGAAAAGTAGGATGTAAAACTCCATTTCATTTCAGCTTATTTTGCCAGGAATTTAGTTTTAATATAAATTTTGATCAATTGTATTTTGTAAATGTTGTATAAATTGTAGAAATATTTGTAATTGTATTGTAAATACCATAGACTCCATTTTGACACTGTATTAATAATATCATCATTTAAGTCAAACAGGGATTTTGTGCATATTGCGGTAGGATTCAACATATAAACAAGAGCAGTCTATTATTTTAAGGTAGAATAAATGGTAGTTGATACTCAGGGGTGAAAATGCCCGAGGGGAAGACCAAAAACGAGAGGTGTCTCTCCGAGGCAAGGCCCAAAGTTGTTGAAGTTGAGTCAACGATTTCAGATGGCCTGAGATGAATGTTGAGCTTAATTTCACATCAAATTAAGACCTTTTGGAGGCCTAAGGGGATGGTCATGGCCCCCTAAATACGTGATTGTTGATATTGTATAAGCCAGACTTGTATCGTGTTACATATTTTCTGCCATGTTTCACTTTAATAGTTAAACCTTGTATTAGGATCTTAGGACAAATTTTATGTAAGGTGATTTTCAAACCAGCCAATCAATAAGTTTCTACATGGGACTCTGATCCTGGTAAAAAGTAGCTACCTCAGATCTATTTGAATTAAGTGTGTCAGGGTACTATCTATTTATTTATAAGGGGGTATGGCTTGAACAATAATGGGAATAAGTCTTAATATACTGGTCAGATACAGTAATCATTAGTGCTAAAACTACCCAAAATGAAATGGACTGTTCCTGTGTAGGATTTGAATCGTTCCGTAATGTGCACATGTATCTTGGCTTAACTTATTATATAGTATAAATATATAAACTTTGTGATTCTTGTTTTTACATCCCCATGATGAACTGTGAAATTCTTTAATTTTGTGGGCAAAAAATTTCATTGAGAAGGGTAAAGGTGTGGGTACATGAGCAGTCTTGGTGGAGATTTTTGTCTCCGACTCGAATTTTGAGTAAAAACTCACATGTGTCTGTGCTTCCACCACCAGATTATTGTGTTGTCGACAGGATTTATAATATCAAACAAGTTTTATCGTCCCATCCGAACGACTAACACACATCCAGTGTTCGAAGGTTTTAAAAACAAACAGTAATATTGAGTTCTGATATATTTATTTACAAATCTAACTGTACAGTTTGCATTGGCAGCATTGCAAAAAACAAAGTGAATGTTTTTTTAGATATTCTTTTATCACCATGACTATAGTACCTGAGTCAATAATTCCATTAAATATTCTTAGATGATATTTTATACAGATGATGAAACTGTGGTCACTTTCTTGATATTTTAAGTTAATGGCAAGATTCTAGTCTGATATTCCTAAATGATTTTCAAAAATGTGGGTCTGGGGCCATGTTTCTTTAAAACATGATCAATTTCTTCAGAAGTGCGTAAAAGTACTTGACTTTTAAAACCAATCAAATTTAATAGGCCTCTTTTCACAACCGTTGCGCTAGTTTCTAAGAATTCTATGTTTTCCATCTTTAAGGCTTGTCAAATTTAAAATGGCGAATTCCAATCTTGAATGTTTCAATAATTTTGTTTTTGCCTTTAATGCAAATATTTTAATCTTGTAGCTTAAAACTAACAAATGGTGATTTTGCACAACTTTCTTTTTTCTAGAGCCAAATTTCAGATATTTAAATAAATTTGGGTTTGCCTTCAATGCAAAGATGATATTTTACATAACATACAACTATAATATAGCAATTGTATAACAGCTTGTAGGTTTAGCCATATCTTTATATATATTATAAAACAACCATTTTAACTTAATCAATTACGCCACACACACACACGTACTGTTAAGATATACACTTGTTCAACAAGTTCAATTTTTTTGGGAAATATATTTATATCATAGAAAAAAATAATAACTTAAATAACGATGGAATCCATGCAAAAATTCATGTTTCATAAACAAAAAATTTTCAAACATTGCATAATATTTTCATCAGAAAATAGATTGGCATAAAGGAACCCATTTTTTTTAATAAATTTTTTTTTTGGTGCCAACAATTAATATTTCTATAACAATTTTCGAATAACAATACAACCCATGTGGACTCTCTAAAATAAACATGGTGTTTGCAGATGGTAGTTTCTTAGATTAGAATTTTCACTTCAAACACTCAAAAGCAGTGTGATATCGGGTGTTTCTGCTACTGAGCATTTATGATAATAAATCCGCAAATTTGAGTTATAATAAAAAAAATGGTGTCTTTTTGACATTTCAAGGCTCAAATCAACAAGCCAGCATCACACAGAGCAATATGTGGACTCTCTAAAAAGGGTTGCTGAGTTCTCAAATCCAGTCTCAGAATGCCATCAGGTGTTTTGATCTTGACATTTATACCAAATTCTTTCAAACCAAACACACAAAACACACGACTATATATTTAGAATCCTAGAGGATGTCGTTGGAATAAACCACCATTGGCCACCACATCTTTAGAAATCTGGGCTAAGTTTCTATAAGTCTTGCCGGATGTGGGATTACTGATGTCATTTAGGTTACTTTTGATGCGGATGGCAGCCTGAAATTGGACAAAAAAAATTGAGTTTTGTTACTTTACTTCCGATTTTTGTTTAATTTCCTTAATTATTTACATTGCTTGAAAATATTGAATCTAATTTAGCCTTGGAGAATTGGGATAGTCAAAAAATAAAATCGCCACCTTTTGGAAAGAGCTCAATTTAAGCTTAATGTCAGACATTGTTTTTTCTGTGAAACATAATGATCCCTTGAAGGATCTCAAGTCAGTTCTGTCTTCTAACCCTTGATCAGTCCAAGATTAAGCTCTAGACCAATGAGATTCATCAAAACAAAAGTGGTTTTGTAAATTATTTAACGATTACTCTATTTGCAAGACCTGTTTTGGAGTCCCTTACCAAAGGCCAGAAAAATTCTTTTTAATCCATTCAACAATAATAGCAACTTCATAAAAGAAGTGTCTTACCTCTGTACACCAAGTGTTGGCAATAGTAGCTTCATGTTGAGCTGAGGCATGTTTTTCACTGAGACTTCGTGAAGCTCTTGATAACACAGATACCATAGCATAAATATCTATAGCTGAGTCCGCTAAACGACTAAGTAAAAACTGTTCATCTACAAAACAAAATTTGGAAGACATGTTAGAAAAAGGAATATACATGCTTTGGAAAATTTTGTTGAAAATGACATATTCAAATCAATCTGATATCAAAGAGGAAATCAAATAGGGCAAAGAAATGTGCTCCTGTTTGGCTGTCCAAGAGCTGTTTTCTTTTATTTTCCACCATTACATACTGCACAATGTGATAGAGATCTAATCCAATGAGTAGGCTACCTGAGTAAAATGTCAATTATAAGATGTTATTTTTTGAAATATGTGATCTATTTTTTCAGCTTACCAACTATTTTCTTGTTATATTTTAATAACAGGCTTTCAACTGTAGCACCAAAATCTTCAATAGCTTGAGAGGCCTGTCAGAAAACAAGAAGACTTAACATTAGTGCTGGGAATTGCCAGGTAAGAAAGATACAATAGGCCTATTTAACGATATTGTTCAACTTTCGCTTTCTCTTATATTTACAGTTTATTGTCACACGCTACAATGAACCTTTGTGAAAAATTTTGCATTCATTTATCGATGAACTACAAATTTGTGATCTCCGATGACATAATGACATGATCTATCATGACAATAATCGAACTAACACATGAAAATTCTGTGATTGTCAACCAATGAATGCAAAATCTAGAATCAATCTTTTTATGAATTTTGTTAGAATTTGCTATTAAACAAACTTTTCATACCTTAGAAGCAGAATCAGTGAGTTCTGGAGCTACATAGGGTGCTAGAGATTCACCAGTACTTAAACCAACTTTCCTAAATTAAAAATTTTAAAAAATTAGAACAGTGAGTGGCATCAGGCTTGCCTAGCTGGCAACAATGGCAGGCTTTTGCAGTGGAGCTTAAATCCAGTTTTTGGGCTACTTGATTTTTTTGAAGAGAAAATTGAATAAGCTTACCTCATAGCCATTTTGGATCCAATGCCAAAGATCAATCCTAGATTAGCTGTGGGGTTCTTCATGGCTTTCTGTAGTTCTTTTAATGATGCACCAGCATACTGTAATAATCAAATAACTCTTTCCACCCTCTAGTTTGGCTTACACATACTCAAAATATCATGGCACATGTCTTGCCACTTTTTATTATTACCTTTTACATTCTTAGTTTTGGATCAAGAGTGGTTTAATGTAACCAATTTACACCCTCAAGGCTGGCTGCATCACTTACAGGGGGAAACCGGGTTGAAAAATCTGAAGGTATTATCTCGAACTATGCCGGGGTTGAAGCCTGGAACTTCAGGTTAGCGAGCCAGCATCTTACTCACTGAGCCACTGTGGCTCCCTTGAACATTTGAAAGCCGACAAAACAGATAAAATATGAATACCTGAATACCAGTCAACGACACGAATAATCTTAAAATATCATTGGTTCCTTCAAAAATACGAAAAATACGTAAATCTCTCATTACTCTCTCTAGACCACAATCCTGAAAAAGATTAGTGAATAGTCTTTATCAACCATCCAAATCATAATTAAAAAACAGAATCCATTTGCAGGCAATCATAAACAGTAAGTTATAGTTATCTTATGTCCAAATCTGTCCTGACATTTCCATTCCTTAGAAACGAGTTTCCTTCTTTGTACAAACATTGCATACAAGGGATAATTAGACTTACTTCCCTTTCTATTTGGACACATGGTAACCATGGCAATGTGTATAATGCTTGGCTTTACTGAGTAAGTATTAAAAAACAAATGATCAGCACACATTAGTTGCTTATAAGATAATCCTGTCAATCACTGTGCTACCCTAGCTCTTTGTTGAACAGAAAGGAACTGGATTAGTTTCAAAGAGTAATTTCAACTTAAAAATAAAGTTTCCTACCTTCATGTATCCCATACCACCAAGAATCTGAATAGCTTCATCAGCACAGAACCAGGCAGCTTCCTGAAATAATCCATTAGATCCTTGTGTTATACATTATCACACTCTGAGATTGAGTTTCTCAACCTTTAAAAGGTTCAAGCATTCATCTCTTAGAATTTAAAACACTTTGAATACTCATGCAAGTAGGAACTAGCTGTATCTCATAGGTAATAAGCCAAAAAGAGGTCTGCCATGTCCAGAAAATAGTACCACAAGTCAACACCTGTGGTACCTATGCCAACCAAATTGATATCAAATGATCCATCTGACTGAAGACAATTAGAAATAAGCTGAAGGGCTTAGGAATTGAATATATTACGGCTACTTACGGAGGCAAAGACTTTACTAATAGCAGCTTCTATTTGGAATTCTGTTGAACCTTGATCCATATTGGCTGATATCATATAGGCCATTGACTGGAAATACAATCAGGTATTGTTTACTTCCATTTGTAAAAAAATGAAATGAGTTTTCCATTTCCTGATTGAGCTATGAAGACCGGGAAACCCAATGCAGTGTGCAATGAGGGAATTTCTGCCAGGACAGGACAGCGGCATTAACCTACTTTAATACTAAGTGTCTTTAATTTGAACATCCTCTAACACACAGGGCTTGGTTTATTGTCCTATCTGAACAACTAGACGCTTTTTACATGTCAGCCCCTTCTACAGGCTTCACTGACAGAGGAAATTGAGTTGAAAAACCTTGTACCCCTTTAATTGTTTTTAGTTCTAGGCATATTTTGGCCTATAAAAATATATATTTACCTCTGTAACATACTGTAAGATAGTCATTCTAGCTATTTTCTCTTGAATTACACCAAATGAATGAATTTTATGACCAAACTGAGTTCGACTGGCTGCATGTTCTACCTACAAAATTAAAAATAATTCTATAAATCTGTTTTTAATAGACAAATATTTTTGAGAGCACAATTTCTGAACTATTTATGACACTTTCAGAATCAAAATCTGAGATCCAGGGCTCCCTTTTCCCCCAAATGTTGAATTTTTCATTGAGAAATGACATCCATACTTGCAACAAATTCTTATTGAAACTTACAGCTTTTTGAATACAGTATTTCATAGTTCCTGATAGAGCAGCAGCCATTCCAAATCTTCCATTATTTAAAATATTCATAGCTACCTTAAACCCTCCTCCTTCACCTAAACAACAAATAGTAGATTACAATTTTGACCTGATTTGGAAATGAAATGAAACTAGTTTTACATCATGATTGTGCTAATGAAGACGGGCAATGCCATGCAGTGTGTAATGAGGGAAATTTTTCAAGGACAGCAGCATTGGCCTATTCTTTTTTTTATTTCCAACTGTAGAGGGACATTTAACGCGCACAGCCTGTAACACACGGGGCCTCAGTTTATTGTCCCATCCATACAACTAGATGCCCCAACCTACTTCACTGACAAGGGGAAGCCATGTTGAGAAATCTGAAGGTATGACTTTTGCCATGATTGAACCCTGTCCTTCGGGCCAGTGAGCAAGAGTTCAAATCAAAATGCTAGGTACCTGCTAAAACATTTTCAACTGGAATTTTGACATCTTCAAAATAAACTTCAGCTGTGTTGGAGGCTTTAATACCCATCTTCTTTTCTGGGGGACCACTGGAAATATATAACAAGAGTCATGTAACTTCAATTTTCCTCATTGATAGACTATAAAGCACTACACTAAAGCAAATTACATGGCCAAAATGGCATGCAAAGGATCTACTAGGCAAAAGCCTACAGTATGGATCAGAACTTCTGGCAATATCAGCCCGTAAATTCTGCATCACTGTGGAGATTCAAAGTTGAATAATCTGAATGTGCTGTGTTAATCTATATATATATCAAATCCCACAAAAGAGATAAGGGAAATTTGTTTCCATAGTAAAGCACAGACCTTTCAATCCTCCTTAATAAAAGAGCTTACCTAGTTACACCACCAAAAGATCTTTCTACAATGAAAGCAGTAACTTTATCTTTCGTTTCTCCAGTTTTTTCACTTTTCACTGACGTCTGAGCGAATACAGTAAAGATTTCAGCCAGACCACCATTACTGATCCAAATCTTACTACCGTTGAGTATGTAGTGTTTGCCATCAGGGGAGAGAACTGCTCGACAACGGATGGACTAAAAATAGAATGACATGGAGCTATACTTCCTGATTCTTTTTGGACCCTAGGAATTTAAATGAAGTTTCAAAATCCTACTGGTCTTTGCCGAATTGGGAAATTAAATGAATTTGAGTCTAAGGCAATACCGTACTGCCCTATATGAGGTCATGCAGTGTACAATAAGGGAAATTTCCCTAAACTTGACTCAAATTATACTTACACTAGCATCAGAGCCACTCTGAGGTTCAGTAAGACAGAAGGCTGCTACAGTTTCTCCAGTGGCTAGTTTAGGTAGATATTTGGCTTTTTGTTCTGGATTACCAAATAATAATATACCTTTAAACCCAATTGACTGAAATGGAAAAGATTTAGTTCTTGTCTTTTGTGAGCCTATAAAATCTGAGCAATGCAATCATGACGTATGTAAAGTTCTCTAGAAATCAATTCTAAGGTTGATTAATCAAAAGTGTCGTTTCTTTTCAAAAAAATACACTGAATTTAACAAAACCAGTTTAGAACTGTGGTTAAAAAAAAGACAAAATCCAACATAATTGACCCTAGCTCATTAATATCATATAGCTATTTTGAAACTGGGTGTAATATTTGCTTACCTGATGAGCACCTAGTGTAATACCAACACCTAAATCATGAGCACCTACAATCTCTACTAGTCTGGCATATTGGGTGTTCCTTAATCCTAGACCACCTGCAAAAAAATATCATTGTATATAAGATAGGCATGTTCATGTGGATTATAGCAGCCCAGATGGAAATCTTTAACACTTTATAAATTTTTCTTTTTTCTTCTAAATCAGTTTAAGATAACATCATGCACATTAACAATTTGGACACTAGTCTGAAACATATGCTTCTATTCCAGCGACGGATAGATATTTTAACAGTTATCAACAGGAGTAGAGTCAGAAAAACTAGGCCCTGTTTTATGAGGATTTTCCATGATATTCAAAGATGATCAAATTTACCTAGATCAGTTGGAACTTGTAGACCGAAGGCTCCCATGGCTTTAAGACCTTCCATTGTTTCATCTTCCACTTTCTCAATACTGTCATTCTTCATCGCATCATTTTGTTCCTAAAAAATAAAAATAATTTAGATCCTGTACTCATATCTGCTAGAGTCTTGAAAATGTTCTTAGGAATTTTCTAAATATCTATGAGGTACATGTTTGCCGACCAATCATACTTTAGCCTCAGAAACAGGAATCTTTAGCTAAGCTAATCAGTAATAGTGTTCACAGCTCACCGTCGAAATTCGAGCCTTCTAATTCATGCCAAGAACTTTCTGAAAATCTGATTCTTGCTTCAAGATGTCAAGAATTTTTGTCTGTTGAAAGAGGAAGTTATTATATTTACCTCAAAGAATTTAGAGACTGGATCAACCAGTTCCTGTAGAGTTTGTTTTTGATCGGGAGTTAATACTGAAATGATAAAATATACATGGATTAAAGTCACTTAAACGTTACCCAAAGTCTGTACTTTTAAAATAATAATGAGTAGTACTAAGTGTTTTAAATTCCATTTTTACATAATTTCAAAGGGAGTAAACAGTTTTCTTAGAATTCTCACATGTGCTTCTTCCAGACTTTTATGTTTCAGTGCAAAAAACAAAAAATACCACTGTTATTTCTAACAATTTCTTGGGCTTTTTTTTTTTCAATAATTGGTATTGTTTTAATTAATAATCATTTCATTGGGTAAGATAAGAAATTAGGCCTTTCTTACCTTCAGGAAAAGGGAAAACTTGATCAGTGGCTATTTTTCCTTTAAATAAATTCAACCCAAATGAGGACATAGACTGAAATGAAAAGAGCACAAAAAAATAAGCATAGGCCAAGCCATGGTCAAAATATCATCCTAAATAAACAAAGTCTGAAATGGTGAAACAGTCATTTAAAATTTGGAACTGAATTTTTGAAATACCAGCAGTCCTGAAAATGAATCAATCTTCAAAGTTCCTGAGGAATTATGGCATGTTTCAAAATATATTCTAAAATTGTAATGAATTGATGAAATATGTGGAACATTGCATTGTCTTTTATTAATCCCACTTGATTGATAAGGTAAGAATCAAATAGGATTAATTACAAATTCAATCAACCATTGTCCTAATCTATCAATTAATAGATTTAATAGGTCAAGTGGTCACTGTCATGACAAGTGGTCAGTCAGTTTATGTAAATGACCTTAATGACATCTAAAGTCAGTCAAGCATTAAATCTGACCAATATCCTAAGTATAATAATAAAATTATATATCTATCTGAATCTTACTAATGAGGACAAGGTTTACATTAGACTTTGAACCTTGGCCTTTTTGTTAAAAGATATTTTAGTTTTGTTATTTAATCAAGTTTTATTCTCAGATCTATACTTGGTAAACATTTTTAAGTTTTTATTCATTGCCAGTTATGTCTGACTTAGGTCTAAAAAGTCTGATGTTCTTTCAAATGGTTCAAGATTAAGAAATTGTACCTGCAATTTCCCAAGTTACTTTTGCCAGTTATGTCTGACTAATGTACAAGAATGTCCAATGTCAGTCCTTCAAATGGTCCAGAATTAAGTAAATTGTATACCTTTTTATCATCAGTGCTGGAATAGCGCTTTGAAGTGACAACACTGCTACATATTCTGAAAAATAAAGTAGATCTTAATTTGTTAGACAACAGAATGAATCAGACGGCAAGCTTCATTTTTTTCACTGCCATATGACTATATTTTTTCACTTGTCATAAACTGTGTGAATTAAGCTACTCATCTTATCAGAGTTTGCTTGTTGACATCTCTGAATTTCTTCAAATAAAGGGACATTCTATATCCAATACCCTAGGACATAAAAAAGGGGATTTCAACCTTTAATGTGTCATAGTTGGCAAAGCATATGTCTCCTTTCTTCTTCTTCATATTTTGATTCGTCCAATGACATAAAAGTACAACTACTATGCAATGATGGGTTCAAAGTCCACAACAAATGAAAGTAAATAAATAGGCATTACAATGAATGTTTTTCAATGAAATTCTACATAAACAAAACTACAAATTACCCTGTGATCTTATGCTGACTTTCTTTAGCAGCAAATGAAGCGACTTTCGTGATAAAATTAGCCGATCGCAACATTTTGACGTGCCAACTTGATCGAAACGTAGCAACAAACTACTATGAACTTTCTTCTGTCTACTGCTCTGAACTCAAAAGGTCGTGACACATGCGCAGTAATGAAACGTTTCGTAACATGGTTTCATAACCATAAAATTTTGGAAAAAACTGTTAATTTAGTTTCTTGTCTTCAAGTTTTGATACAGTTTAGTCCATATTCTTAAGAGCTAATCTTTGTTTTCACAAGAAAGCGCACTGAATTTAAATTTGACAAACATAAAAATCGTAGCTCTGGCAACTCGTAGCAATAATTCGTAGCCAATTCTTTATTCAAACCGTAACCAATTGGTGTTTAATTTAAAATTTGCCACCAAAATGAAGATTTTTTATTGTCTACTTGTCACTTTTATTCGAAATGATATTATTTCACATCATTTAAAGAATACGCGTTGTTTGATTCAGCAAAAACGATATAAATCAAATTAGGTTTAAATTATTTGTGGTCCGAGTCCTGGAAACTCTTCATAAAGGAGGTAGAAAAGGGTGCCCGTGAGAAACTAAGAAAATGGCAGAATCTATTTCTTGTATTTTTAAACTTCACTTTTGTATTGTCTCCCAAAAAGAACTTTGATGCCATTATTCTATAGAATATACTCATTTTGAGCGTATTGCAACAAAATAAGTAAGATGTCAACTCTTGGAGGAAACTTTTCGAATGTAGAACTGGCTTTTCCATGTTCATTTTTGAAGAACATTACTGCTTTGAATGACAATCATTACTTCTCTTCTAAATTGAACGAAGCTGATTGTTTTTTACAAGTTAAAAAATCGGCCCGAGAGGCAGTAGAAGACGACCCCATAATTGCTCTGCTATTTTCTTTCTCAACCAAAGCAATATCAAAAAGCCTTCTCAAAAATAAAAGTTCGCCAATAAAATGGCATTTTTCCAACTTCTCTGAAACTTCTGCAGAAGAGATGGTTAAACTCTCTACTAAAGAGGCTTCAAATGGAGAAGAACAGAGTGAAAGTCAAATACCTCCTCCAAGAAAACGAGGAAGACCGAAAAATTCTACAAAACCAAAACTATCAATGCCTGCTCCAGAAGAAACAGAAAGTAATTCCAATTCTGGAAGATATTCCTTAAGAGGCGTGAAACTGTCGTCCAAGATTATGAAACTAGAGATGGAAGAAGCTGATGACAATTTTGAATCTGAGTCTGACAATGATGCCAAACCCATCGCCAAGGAAGTTGTTGTAAATGACTTCCAAAAAGAATTTCTTAAATTTGATGGTGGCAAAGAAGAACCGAATCAAATTTTGGACAACCAACTTGACCAAAGCTGTTCTGAAGAAATGGATAGTATAAATTCTGAATCGAGTGTTCATGTAAAAGATAGTGAAAAAAAACTGGACAAGTCACAAGCAAATTTGAAGCAAAATCATTCTGAACTGAACACTCTGTGCGAAGTGGCAGCAATGGAAAGAGCAGTGAATGTAGAAAATGCCTCTGATATGACAGTTCATATAGATCCTTTGGAAAATATCATAGAAGAAAGACAAGAAATCATCTGCATTTTGTGTCCAAATAGTGAAATATTTGCAAGGAAAAAAGATCTCAGAGCTCATGAAAATGAGAAGCACAGTGATTTGACATGCTTATTTTGTGACAACCCAGACAAAAAATATAAGCATATCCACTCTCTGCGAGGCCATGTTTTGACAATGCATGGAGAAAATGCTGGTGCACAGAATAATTTATGCCACTTGTGCTCTGCCTCTTACAAATTCGCCAGCACGCTAAAGCAACACATCGAAGAAATCCATGAAGGAATTTACAAATTTGAATGCAACATTTGCCATAAAAAGTTTTATAGAAATTCTCAGTTAAACAGACACAAAAAGATTCATGGAGATTCTGAAAAGAAAATGAAATGTGATGTTTGTGGAAAAGGTTTCTGGCACGAATTTAATCTTCAAAGACATATTCGCCTACTTCATAATACCCAATCAGAACAATTTCACTGCTCTTATTGTGGCCGACCTTTCAGTCAAAAAGCCAGCATGATTTCACATGTTCAAAGGGTTCATTTTAAACTTTTTAAATTCAAATGTGAATTGTGCGAGTTATCTTTCGAGCAGTCTAAAGAACTTGTAAATCACATGAGCCATGTACATGATAAAAAGGACTTTGAAGTTCCTCGGCAAAAACCAGCCCACAACAAATACCTCAAAACTCCGGACGAAATGTTTTGTTGTCCTTCGTGTACAAAACGGTTCTTCTACAAAGCAGAATTAATTGTTCATATTTATTCCTTTCATGCAGACACTTTTCCTTTCAAATGCCGATATTGTCCTCAGGGATTTTTTAGACGACCATATTTGAGTCGGCATCGTAATGTGACACATAAGGAAGAACTGACGGCAGAAGAGGAAGAAGAGTTGACATTGGAGACGTCAAGTGAAAATCTGGCAACAGAGGTTAGTGGAAATGGTGAACGGAATTCTCAAGGTGTAGAATACTTAGAAGAAATAGACATGAATTTGAATAATGCTGATCAGGAGTATGTGTTAGTTCAGGCTGCTGTGGGTCAAGAAGCAGCAGATTCCTCATTTGTGGAAAATTCAGAAAATGTGGCTTATATTTATGACTATGATAAGGGCAATGAAGCTCCTGCTTCCGTGGACAGTTCAAATGAAATCGTCACCTCAGGAAATGAACCCATGATGATAGATGTGGAAGATGAAGGGCAAACAATTCGTTATCTCATTCAGCCAAGCGAGGACGGCAAAACTCAGACTTTCAAAGCAGAAGAATTTGCTAAATTTATTGTGGCGGCAAATAATAATGATTTAGAAATTTTAAATGAATCTGAAGTTAAAGTAACAGGTTCTATTGAAGAAGTTGAAACTGTCCAGCATTAGAACCTAACTAATCAGCATTGGCCAAATTTTCTTTAAAGTATCTCACTTAATTGTTAAGAATTTCACAATCATGTGACATTTTGACTGACAGCTAGCATTAGGTTCGAAGTAAGTTAGAACATATTGAGTTAAATTGGCTTCTCTCCCATTCCTTTAGCCCATTTCTTGAATGAGATGAACTGGAATGCAAGAAAATTACTAAAATATTTCAGAAGTCAATTAGAGAAAATATATCTTGTTCCATCATTTTGTATGTTAAGTTTTCTTTTTTTATAAATTTATATATAAAATTGGTTGTCATTTGGTATTTTATTTGTAAACTTGGTTTATATTTCAAGAATTAGTGGTTGATTTTGGGTTTAGGTATTTTTCAACTTTTCTCTCTCTACTTAGAAAGTGAATTGTAAAGAGGTTTTCTAACTTTTTTATGCATATAGGTCAGGCGTTTGTGGTTCTGGCAATTCCACAAAATATAGGCCCAAATGTTTGATGACATCACTAATCCCAAAATATGCTTGAATTCGTGATTAATGACATTATCAAACACTAAATTTAAGTGGAATTGCAGTAACCACAGACATCTGATTGAAAATCGGAATGGTGCAATTTGATGCTATCAGTGTCCCTGATGCACATAACAAATTTAGAAAACCTCTTTACAATCCCTTTAAAGTACAGGTTTTAATTCCTTGGAGCGTATTGCATTACCAACATTATCAACATCTTATTATTTCTGATAAATAGCAATTTATTTTAATTTTATCATATATTGCACTGAATGGTATACAGAATAGTTGCGTTTCGGGAAAATCCTATTATTTGTCAGATCCTAAAAATTGAGGTATCCGTTACCGAAAATAGAAATTTGAGTGCGACAATCGTCAAAAGATATATTTTCAAAAAGATCAATTTATTAACGATTTAAACATCAAAAATATTATTCATCACATTTCTTGTAAAACATTGATCACTCTTTTGAACTATATTTCGAAATTCTACATGTTTTGTATATTTTATTTTTGACACTTTTACGACATACCCGACACGTTTAAAGCGTAAAATGCTGATACCGAATGGTGTTAAAAATAATTAAGAAATATCGATATTTTGTGAAAGAAATCGGTCAGAAATCCGGTGCTAACTCGTCTGCAATAAATTTCAATGAAAAACTTTGGAAAATAGCTTAAAAACTGATTTTGTACCATGCTAAACGATTATACTTTCTTTGTTTACATTTTTCTGCTGTGTTTACATCTCAAATTGACAGATTGCAAGTCTACCTCCGGTGTGTTAAATTCGTACACTGCTCAATCTGAAGGAGGCCAATACATCTCCTCATTTTGTTTTCATGGTAAGTTGACTAAATCCATTAAGTATCAGTTTGGGATCTGCGATTTTTTATGTTTGCCTTTTTATATTACCTCATTGTCCAAGTTGTCCATCTGGGAGTCTGTTTCAGAAGTCAGAAGAAACTTTTGACTTTTTTTTAATCTGTTTGTGTTTCATTGAGATCTGAAAACTGTACAAACGAATGATTTGGCATAAAATAATTATTAATATTATAGTAAAAATTGTTCCAAGTATTAAGTGCTTTGCTTGACATAATATGACAAGAAACAACAAAAACCCCTTTCTTACAAATGAGCTCTTCCAATCATACATATTTATCAAGTTTCATATAGATACAAAGGATGCTTGTGAGGAAAAGTTCAGTAGAGTTATGAGGGGTGTTCAATTCAGGACAGGCACACTATTGTGTCTTGATTGCGTGCAATGCCTACACTCACAGCCTAAGTTTTAGGATGAAAGCTGACTATCAAAAGCACAGGATACCTAGGCTACACATTAACATCAATAATCAGGATTGAACATTTGATTTTTCATTACAGGAAATGCTGAGTTAAGATATTCTATCAACACAACTGGTAACCACCCTGTCTATTTATATCTGTATCTAAATGAAGATTGGAGAGATGCTAGACAGGATGATAATTGTTTACGCCAGCTTGATAAAGCTAGACTTGTATGTAAGTATGACAAGGTTAGCCATGTCCAGTTTCAGTTAAATGTAGCCATGATGAAATTACAACTCGGTTTCCTTTATACAATGACGGTTTTGAGTTTGAGTTACACATGTAATCGTAGCTTAAGCCCTAATTACTTAATTCTACCTTCAATAAAAAAAAACCTTTTCTTGTTGATGTGTTGATTCGAACCAGAATAAAAATTTGATTGACTGCAGTCATCTATACTATTACAAACCAACTTGGTACAAAGTATAGCTTGACATAGAAGATGGATTATAGTGACCATGGTTACATCTGAATGAATTGTCTGACCCTTTTCTTTCAGATCACTTGAATGCCACTAAAGGAAACTTGAGTGTGTCCCATTTTGTGAGGCCCCGGATCTGGCATGTAGTATATAGCGATGTATTTACTTGTGATGACAGTAAACTGAAACTACCAGGGGAAATACCTAACTATGTAGAATATAATATCAGCTTTTATAACCCTGATTCTTTGGGGAATCCCACTGAACATTTTGGTGATGATGTCACAGGTAGGTCAAAGTCATTTTTTGGGGGGATTCCTTAGGTCTTTTGCGTTTTATTTCCCTTTGTGCAAATGCCACGAGAATCTAGCTCAGAATGTGCATGATCTCCTCAGGCATGTAAAAAGCTTTTGAAACTTATTCAACATATATTTTGACCATTCAGAATCAATGATATCAAAAATTATCCAAATGCACCAGAAAAGCTGCACATGAAATTTCATGTCATTAGTTAGATGAAGATAAAAAAGTATACTGCTAAAAAAGATCCACATTTGTCCTTCCTCAACTATGGATCAAATGGGCGTTCCTCTGCATGAAATATTTAATATTTTCAATTGGTTATTTTCAGGTCTCTACAGGTTCTATCAACTATTAACTCTGGGTTATTTTGTATTAGCCTGTATATTTGCTCCTAGGTTATATCAAACATTGAGTAAAGGTGGACCAATGCAGTTAGTTATACAGCTACTTACAGCGTCTGTTTGTCTACAAGCTGTTGGTGGATTCTTAATGATGCTTCATTTACGCAGGTTTGTACCCAGTTTGAATCTTTAAGACTTGAGAGCCATTTTGCTTTTGATAAATGTCTGTTACTCAGAGTCCGAAAAGCAGGCATTGTTTTCAAAAAGGTTTCGTGACTCAATCTTCAAATACCTTAGAGTATGTTAGCTATCAAGTCTAGTATCAGAGCTATGATGTTAAAGTGTTTGTGAACATGTCTGATTTTTTTTTTCAGTTATTCTAAAGATGGAATGGGTTCACCTTTTAAGGAATTACTTTCTGAACGTAAGTCTTCTTTCTAAAACTATTTGGCATATAATCTTGTAATCTTTCAAATCACATGAATAAGACATATGAAGTTATTATGGTAGAACTGACTATTTTAAAACAAAGTACTTATTGTAGAAGTGAGTTAATCAAAACTAATTCTTCTGTGTTATTCATGTGCTTTGTAATGAAAGAAGTGATTTAAACTATTAAACACCTCCTGATTTTGTTGTTCTCTGCCCCTTAATTCTAAATGATATTCTATTTCAGTCTTTGATGTGTTGTCTCAGTTTGCTATGTTATATATGTTATTAAGTTTATCATTGGGTTGGACTCTAGCTAGTGCTCACTGTAGATATTCTCACCTATCATCTATCAGTAAAAAACCAGCAGCTAAAGTTGTTGGCGTGCTAGGTATTCTTCAGGTTAGTATCCTTTAGTAAACATTTTCATGGTATTTTTTAAATGGCCAAGTGAATGTTTACCAAAGAAATTTAAGCTAAAGTGATCGAATGCAGTAGCTTTAATGGGTACGGGTTGAAAGCAGACACCGCACCGCGCTAACTCTTGGAAGTGCTGGCACAGGCATCAGAATTTTCCTTACTTCAAATTCTTATTCAAACTCAAGGCGCCAAATAGCCTAGCAGATGACAATCCAACTCACTACTGACTGACCTATTCAACTTCCACATTATAAGCTTTATTGAAATTTTCAGGGTATATTATTTCTTTCTGAACAATATCAAGACAGGGGACATAGAATGTTCCATGCACATAGAAGCTATGCTGGCATAGCTCTAGTCGTGCTGAGAATTCTATTGGCAGCTTTATTTGCCTGGAATCTTCATACTACTATATCAGCTGAAAGAAGTTCTTTAAAAAGAGGTTTTTATGGCACTTTTACTAAGGTAAGTCTTGTTTCTAAATTAAATCAATCTTAATGCTTTGAAGAAATTTGTAAAAATTGATGGAGTTGTCCACCAGTACAGGATTGTTAAGTGTTTTCTTTTATGTGTATCAGCAACACTGATATCATCCAAAGCACATTGAAATGGCTTTGAGCTTGCTAATCCTGACCCCAAAAAATCAATTAACGGGCATAACGCTCCCTCAAACTTGTGCTGAAAGAAAATAAATGTAATGACTTTACTTAGCCAGAGATTTTGTTTTATAAATTGTCTATGATCACTTTATATTACAGTTATGTATGTTATGGTTTCTATGTTTTCCTGCTGCAGTAGCAGTTTCATGGCTTCTTCCAGAATATCTAAGATTTAAGGTACCATAATTTGCATTATTAATTATTTGATAACCAATATCGTGTTAGAAGCACTATTGTCAGCATTGAATAGGTTTAGGGAAAGAGATAAACTTATGAAAATTTGCCTTGAAAGTCTTATGGGACTGAATTTTTGCAATGTATATCACTTTTCTAAAGAAAGAATTGACTGAGGGGTTCATCTACAATTTAACGAAAATGAACTGATATAACTTTTGGAAGTAATGTAACTAAAGTTAAATACTATCTCAATTTCAAATTAATATCCTCCCTTCAAAAAAAAACTAGATGTTATTAAAGAAGTGCCCTAAATAATGATATCACCATCTTGAAAACTGAGCTTTAACTACCAATGTTCTCTATTTCAGTTAATCACTATGAGTGTAGTCCTAGTGCAGTCTCTAGCAGGTGCTCTATTATATAAACTATTCCTGTCTCGTTCTTTATACTGGGAGGTGTCAGCTCTCTCTAATACTCTACCATTACGTATGGACAGAAACTTCGGCATTAAACTCTACTCCTGACAACCAACTGATCATAATCTCTCTATATTTGAATGCTGAACAGGTCTGCAGACTTGGATGAACATAATATGAAGGATGGATTTATTAGCATGCTGAACAGGTCTGCTAGCTTGGATGAACTTATTTGATGGTGAACAGGTCTGCTAGCTTGGATGAACTTATTTGATGCTGACCTGGTCTGCTAGCTTGGATGAACTTATTTGATGGTGACCAGGTCTGCTAGCTTGGATGGACTTATTTGATGGTGAACAGGTCTGCCAGCTTGGATGAACTTATAAGAATGCTAAACAGGTCTGCTGGATTAGATGAACATATTTGAATGCTAAACAGGTCTGCAGGGTTAGATGAACATATTTGGTGTATGGCAGTTATGAAAAGTTTTCTAGGTTAAATTTGATGGTTTTGCTGAACTGGTCTCGGTATGACAAGTGAAGGAATTTTCGACAAGTTTGGATGGATTTTGGGAGAAAGTTTGAAATCTGTTTTGGAAGATCATTTTGATATTTGGATGGATGCTTAGATGAATAAAAGGTGTTGGCTGCATTTTAATTCGAATGCTGAATAATTCTCTTTGTGTGTGGTTTATGGGGTGTGGTTCACATGGATGGATGTAAGGAAGGAATAGTGAATCTCGATTGCTGCTTAGTATTGAGCACCAATTTGGAATAACGAAATGGACTATGTGTAATCTGTGTTAAGTTAGTGCCAAAAATTTTCTTTCCCACAATTGTCCAAGATGAGAAAATGCTTCTGATGTTCTCAGTGGGCAAAGTTTGGAATGTTGTCTTCCATTGTAATGGTAGGGCTCATAATGGGCAGCCATTGAAGTTGAAAGTTATCAAGTGAAGATCATACAGACTTAGCATTGTTCATAATAATGGGATAAACTCCCCTAGTCAATACCCTAAAAGATCATCTCGTCAGGGCTGTTGATTGGAAATCTATGTGACGGACAATTAAGCTTATTTGGAAATTGCTTATTGAAGCTTTGCCAAGCATTATACATTTTGGTTTGATTATAAACATAAAAATCACATTTAGCCACCTCAAAATGATGAGTTGAACATGTCTGGCAAATTTTATTTGACAAATCAACAGCCCTGATCTGCAATCATTTCCTAATGAAGGGAGGTAATGCATGATGATCCAATGGTGTCTATTTGTGATTCTATATCTGTCCATGTAAAAATTATTTCTTTAGAATTCTATGTCAAATTAAACAAATTATCAATTATTTTGGCCTGTCTTGCAGGAATCATATTGGAATCAAGCCATATTTTCTGTCCTAGATTTCTGCAACTCAAGAAGATTACAGCAAGCAGTGTGCAATAAGAGAAATCCTGCCAAGACAGCATGTCAGCCAATTGTCCAATTCTTTAACATGCAACTTGATTTATTTTCATATGTGTTAAAAGTTAAAGGTGTTGTTTGAGGATCTTTTAAATATGATCAGAATAAGGAAATATAAGCTACAATGGATGAAAAATTATTTATTCAAAATAAGGATCAATGTCTATCACGATATCTATCTGAAGCACGACTGGGATATTTATCTGAATCATGATAAGAATCTCTTGATCTTTCATAATTTCGAGATCGTTCATAATCACGATCACTGTTCAAATACTTTTCAGATCTTCGTTCAGAATATTGTGATCGGTCATTTGCATCACGATAATGTTCACTCCTAGAATTATCGCCATAGCCGTCACTTCTATAGTTATCACGATCCCTAAGAGAATTATCATGATTGTCTCTTGATCTGTCCAAATCTCTTCTAGAATGTTCAAAATCTTTGTCCCTGTGTCGAGGTTTTTCTCTATCCAAGCTTCTGTCATTGTCTCTTCTGGAAAAGCTGCCATTGCGATCTGCATTTCTGTCCGAACTTCTGTCCCAGGAATCATTCGGCGAGTAATCTCTCCTGGACCGTTCCCTAAATCCATCCCTTTCATTTTGTCGCTTTCGATTGGATTCCCTATCCCTAACATCAGAGTGTCTTTGGCGGTCACCTTTATCACCTTCCCAAAAGTTTCGGCCATTTTGTCCTTTTCGATCGGATTCCCTATCCCTAACATCAGAGTATCTTTGACGGTCACCTCTATCGCCTTCCTCAAAGTTTTGGCCATTTTGTCCCTTTCGACTGGATTCCCTTTCTCTAACACCAGAGTGTCTTTGACGGTCACCTCTATCATCATTTCTGGGACCATCCCGCTCCCGAGGAAGTCTTTCTTTCCTCCCTTCCCACACAAGAATTTCTATCCACAGCTTTTTCATATCCTCTGTCCTCGCGCTCTGTTTTGATTTTTGTGTCTTGTTCATCCTCACTGCTTGATTCAGATGACGAACTTGCCTTCTCTTTTTTCTTTTTCTTTTTTTTCTTGTCTTTTTTCTCTTTCTTTGCTTTTTTATGTGATGCACCCTTTTCTACAAAAAAAAAACAAAAACAAAATCAGGATTGTTTTAAAAGGATACACTCAATACCAAGAGGTTTTGTCAAGGACCAGCTGGTTGACAGGATTTTTTATGAACCAAAGTCGTTCTCAAGCGAAAATGTATGCTGTTTTTTATTTCTTTCTATTTCACTCAAGCAGAATTTAACAAATTCAATAGTCAGATGATATTTTAGAAGAAGAAAACAACAATACCTTTCTTAATCTTCTTCACGTGAACAACAAAATCTTCCTCTTCCTCTTCAGAGCTTGGTTCTGGGCTGGGTGTTTTAGGAGCAATACCTTCAGCTCGTACTCTTTTAGTCACCTCATCAGCTTCTTGTAGTTCTTTAGGTAGTTTATACTCTTGGACATGATCCACTCTTAGTGTTCTTCCACATAACTGAAAAGAAAAAATTAAAGGAATTATGAGGTCACCATGCCAATTACAGTACAGGACAACACGCAGGGTCCATGATATCAGCTTAGTCTTCCAAATTGATCTCTGTCTAAACTATTTCAGCTTTCCAACATAAAAGGCTGTCAGAGATACATCCTACATGCCATATTCTGAAAGACACTGGATCTCAGTTTTCGATCAAGGATTTGTCCTTCAATTTGCACGCTTCTTCAACCAGCATCACTGATGGGGGATTTTCAAAATTCTTACCTTAAAGCCATTGAGGTTATCCACTGCTAAAACAGTAGACCGTTGATCTTCATAACAGAGGAAGGCAAAACCTTTAGTTTTACCAGTTTGTTTATCTCTGACCATGTTAATATTCACTAATTCTCCATATCTAAAATACATAAACTGATATAAGAATTGGCATATCATTTCAGAGGGACATAATTGACTTTGTCTTATTGACTTATAGATAAGAGTTCGGTTTCAGCTATCCATGGCACGTATCAGAATTAAAATACAACATCTTGTTCTCCACACTATTCATTGAAACTTCTCAGTTCGTCATAAAAGATTAAGAAAAGAGTAGGGTTTATTTTGTTCAGAATATGACTCAAAAATAGCACTACTCAGCAAATGACGAAAGTTGACAAAATGCTTAGAACTGACTTCAAGATGTGCATTTTACTCTTCTTGACTATCAATACTTACTGTGAAAATACACAAATGACATCCCCTTCTGTTAAATCATAGGGTAATCCACCAATAAATATCCAAGCACTGTCTTTATACTCATCATGCCAGGACTTCTTACCAATAACACCCAGTTCTAATTCGCGCTGGTTAATTTTGTTTAAGTTCTTTACATTCCTGCAAATTCAAGAAACCATTAGCAAATTACAGCCTTTGTTGGCATTTCCAAAAAAAACTTGCATATAGTAGAAGGGCTTAGAAGTGGCACAGGCAGTAAGCTTAAAAGATATCTGACAAAGGTGCGAGCTTTTTATTACAGGGAATCCAGTTCAAAATTAAAAGGGTTTGTTCCAGTTGTTGGTCAGGCTGTCTGAGACTAGAAATGTAGACCACCCAACAGAGACAGGGACTAGGATAATCGTAACTATGATGGATGTAATGTCAATGATGATTTACTTGATGCTTGGGAATTGGTGGCCGGTGTGGGGTTCGAGTTGCTTCAAAAAAGAAAAATGGCTTAATAATAATCCTGAAACTGAAATATTCCTGTCAGGAACTCAAAAACCAAACGTGCTTACGTTAATGGATTCATATTTATGGCAACCCGTTATCTTTCAAATCAATTAAGAACTTTCGTGTCGCTTTTCACAAAACGTTTTGTAAATACGAGTACCATTAATTGGTCTATATCCGTAATTTTTGCGACAATGTACGAAGTAGTTTTCTATATTTTTTCGGACGTAATACTAAGATATCAGATATATTCATCAAAAAACGCTTTTGGGGAATCAAATTAGTTTATTATCGACATAAGAATGAATTTTCATTTTCAATTTTGTTAACGACAATGGTTAACCTTATTTGCCGCAAACAGTTAACCAATCAGATGAAAAATTTTATGACACGTGATCCTGGTTATCAACCTGTAAACAAATGGCCGACATTGAGCACCTGAATATTTTTCACACTTTTTGACGTTGGAATAAACAAGGTAATTACAGTTTTTACAGGTTTTTTATTTTAGATTTGTATGATTTATGCCAATAATCCACGTGTTTATCTTAAACCATTTCCACAATTTTAATTTGTTCTGAACGCGAAACCGACTGAAATTGAAATGTCAAAATTTTTAGACTTTGTTTCTTTTTTTTAAATTTTTACACGTCCAAAGAGTACACCGAACATCAATCTTTCAAATAGTTTTGGCGACAAAAAATGAACAGCAGTTACTTTCAGATAAGTGAAAGGATACATTTCTCAAGTTTTTCATAAATTTGAGTAAAAAAAAATATTGACCCCAAAACCCCCCAAAATATATTTTACCATTGCGACATTGGAAGTGACAGATTAGTCCAGTTTAGTAAACTGATAAAGTGATAACTGCAGGCAAAAGGCTACAGAAACAGAGAAAATGTTGGAAAAATATTTCGAAGGTTAATAAGTTATCATCTGTAAAATTTGACAGATCTTTGTTTTGAAATTTTCAGGAATGATGGAAATGTGAGAAAGTTGAAAGAACAGAGTGTCGCTAGGGTAACATCATCTGACAACTTCAATGACCTTGACCCCTGAATCATGGACCAGAACGAAACACCAACAGTGACTGAATCCAACATGGAGGAGGAGTCAGAAACTGAAACATGTTCAGAGAGAAGTTTAGAAATGTTAGTTGAGGAACAATCTAGAGGTGTGGCCTTCATGGATAATGATGTAGAGAAATATTCCGACTCTGGAAGTGAAAGTAGTGGGGAACCAGCAGAAAGCATGTCAGAGACGACAGACAATAAAACAGACATTGATGCCGACGGTGAGTTTGATATTGTCAAGACTGGAAAATATACATCAAATCATTTTGATTAAAGAGTTGTTCTAAAGGGAGATAACCACTCAATCCAAAAAGTTGCTTGGTTGGTATATGATAAGTAGACCAATCTAAAAAGTTGTTTTCCATGGTTTTACCATGTCACCTCTGTATATTTTTTCTCTAAAAGTTCAATCAATAGAAAATGTAGATTTGGCATTATGTTATCACAATGGCTCATAAATTCTATCTTACCATAGTTCTTAGTTGGTTTACTCTTCCAAAATCTGTCTGTATCATTAGAGCTAATTTTTCTTGTGCAACAAGTATGCCCTTTCAGAGAGTGCAGAGTCTTAATGATATCATTTCAATATACTTTGCATTATGACATCACAATGGCTTCATGAATCTCTCAAAGCCCTCTATGACATCACAATAGAACACAGTGACTGAGATACTGATAGTGAAAACTGTTTGATTTTGTTGTTCCAATGCTTCTTCTAGAAGTAGTTTGGATGTAAAAAAAATTCTAAATGGTGAAAAGGATAAATTATCAATACAAACCTTTTCAGAAAATTAAATATGCCCCATGGATTTACTTAGGTAAGAATGTTAATTAACAGTAGAGGTCCTAATTTGGGCTGTCGTGTTTGTGTTCACCAGTCCTGTCTGGTTTGAACTTCAAAATGATTGTGACGGTCTTTATGTTTCAAAGTGATCAAGTTTGGGCAAGGTAGGTTGTGTTCTAGATGTTCCCTAGCACCCTCCTACATTTTGCTCTTGGGTTACGTCATTCCTCTACATGCTATTGCAAATTCAAGAGGGATCTTTTATTATAAATCAGTCAAATATTCTTGCTTTTTTCTTGTAGAATCGTCGGCCATATTAGATGTCAAAGGGTCACGAGATTCACATCCTAAGATAGTTCAAAATTTTCGTTCCGAACCAAAATCAGAAGCAGAACTCAGTGCTAAAAGCAAAAGGTAAAGATGGCTGGCTTAATTTTCCAGTTTTGAACTCCGTATGATTTCCTGGATATGTTAAAACTGTGCATGGATAGAGTTTTCTACATCAGTACACTGCACCCTATAGAATAACATTCCTGACTTTATAAACTGTTTGGTTTGATCTCATGTGAGATCAAGAATGAGTAAAGCAACCCACAGAAAAAAATGAAACTAGAAATCTTCTCCTATTTTGTACTCTGATCACACCTAAATGGGGGAAACTAAAGATTAAAGATTCAATTTGATTATTTTTTCTTTTTAGTGGATCAGATTTACCAGTCATGAATACATACATAAGTTTTGATGGTCAGGAGAAGACCATGGTTTCCTTGGTTACCCAGACGGATTGGGACTGGGTGGAAGAGGCTTTGATAAAACAGGAAAATGAAAAAGGTATGTGCCAATCAAGTGGATAATTTTGTTTGAAATGAGTATGTTCTATGCTTAAAGTGCTAATTTGAGAGATTTCAATGCACAGTAAGTTCACAGTTTGACCATAAATCTTGTCTACACTGTAGACAAACTAGCGACAGATACATGAACTATGGTGCCATGTACCACCCCCTTCAACTCGAAAGCACCACTTTATTTTGTCTGATTTGTTACAGAAGAGAGTGATAGTGAACCTGTAGAACAACCTGTATCTACCAAGAGATTGAGTAGATCTAATACTACAGATAAACCAGATTTTACCCTACCTCCTATAGCTGGTATACTTTCATTCTTTCATTCAGCTCACAGCTAACATAAGCACATTTATATTGCACCTTTTCAGCTTTCAGGCATGCTTGCATAATTATTTTAGCACAGACCAGCCTGTAGTGTCAAGAATATGCTATTGTATCATCTATTGAAGCCTAAGCCTAGATCAGCCTGTATTTATTTCAGATGCTTTGATATATGTTTGGATGCTTTCATTTTCATTTAAGCACAGACTGTAGTTCAGATGCTTTCATATTTGTTTTAGCACCAACCAGCCTGTAGGTCAGATGCTTTCGTATTTGTTTTAGCACCAACCAGCATGTAGGTCAGATGCTTTCATATTTGTTTTAGCACCAACCAGCCTGTAGTTCAGAGGCTTTCGTATTTATTTCAGCACACATCAGCTTTTAGTTCAGATGCTTTCATATTTGTTTTAGCACCAACCAGCCTGTAGTTCAGATGCTTTCATATTTGTTTTAGCACAGATCAGCTTTTAGTTCAGATGCTTTCATATTTGTTTTAGCACCAACCAGCCTGTAGGTCAGATGCTTTCATATTTGTTTTAGCACCAACCAGCCTGTAGTTCAGATGCTTTCATATTTGTTTTAGCACAGATCAGCTTTTAGTTCAGATGCTTTCATATTTGTTTTAGCACCAACCAGCCTGTAGTTCAGATGGTTTCATATTTGTTTTAGCACCAACCAGCCTGTAGTTCATATGCTTTCGTATTTATTTCAGCACACACCAGCTTGTAGTTCAGATGCTTTCGTATTTATTTCAGCACACACCAGCTTGTAGTTCAGATGCTTTCATATTTGTTTTAGCACAGATTAAAGGCTTCTTCATTTGTTTTAACAACCAGTTCAGGGCACATTGCACAAAATATTGCTAATTAAACCTTCATCCACAAAAGCACCGTAGATATAAAGCAATTTTGCCTTCTTGTACAGAACACTGTCAGGCCTGTAGCTGTGCCTTCCCGAAAAAATAGAATGCAACCCTGATAAAATTCTGACAACCAACCAATTCCATTACTGCAACTAAACACCATACACAATTGCCACTCTGGCTACAGACTCCCCCCGAAAAAAAATTGCCCCATGATTTTCATTTTTTATTGTCTAAGTGTAAGCTTACAAATTTGTATTCCTTCTAATGAATAAAGTTTATTTTGCAGCTAAATCTGTGTCTGGCCGAGATTTGACGAGTAGAGGTAAAACTGACGGTACCTTGACCTCCCTGGACACGACGTCACTCAAATCACCTTTTTCTATGCCCCCTAATGATGAATTTGGTATTCCTTTATTAGATATGACTTCTTCTGATGATGATGTGAGTATACAACTGAAGTTCTTGAGTTTTTTTCATGTTTTGACCTTTCACTTTTCCAAATTTAGAATTTGGATTTTTCAAATTCAAAGTTTTTATATGTTCAGTTTCATTGGTTTTTGTTATTTCAAAAAATGGTATACTGATAGCACAAAAGTACCTGAGACTTGAGCTAGTGATTCTCTCCAGTTCGTTGTTTTGTTATCTTGTTTGTTATTTTGTTATGAATTGAACAAATACATTTTCAATCTTGGATTTTCTCCAATTTGTTCTTTTGTTTGTTATCTTGTTTGTTATTTTGTTGTGAATTGAACATACATTTTCAGTCTTGGATTTTCCGCAATTTGTTCTTTTGTTTGTTATCTTATTTGTTATCTTGTTTGTTATTTTGTTTGTTATCTTGTTTGTTATCTTGTTTGTTAAATTTTTATTATATTTTCAAACTATTTAGAGTTGTTCCGACGATGACATACCTAAAAATACCAGTGATGAGCCACCATTGTTACCTAGTATTGGACCACCTCAAATATTACAGGTATCCTTGTAATGACTTTATAACTGTCCTAACTGATTCTTTACCTAAAACACTATTGATATCTTATATCTGTTCTAATTAAAGGGGGAGTGTCCATCAGCTTGACAATTACATTTTTTTCAATTTTTATGAGCATTCTTGTTCTTCAATTAATTTCAATAGAGGCCTGGAGGGAGTAATTATGGTTTTATCTTCGTGTTTTAAAACATTTTAGAGATATATTTTGAACATTTTCTTTACCGTAGCATACTGTTTATCTGCTTTGAAAGTATCAAAATTTGAATAAAACGATTAATATGCACTGTAACATTTTAAGCTATGTGGACTCCCTGTTTTTGCAGCCCCAACCATTTGAACATTATACCTCTAAGACGTTTCTGCTTTGTAGTATATCAGAGAATCAGAATTGGAGGAACCAGAAACATCTGATGATTATGATGTAGCAGACTTCGCCCTCGATGAAGATGGCCGCCCAATTGGTATTTTCGGCGGGAAATGTGAATTCTGCGAACTTGACATCAAACCTTTCCCAACAATTGAACAACAACAAGAATTGCCACCAGAGCAACTATATTGCTGTGATCAGTATCGAGAATTTGTCCAATTTGCGACCTCCACTGCCTTTGAATTAGAGGAAGAAATGCAGAAGACTAAGAAGTTAATCGACATCAAGCCTCATGGACATTTTGGTAGCAAGAAGGCCAGAAAGGCTGCTAAAGAAAGGGCAGTGCAAAGGTAATCCTGATTGGTTAGCATAAATTTGACAAACTGATGATTTTGGCAAAAATTCCACAGAACATGATTTAAAGAAAAATCTTGTCAGATCATGGATGGCAAGTATAGTTACCTTCAGCAAAAACATAAAACGAGACATCGACTTCAATATTTTAAAAAGATTTTGATTTGAATCCTGAGTATTTCTTTCAGAATGAGAGATCGGGAAATGGAGAAGCGTAAACAAGAAGCTACTGGAATGAACAGCTATTTTGGTAAGGTCTTTCATCTGTATAGCTCACATTGCTGTGTAATTCTCTAGTTTCCAACTGTAGGATTGCGGCTGTTTTCTAATGGTTTGCGACTGTTGGCCATTGATATATAGAGCTCTGTTTTCTCTGTAAGCCCTTCAGAGAGCTTCTGAGCTCTGTCTCTGCAGATCATAGCCTTGCATGCAGCTCTGTGATTTTGAGTGGTGCATAGCAGTAGACTTGTGTGGTTTGAAAATCAATCTTACTCAATATAGTATGCATGCACATGTATTCGACTTTTTCTCTCTTCCGAAAGCAATGGTATAGGAGTTGTTTTCAACATGTTCAACATGTTCCTTACTCTCTGCAACAACTTGCATGTCAATGCTCTCTTCTTTGCATGGTATTTATATACCTATAACATAGCAAATTATTTAATAGATATATAGCAATGCACTATGAAATTTTGGGCTGGTTGTAAGCCAATTTAGAAACTGTCTGTTTTTCTGAGGTCTCTTTAAGGGAGTTTCTCAAAAAAAAAAAGATATTTGCGCATGTCTGGGGAAAATTCAAAACCTAAAGAGTTCACCTTATTTTGAGGTACTTGTACAAGAATTTGTACATGCCAAACTTGTACAGTTTTCAATACTACCTGAACTACCTCAAAATAACATGGACTGTTCTCATTTAGGTTTTGAATTGGCCCGCATGTGCATCTTATTCTTGCTCTACTTTATGTACTTATGTTATTAGAACAATAACAATATTGATAACAGAATGGTAGATTTAATATATTTTCTCTTTTCCATTACTCTAAATATTGGATCTTGGGATATTTCTTGCTGAAAACTGAGCTGAAAATCATAAGTTCATGAATTTTACACCCCTTGAAATTAGTGGAATCTCCAGCACATGCATTGGATGAGTTCATAACAAAAATTAGGGGTGTTATACATTCAGAAATTGGTATTCCAGTTTTCAGCAATAAATTCAATTCTGTTGCTCATTTCCACTGGTTTTATAAGAATCTTCAAAAATAAATTAGAAAACTAATGAATTTGAATGCATGTAGGCCTATATTGGTTATATCTCTTTTATAAACCAGTGGATCCTTGATTGATATCTATCTTTTCTTGTCTGGAGCTCAATACACACTACCTATTTGGCCTGTTATTTGGTTTTCATTCAGTCATATTCACAATCAGATTTTCATTCATCAGTCATAGTGTGTATTGGGTCTTGATCTTTCTCTTTCTCTTAGCTGGAGCCTCTCCTAGTGGTGAATTCGGATCTGCCACGGAAGTGGGAGGGGGTCGTGCAGGTGCAGGTAGAAATCAAGGTTTTAAAGGGAATGGACCAGCTCCTTTATCCTACAAAGATATGGGTAGGTCAACTTTTTCTCTTTAGTGTCTTTATATTTTAATGTACACTTTCTTATGTCTTGTTTAATATTCACAGTTGGATATAGTGTATTTAAGGCTGGATATAATGTACCTGGATAATTGACACCCCTTAACTTTCTATTGAACTCCTCCACACATGCATTCTGTCTACCAATATAAAACTATATATGTATGATTGGAAGAGCTCATTTGTGTAATTAAGGGTGTTTTTTTTTTCCTGTCATCCATTTAACACCCCTCAACATATTATTGAACTCTTCCACACATGCATTCTGTCTACCAATATAAAACTATATATGTATGATTGGAAAAGCTCATTTGTGTAATTAAGGGTGTTTTTTTTTTCTGTCATCCATTTAACACCCCTCAACATATTATTGAACTCTTCCACACATGCATTCTGGCTACCAATATAAAAACTATGTTCAGAACCAAATCTGAAAATCATTTGCATAATGTACTGTCTGAAACACCATATCCAGCCTTAGAATATTTTATGTTGATGTTTTATAAATTTTAACTTGTTTCAATTAAAGAGTAAAAAAAAGATAAAAAAAAAAAAAAGATTCCATATTTTTCTTAAAAAGGTTTTTAAAGCAGGACTGATAACAATTTGATTAATAAATATTTTTGATTTAAAGGAGATAGCTCATTTGATAATAAGAAAGGGACCAACCAATCAAATATCAATTCTTACAATCAGTCAAATGGCAATAAGGTCAACCAATCAAATTCCAGTATCAGTACTAAAAACCAATCAAATGTCAATAAGGACCACAAATCAAATTCCAGTACTAATAACCAATCAAATGGCAATAAGGTCAACCAATCAAATACTGGTATCAATACTACCAACCAATCAACACCAAGCAGTGTAGGGACTCAACGTTAGTAATTCTCGACAATATTAGATAGCTTTAAAAAAATCTGAATTAAATCAAAACATGTAAATAATAAGAATGTATTAGAGCAAAATTAAAAGGGAACAATTGTAATTTCAAACATTTTCATTTTTTATCAAATTTCTTCAAAAAAATTCTTTTAAAATTTTAAATAAATATTTAGAAAGAAATTTATTTTATTTTTTTGTAATAAACTGTTAATTACTTTCTTAATTATTTTCTTAATTAATTTGATTAGACTCAAGAGCGCATGGAACACCAATGAGTACTTTAACGAACATGAAAACTAAATTAGGACCAGACTATCATGCACCAAGTTTCCATGGTAACCATTCTCATTCCAATACTACAATGGCTGCCGTGGATAGAAAGGAAAGCTCTCCTAAACCACCTCGAATATATATTGGACCTGAAAGTTAGTTCAAATATAGAAGATAAATGCTTAATTTTTTACATTTTGCATAACAGTAATAGATTTAAATAGGTCATTTATTTAAGCTTTTTAAAAATACCAAAATTCGAATGCTGCTTAAAGTTGAAATAGATGCTTAAAATTGAGCAATTTTTTAAATTGAGATAGATTAAGGTTTTTTAAATAGTTTGAAAAAGGTTTAGTTACAAATATTTATAACTATAAGTAAGGCATGCTTTTGATAGTTTCAAATAATTTAAAGGTTTTAATAGCTTCTAAGTTAGGTTTCAAAATTAATGGCTTTGTAGTAATACTTAAAACTGGCCAAACTTTTTTGGGGAATGGTTTTTGTTTTTAATTTTTTTCTTCTTTCTTTTTGATTTATTTGTTAGAATATTAATTATATTCAATTTTCACGTTTTTAATACTATTTATGTTTTAGCACAATCAGCACATTTACCACATTCAGCACAGGCACAAGTCAACTCTTCAATTCACAATAGAATAGCCAACATTGTACAACCTATAGAAGGTTTTTAGAATTAGATATTGTAGACTAACCTTAACCCTGACCTGGCCACCTTTTCTCAAAAATTATATCAAAATTTCATATTTTTGAGAAACAGGGGCAGTAATCCTAATTCTTATACTAATGTTTAACCCTGTGAAAATAAATCTTTATGAATTTGACCATTAACGGGTTAAGTTGTATTGTGATCAATTTTCAACCTATTATATGTTCTTAACTCCTAACCTTATTTGTATGTGATCTTAAAGTCTAATGCCAATACCTAACCTTTTAACACAGAAGGCATCACAATTATGACCTGGAAAGGGTTAAAGCTGATTGAATTAAAGGGACATATTGGAAGGTGTTAAAGGGACAGGTGTGACATTTTTGATGTCAGTTGAGTTTAGGCTTGAATGTATGCATATAGTCTTCAGAAGTACCAGAAATGAACAAAAATCATTTTAACATTCAAACGCAGTGGACACACATGGATTTGAAGGCTCAGATTTCGACTGTGAGCTGTGAACTTTATTACTGATTAGCTCAGATAGAAAAATGGCATAACTGTCCCTTTAATATCTAACCATAACTTAACCTGAATCCCTGAGTTGTGGTGTGAACATATGATGCAATGATTAATTTTTCAACATCAAACTTAAAGGGGTTCAAATTAACGACCTTAATTGTGAATATGTGATTTCATGCTCCATGTTTTTTTAATCTAACAGCTTACATGATTTTATTCCAGTGCAGTTTATTTTCAGCTTTGTTTAACTTTATTTTCTATTTTTTCTATTTTAGCTTTGTTTTTTTATTTCTAAATCATGCTTAAATCAGATATTTTTCAAATTTGCCATCAAATTAAAGTTCTTAAAATATTCTGATTATCGATACATTAAGTTACTATGTTTACTTTTCTATAAAGCTCAAATGAATATTAAGCAAATCACGCCAATCAGAGCCTTCGAAATGTTGAAGTTATGAATTTCTTGGCTTTAAGTCTAGCTTATCAACCTATCCTTGTGCAGTATTTCTTAAAATCTGGATTATTGAAAAAGGCTGTAGGGCAATCCAAGTTGAAATGAGGCAAAGGGAGCCTGGGTCGATTTCAAATGCATTATTTTAAAACACAAGGCTCTTCTAAACATTTTTCAAAAGTGAGGCATTTGCTTCAGTTCTGCTACAGCCTGGTTGCCTGGTATGAGTTTAATTTCTTAAAATTCAGGTCCCTGTAACTTATATTAAGACTTGCCACACCAAGGGTCAGTAAAATAGAAAATGCTGCAACTCTGCAAGAAATAAAGCAAGGTTATTCTTCAATTTTCAGTGGCAAGGCAAATGAAGACTATTAACTATCAGCTATCTTCACAGAAATGTCTAGAGGAGGGATGGACCAAACGGGCCCCTACCCCACAGGAAGATGATGGAGACATGATAGATGTCTTTATTCCAGAACCTTTAGATTTCACTCTAGCTAACAGTGCCAAGGTAAAACAAAATAAGGAAATGAGGATCCTTTCTACCAGCTGCTCCTTGGCCAAACCACTTGGTATTGATCTTTAGCAGATTATCCGTACCCATTTACATCTGGCCAACTCAAGATCACCAGACTTTCACATGCTAACCAAGATTAGAACCCAAAACCATCATGTATTAGGCATATTGAAGCAAATTATGTTATGTAAATATTCCAACACTCCAACCAACTGTGCTACAGAACCCCTTAAAAGAGATTATCTAGATATTCCAGATCCTTTCTTAGGATTAAGAATCTTATGATGGTGATATTTAAAAAAGTTTCTGGTTTCAGATACGAGAAAGGGAGCTAATCCAGAAAAATTATGAGAATGGTAAAAAGTTCCTGATGATATTTCCTGATGGTACTGGATCAGTTTTGTATCTTTTAAAAAACCAAAATTACATTTTACTCAAAATTATCAAACCAGCTGTCCTGATGAGGATTGTATATCTGAAACGTGTGTCAGCATCATGATATAAATCCTATGATACTGTCATAAAACCTTCAGCTAAATACTTATATAAGTTTAGAGTTCTTGACTTGCTGATTGCCTTGTTCTTTGAAGGTTAAATTCCTCCCCCAATCGTCTTCATTGATTGGTCAGAAATTTGGATATCAGCCCTTCATTGAAGCCTAATTATCTCCCTTGATTCCACTTCCATTACTGTTTATTTTGCCAATCAGCTGGCCACATAGGAAATAAGTCAGGTATCTAATATGGCTGCTTCCATAGAATCTGTTACAATGCTAAAAATGACTCGCCATTTGAATATTGGTGTATTGATAAGCACCTAAGGTTTAGTTCCTTAACACAATACGTAGTTACCCATCAGGCTATTTGGCTGTATCTATATGTAAAATGGATGCTGGACAGTTCATTTATGTTGTCCATGACAACTCATCTGACAGCAGAATTATGGGAGTGTTTGAACCAAACGGTCACGGATGTTGTTACCATAATAATGGTAATGTAAGGTATGTTTGATTCTGCATTTATCGATGTTGGTCGAAGAAGCTTTTCCAGACCTGCTGAAGGGCAATGCATATTATTGAATGTTTCCCTTTTGGGATTATGTAAGGCCTATGGTCTTTCAGTCACCCGCGTCGCCTTGGAATGAATTGGTGCTGGGGCCCAGATTTTGACATTGCTGACAATTTTGAGCTGCCAAAAACATATCAAAATCTATATCGTTTTGATTTTGCACAAAGACAAATGAATCAATCTCTCTGCTGAACTGAAGAAGGTTTTGCTAGGGCTTAATATTTCCCCACCATAACGAGGGGACTGCTTTGAGTGCAGTATATGTCGAGTTATTCTGGTTCTATCTAATAGTGTTGCTGACAGAATGCTACACATAGTATTTTATTTCTTCTAGATTGTATTTTGATCAGTTAGATGGGATAGAATTAGACAAATATGGAGCCAAGAAGAAGAAATGGTCATGGAAAGATCAAGAAACTCATGTTCATGCTCCTCCTTTCCAGCCTATCTGTGTTGGTCTCAATAGAAGCATCGGGCTCCGTGTTATGAGCCAGGAACATATCACAGTCACCTTCATGGCTAAAAATAGAAGTTGTCGCTTTAATGTTGGAGCTAGACTAAGGGTAAGGAGAACAACCTTTTTTGTAAATATTGTGGTCTTAAAACATTGAGCATATGTTAAGAGTAGTCTCCCTTGGGAGAGTAGCAGAGACAGCCTAAAGAATTAATTTTGCTAAAATATTGTGGTCTTAAAACATTAAGCATATGTTAAGAGTAGTCTCCCTTGGGAGTGTAGTAGAGAAGGCCTAAAGAATTAATTTTGCTAAAATATTGTGGTCTTAAAGCATAGAGCATATGTTAAGAGTATTCTCCCTTTGAAGAATATATGTAGGCCTAGGGGATAAATATGTAGAATAAACATACTTCATGATGTTATTTTGTGTCGTTTTCAGTTGATGAAACCGGAAAATATTAAACCAAAGGAAGTCAGTGACAATATGATATTTATGGAAGAAAAAGCTGTTCAAATAGAGTTAGTAGATAACATTATGACTTTCTGTAGAGCTCACTGATTGGTAGTATTAGCTAGCGTACAATCCAATCAAATCACTTTATTTACAAACTTCTGATACAAGATCAGTTGCTAATGATGCAAAAAGTAAAAAGACAAATTTACTATAGCTTGACATTGTGAAAATATGTCTCAGCTGACAACAATGAAAGCCTTTCAACCAGCTGATGTTTAGCCAAACATTTTGAAAATAATTCTTCTTAGCATTTACCAGCACCAGTTGCTTTCTTTCATTCATTTTCTTGTATTTTTCAGGAATGTTTTACACAAAGTGTCCAATCTACTGAGATTTCCTCATTCTCCAAAAATAGACAAGATATTACCTCCCCTTAGAGTCACTCACCGAATGCAGAAGGTAGAATTGTTAAGGAGTCAACAAAAAGCCAAACGTCAGAGTTTCTTTCCCAGTCGAAGCAGCTTAAACCAGACATCAAGTTCGTCAAACAATACATCTTTACCTGCTGTCGTAGTGAATTAATATTGGCTAAATTTAGTCGACGGTGAAAAGCCCAGAACTATTTTAGGGGTCGCAGAAAATGTCAAGGCTACCTTAAAAATTGTATTTAGGCCCATATCTTTAACTGTTGTTCTATTGAATTAATGCCACAAAAAGTGAGATGTTCTGGTTTTTGGGAATGTTGAAAATTGTCATTGGTCACAAAAGATGAGATGTATTGTAGATGCCTAAATATTAAATGCTGCTATGCATGTAGGAGCAAAGGTCATCATAGTTCTATTTCTAGTCCTTTGAATTCTAAAACTTAAATTGAGACTTAGTTTTGATAACCATTTATAGAAGTGAATTTTCTTATGAAATGCCAAATTGACCAACCCAAGTGCATTTTGGCAGCCAGTGTTCTGGTCAGTAGGGGTTAAAGAGGTGGGGGGATTTTTTCACTATGTAAAATGGTAGGAAATTTGAAAGTGATATGATTTCTGACCCCACCCACCCACTCACATTGAAAAGCCATGGTTTTAGTATTATGTTTGTGCTTTAATTAACTGTGATATTCCATTGAACAGCATTATTGTGATAACTTTTTGCGTTTTGATTTTATGATTTTTATATAAAGAAAAGTTAGTTGCCCTTTCAGCAGATAAAATTTTGATTCGAAAAAGTTTCCCTATGTACATCTGTCTTGTGCTTCTTTTCTTATGAGTATTTCAATTCTATTTACATAAAAATATCTCCATATAAATTACAAATTTTTCCTTTGCCTATTTATCAACAGTGCCTGTTTTATTTTTCATTTTGTTTACCCTTGCTTTTGAATTTTTTTAAAATGTTAAAATATATTTCTGTGTGTGGTCAAGTCTGCTGATGAATTGTAAATAATCATTGTTATATTTAGATTAAAAAGAATTTTTGAAATGCGAAAATGTCTTTTAGTGAACTTTCCAAAAGCAAATGAAGTTAATAAGCCCAGTCTGGGAGTGGCATTGGGTTTTCTAGAAAGGTGAGAATATGTCCCCCATTAAATGATTATACAAATACAGCATGCTAGGCAAGGTAATATAGACCAACAGCTTTTATTTGGCAGTACAGTAACAATCACCAGTATGAAATATTAGCCATACACTTCTTTCAACCTATTCTGAGTGATAATGAAAAAATAATAGCTGTAAGTTTTGTCTTCTAAAGTGTTTACAATACGATTTTGTTGCATGTTGTAATTCCACTTAAACTAAGCGTTTTATGATGCCTAGGGCCTTGTATATCAAAAGCAGCTTTTGAGATAGTGATGTCAAAATGCTTAGTTTAAGTGGAATTTAAGACTCGCAGACACCTGATTTCAAATTAGAATGGTGCAAATTGATGGTGTGTGTCCCCTATAGGCCTACATAACATGGAAACCCTTTACTGCCATATGTGAAAAAGACATCTGACTGAAAATTGGAATAGTATAAATTGATGCTATCAATGTCAGTAATAACACATAAAAAGTTCAGAAAACCTCTTAACAGTCCCTTTAACTCTTCAATTTCTGAGGATTACTCCCATGACAACTAGGCCTACAATAACATCAATTGCAAAATACTTTCAAAAGGAAATTATTAAATTTCTACTAATATTAGCGTTTTGTCATGCTTTCCTCTCATATTTATTTTTGAAAATGATCGAATATGAGCATGATTTCTAAATTTACAAATTTTGTCATAAATGTATCGAATGGTCTACTACATCCAGACTCTCATTTATCATTAAAATTTTCATTCATTATAAATTACTAGACAATCAAGTCTAGCTGGTCACGTGATATCGTATGAATGACCTCAAGGACCCTTTACAAATATCGCTTAGAACACTGACAAAATTCAAAATAACGGAAATATATTGAGAAATATCCAGGTCTCGGAAATTCTGTGATATTTTGTGATTTTTTTACACATAATCTGAACATTTATCTGGACTTCGAATCGAAAATTTTGAGAAAAGACGAAAGTTTAGTAAAATTATCCGATTTACATTATCGCAAGCGATATGTTTCCGCCATGTCATATTTATAATTGAATGGTTGAAGGTAGAGTTCGTTGAAAAATAAACCCCAAAAATGGCTGGGAATGTGGGAATGGAACAGTTGATTCCCATTGTGAACAAACTACAGGATTGTTTCGCTTCATTGGGAATCCCTCTTCCTTTAGATTTACCTCAAATTGCTGTCGTTGGAAGTCAAAGTGCAGGCAAAAGTAGTGTATTGGAAAATTTCGTCGGCAGGTTTGTAGTCTACTTAAAAAATGTTTTTAATTTTTGAACTTCCGCCTTACTTTCACAATACCTAGTTTACTGAGTCATATAGTGCTTTCAGAGCCTTCTGATTTTTTTGCAAATGGCGCTGACAATCTTCGATTTCGCGTTGTTATTGATTTCTAATAAATTATGATTATTTACATTTTGAGATCTGACCTATTTTAGAGATAATCAAAAGGGGCGTCACCATTGGCTCTGTTGCTTACACAGAGGGGTGTTTTTATTGTTTTATAACATTTTTGTTTGGTAATAAAACACAATTTGAATAAACTTAGACTCACTACTGTGGCCTGTTATATATTTTTCTCTTGTATGAGACCATACAATGGGCTGTCTGTCTCTTTGATGAGGTCTACAGCAGAAGGTTTTTAAACTATACTTTGTACAATTGTGTCTAATTCATCTTGTCTTTTTAGTAATTTAAACTTAACAACTTTTTAATAAACTCACTTTTAATTTTGTGGTTTCTGAAAATCCAGAAAAACCTGATCAGTTCTTGACATCACCGTTGTAAATTTTATTCAAGTAAAAATAAGTGGTTGTGTCTTGAAATAAGGGTTGTCGCAGAGTGATATTTTGTCACCGACCAACGAAAATATGTTGCCGAGTTGACATGTCACCGAGTTAACCGAATACCGTCTTTGAAAAGTAGTCCTAGATGTTTTAGAAAATTGGGGCCGAATTGTTTAAAAGGTTTCTTACAAAGACTAAAAAGATATTTGAAATCTGACAATAGCTAGACAGCAAGACAGAGTGTTTTTAATCCATTTAAATCAAATGATAACTGACATAATAATGAATGTTGATTGACAGGGCCATTATGAAGATGATGATTAAAGATAACAATAATTAGTGTAAAGATATTTAAATTACTACATCTTCACAATTTCAAGCTATTACAAACCTTGTACTTATACCTTGACTGCAATAGCCACTATAATTTTGAAGTTTTCGTACATTTCTAGTACCTCTGAATTCTGAGGACTATTTACATATTATATATATTCATGATTAAAATCAACCCCCCAAATCGTATCCGTCCCTTCAAGGACTGCCTAAATATCAAATTGCAATGTAACATTATTACTGAGAGATATAGTTATATTTAAGAGATTTTGTTATTATTAAGAGATATTGTTATTATTAAGAGATATTGTTATTATTAAGAGATATTGTTATTATTGCAATGTAACATTATTACTGGGAGATATAGTTATATTTAAGAGATATTGTTATTATTAAGAGATATAGTTATATTTAAGAGATATTGTGAAATGGTTCAGTGTAGAAAACTGATACTCATATCTCTTAAAGATCAACAATTCATTTGAAACCTATATTATTTTGATTTATATTTGGGGTATTTCTTGCTATATCTAAAAAGTGGTTTTACTGGGAATAAGCTTACTCACTCCTTATTAAAATTTGGTTATATTTTTGTTTCATTATTAATACGAAGGTCGCATTTGTTGTTTGTTTCAAGCAATCACAGCACGTTATTTATAATCCATGTCTAAATATCAACTATGAATTGTTGGAAAGTGAAACCTTAAGTTGAACGATATGTCTTCCAATATTGTGACAAATTATGAAATTGTCGATACGCTCATGTAAAAGAGGAAACCAATTTTAATTACTGGAGGGGTAGCTCCCATTTCTTTGTATTTTTTACCTTCAAAACACTTATTGGTAGTATAACCTGAGCTCTTGCTTGTTGTGTGCACATTACTCTGGTGGCTTAAAATGAATTTTGCAGACCTCAGAGGACTAAACTAGAGAAACAATTTCTGTTTTTAAACGTTAATTGTAGTTTAGAAAATGAGCTCTTGCTTGGAATGAATAACATTTTTGGCTAAATGCGAAATTTTCACGCCTATCAGGATGGAACTAGAGAAACAATTTCATTTTTTAAAACATTAATTGGAAGCTTAAATGATGAGCTCTTGCTTGTCATGAATAACTTTGGTGGCTAAATGCGAAACTTTCACGCCTATCAAGCAAGATGGAAGTAGGGAAACAATAACTCAGAAATAAGGCGAACTACAATGTCAGATTAGTTTTGTAGTATTTTATAGCCAAGTGACAAGATATTGAATTCTATCACTTGAGTTATTGATTATTTTAAAGTTCTCATACTGTTTAGATTGGAAACTAGATCATCACTGATCAGTATATATACAGTAGCTTATTGTATAGTTTGATAGTTTCTAGATAAACCTATATCAGATCTAGAAAAGCTGATATAAGCTTAGACAGTTTTAAGTATTCTTTACTTGCTTTGCTAGCTGATTGAGCTCAATTTCAGTTCTAGAAAAGCTGACTCGTAGAATCTAGATAAGCGGACTACTCTTGTAGAATCTAGATAAACTGACTACTCTAGTAGAATCTAGAAAAGCTGACTACTCTTGTAGAATCTAGAAAAGGTGACTACCCTTGTAGAATCTAGAAAAGCTGACAACTCTAATAGAATTTATAAAATCTGACTACTCTAGTAGAATCTAGAAAAGCTGACTACTCTTGTAGAATCTTGAAAAGCTGACTACTCTAGTAGAATCTAGATAAGCTGACTACTCTAGTAGAATCTAGAAAAGCTGACAACTCTAGTAGAATCTAGATAAGCTGACTACTCTAGTAGAATCTAGAAAAGCTGACTACTCTAGTAGAATCTAGATAAGCTGACTACTCTAGTAGAATCTAGATAAGCTGACTACTCTTGTAGAATCTAGAAAAAGCTGACTACTCTAGTAGAATCTAGATAAGCTGACTACTCTAGTAGAATCTAGATAAGCTGACTACTCTAGTAGAATCTAGATAAGCTGACTACTCTAGTAGAATCTAGATAAGCTGACTACTCTTGTAGAATCTAGAAAAGGTGACTGCTCTTGTAGAATCTAGAAAAGCTGACTACTCTAGTAGAATCTAGATAAGCTGACTACTTATGGGGGGGGGGATATAATCGTTTGAATATGTGTTTAACCAGCTGACAATCTCAGATTAACTTGTACATGATATCAAGAACTTATGATAATTTACATCTTACCAGCTGATAGAGATCCGGTTCAGACAAATGTTTAGACTGTTATATCTATGTTAATCAGCCAAACACACCAGTCCAGATAAACCCAATCTAATACAAATTACGTTGCAATTTTGTATCTTTTTAGTCTATATTGTAATGTAAGAAGTTTCCTAGCAAAAGTAGTATTTTCAACCACCAAAGAGTGTCGAAACCCAAATTGGTTGTCTTATTGCTCTATAAGTTTCAATATCCCACAATTCCTTATTTTTATCAAGATTTTGGTTTACATGACACACTTTGATTGGTTTAAATACTACTTTTTTGGAACAAGCCTTTGGTAGAAAACTTATTAGATTACAATGTAAGCTTATACTAAAAGTATCAGAAAATAAAAAAGTAAAGCAAATTGTAAACTAATCTAATAAATAGATCCAGATAGACCTATCCTAGCTCAAATCCTGCCTTTCTGCTCTGCTCATGGTAACTGTTAAGAGCTCTTCTTCTAATGTGCGGTGTCATTCATTCATTTGTTCATTCATTCATTCATAATTTCATTCATTCATTCATTCAATGTTTTATCTTTTGCAGAGATTTTTTACCAAGAGGAAGTGGTATTGTGACTAGAAGACCATTAGTTTTGCAGTTGATTAATTCAAGAACAGGTAGGTGTCTTTTCTTAGGCATCTTAGTGCCTGTAGTGAGGCATTACAGTACCGACTGTAAGCAATCTTATTATTCTCTGTTAGCCATTTCAGTGTCCTTAAAAAGGCCTCTGATAAAAACGCCTCTTATTATGCATCTCAGTTTCGTTTCTTTGACATTGTACTGTGACCTCTGTAAGGCATCTTAGTGCCCATTGTCCTTCCTAACCTATTGGAATTTACCTTCCACTAAACATCTTACCGTTCTGAGTAGGGCATTTAAGTGTCTTTGATGAGGAATTTCAGAGCTCTTTCAAGATGTTTTTCCCTTTGTTAGGCATTTTATGCTTTTGTGTCTTTTCTTAGACAACTTAGTGACCGTGGTTTATCAGATATTCAGATCACTTTCCGAGAAAAAATCTGGCGTTCAGTTTGTGCACAATGAATGAAAAAATCTCACAAAGCAATACACATATAGAGTAGTATGAGGTGGCTAATATTTTGACAACTATCACTCTAACAGATAGCCATTTTATAGAAAGAGACAGGGACAAATATAATGTTTGTCAGTAAATTATAGCTTCATCAATAAATATGGTTAATTTAGACCTTCTACTAAAACAAATAATTCCTTTATTCTCATTAGCTAGACCAATATTATGTTAATTGTTTAAAAGGACATTCTTTTGTTTTCTTCGATTGAAATTTTTTTTGCTCAAATTTATGGAATTTATATATCAAGATGTAGAGAAATGTGCACCTGTGCACCAGATAATTTTATCTGAAACAAATTCTGAATACCTTAAAGCAGTTTTTGAAATTCCAGTTTTTCACAGTATTTAGCTAAATAGATAAGTAAACTGAATGAATGAATGAATGAATAAGGTTAAGTTTATTGGATAAATGAAAGTCCATGGATAAATAAATCATATGAATGAATGAATGAATAAATTTTAATGAATGAATAGATCAATTAAATGAATGAATGAACGAATGAAAAAGGTTAAGTTTATTGGATGAATGAAAGTCCATGAATGAATGAATAAATTGAATGAATAAATTTGAATGAATGCCTAAATCAATTGAATGAATGAACAAATGAACAAGGTTAAGTTTATTGGATGAATAAAAGTCCATGAATAAATAAATCATATTAATGAATGAATGAATAAATGAATGAATCAATTAAATGAATGAATGTCAGTTGAAGGTGAAAATGTTAGACAAACTATAACAGGAAATAAATCACAGTTGATCAGTATGTATAGGTTTCTACTGGTGCCAATACAAAATCAATATTCTAGCTAAGAAAAGTCTTAACACTGTGTTTGTTTTCAAGACATTAGATAGCTGAATTTCCTCTTTTTTTTTTCTTGGCATGTTTTGGGGAAATTTCATGAAAATGTAAATAGTCTTCAGAAGTATAAAACTGCACAGAAATCATAAAATTCACTCAAATTGGAAATTTAACTTTCTATTTCTATAAATGTCTTTTCAATATATGGCAGAGTCTCAAAAAAAGAGTGGATAATTCTGGACACACATGGATTTGAAGTCTCAAATTTGCACACTGAGCTGTAAACACTATTTTGCTGATTAGCTTAGCCAACAAAATTCCTGTTTCTGAGACTAAAGTATGATTAGTCAAATGGATGGCTAATCTGTCTCTTTAATATTATTTAACAAGGATAGCTAATCTGTCTCTTTAATGTTATTAAACAAGGATTCATAATCCCTTAAACCTATGTCATTCCTATTGAAAAATGCCTGATTTCTGTGGAATGTTTGCAGGAATATTTAGTTTTGAGCAAGGTCATTTATCATCCTTCTTCCTTGATATTCAATCAATAATAGTATTGATTTACTGTTGATTTTGATTGATTGCTCTTGATTTCAACACCTGCTTGTTATTTCTGTAGGAAAAAACATATTCATTATGTATGGATGAAGAGACACAATTAAAATACAATTATTGGTTATTTAATAGTAAAGGCACTATATTGGTGAATCGATACACTGTGATACAACATGCTATACTCTAAGTCAATAAGAGCCGCAGATGGAAAGACTGTAATCAATAAGCCATAATGTTTACATTTTGTCAAGGACTCTGATTGGCTGTATAAGCTGGCATACAATGCAATCAAATCTCTGCACTCTTGTGACACCAGAAAAATGGTTATTAAAGTCAAGGTATATGTTATAACTTTATATTGTTAAGATGTATCCAGCAGTACAAATTACTCTATGAAATGTTTGTCAAGTTTGCAAATCAAATTGCAGAGTGGGATAGGGTGAAATTAATAAATTTTTTTTTTTTCAGAATATGCTGAGTTTTTACACCAGAAAGGAAAACGGATATCAGATTTTGACTTGGTACGAAAAGAAATCGAAGATGAAACAGACAGAGTTACTGGAGCTAATAAAGGAATTTCTAATATTCCAATCAACTTGAGAGTTTACTCTCCCCATGGTTAGTACCTTCGGTACACTATTTTTGTTGTGATAATATTTGAGGAAGGTCTGTAACAAAGTTGGTTAGAGCATTGGAATCTTTACATGACGTCACTTGCTTTGAGTTGAGTTCAGGAAATATCAGTTCCAAGTGGTTTGGCCAAGGACCAGCTCGTTGACAGGCTTCTCATTATTTAAGTCCACCCATCTGTTAAGATACTCTTGGACAGATCAATGCCAGGAGGTTCGGCCAAGCACCAGCTGGTAGAATGTTTCCTCTTGAAACTCCATTTTATTTCATTAGTCCAATTAAATGCAGAAAATTAAGATTTTAAAGTTCATTTTGTTTCAATTTTATTTCAGTATTAAATCTGACTCTGATTGATTTACCGGGTATGACGAAGGTACCGGTTGGGGATCAACCAGTAGACATTGAATCCCAGATTCGTGGAATGCTGATGGAATTTATTTCCAAAGAGAGTTGTCTTATCTTGGCTGTCTCACCAGCTAATACTGATTTAGCCAACTCTGATGCTTTGAAAATAGCAAAAGAAGTTGATCCACAAGGTAGGTCAAATAATGATATGCAATTCTTTTGGTGTATATAGTTTTTAATCTTTGAAATTAGCAAAATATATCATCCACACAGTGGAAATTAGAAATGACAACATTTTCTATTCTAAAGAAGGATCGTCATGGTGACGTGCAGTGTAGGGGGTCTGAATCGTGGTGAGGCCTGTATCTCATGTATTTGCATCTTCTACATATTTTACTGCATTGATAATCCCACTTTGTCACTCAGGACACTCTATCTTGTCAGCCCATATATTATAATGCATATTTTGTTATTTAATAGGTCTAAGAACTATTGGTGTAGTAACCAAGTTAGATTTGATGGATCAAGGTACAGATGCTAGAGATATTCTAGAAAACAGGCTGCTACCATTACGTAGAGGTAAGATCTTTTTTCCTTGTTAGATCCTTCGACCTACATCACTGACAAGAGGCAACCAGGTTGACAAATATGATGGTATTATTGCAACATATGCTAGGATTGAACCTTTGACCTTCAGGTTATTTGAGGGCCAACTCTCATATGCACGGGTCAGGGCATCAGAATTTTTCTTACCTAGAGGAGGATTCAAACCTAGCAGGCAACAGTCCAACTCTCTTCTGGAAGAGTGTATTAATATCTATTCAGATTTTCTATCAATTCCAATTTGAATACATGAATCCATTGATGTGTTGTAAAATTTCATGTTAATTTTTGTATTTGGAGACAAGATTAGGGTGTAAAACTCTATGAGTTTGTTGTATTTTAGGATATATTGGTGTAGTAAATAGAAGTCAGAGAGATATTGAAGGTAAAAAAGATATTAGAGCTGCTCTGGCAGCCGAGAGGAAATTCTTCTTATCTCATCCTTCATACAGGTAGGTTCACTAGTCATTCATTCTGAACATCCACTGAATCATAATTGGCAAAACTTATAATGGATAGGATAACATTGGTGAAAGATCAATGCTGCAGAGTAGCTGGAAATAAGACCCTAAGGCATGACAAGCTGTAGCACAGTCAGTTACAGAATCGGAATTAGATGGGTTCTTATCTATGTTGGCTAATGAAAAGTTTGAAACTTCATAATTCCAGTTGAATAAGATGTGAGTGGGAATGGATATCTAGGTAAGATCAAAGCTCGGCCAGCTGATTATCTTAAAAATTCATTTTATCAGCCCAGTAAGAGGCTTATCATAAACCGAAAGTATTCCGAATTTCTTTGTGTAAAATTCCATTTTCTGTTTTTAGACACATGGCCGACAGAATGGGCACTCCATATTTACAGAAAGTTCTGAATCAACAACTGACCAATCATATTCGAGAAACATTACCAAACCTACGAAATCGTCTCCAGACTCAATTGCTATCCATGGAAAAGGAGGTTGAAGAGTACAAAAATTTTAGACCTGATGATCCAGCCAGGAAAACTAAAGCAATGATGCAGTAAGTAATATTTGGATTAACAAATTATACTGTTCATTAAAAACAGATTTTTTTGTATGTGCCAGTCATGATGCCATTCTTAACCAATCAAAGTGTGTCATAAGGATCTGATTCTTGATACCACAGACAAATTGTGAGATAGCGAAACCCAACAAGGTATTCATATTGCTCTACTTTGAGTTTCTTTATCCCACAATGTGTTTCTTTATCCCACAATGTTTCTTTATCCCACAATGTGTTTCTTTATCCCACAATGTGTTTCTTTATCCCACAATGTTTCTTTATCCCACAATGTGTTTCTTTATCCCACAATGTGTTTCTTTATCCCACAATGTTTCTTTATCCCACAATGTGTTTCTTTATCCCAAAATGTGTTTCTTTATCCCACAATGTGTTATTGTTATCTGGAAAAGGATTCTACTTGACACACTTTGATTTGCTAGAAATAATGTCAATAGAACAGGACTATGGTAGAAAACTTGTTAGATTACAATGCAAATGAAAAATAGGAGAAAAAAATTCTTTTAATGTAGTTGAGATAAGACTGATTTTGACTATGGCCTTCAATTTCAGAATGATCCAATCTTTTGGTGGAGATTTTGATCATGATATCGAAGGTTCTGGTAACCAAGTCAACACAGAAGATTTATCAGGTGGCGCCAAAATTAACAGAATTTTTCATGAAAGATTTCCTTTTGAATTGGTCAAGGTAAGTAATCCAAAATTTTGCAACAAAGAATCAATTTTGAAAAATGTTTGCTTTTAACATTCTCACCCTAGATTCTTTGCAGACGACAATATTGCTGCATCTGAATAACTGTCAGTTCTTTTTTCCAGATGGAATTTGATGAACGAGAATTACGTAAAGAAATTGGAATAACAATTAAAAATATTCATGGTATCAGGTAAGTTCTTAAAAAAACCGTTTCTGGTCATTTTTCACCAAGGTACCAAGAAAGACAGAGTGCTTTATAGCAGGACATTGTGAAGATAGTGAGGCAAGGTTTGACACCACCTGTAAAATGAATACCATTCTGTATCAGATTGTCAACTCTACATCAGTTTTAGAAGCTGAAATAGCTCATTAAAGGTGTGAATAGACGATGAACAGTGTCTGGTGTGGTGTACGTTGCGGAATTGTCGATACAGTTGAATATAGAAGAAACGAATCGTGTCCGACCCCGCTCGTGTGTTCACTTGTTCTGTATCAGATTGTCAACTCAAATCAATTTTTAGGAGCTTAAATAGCTCATCAAGCCAGTCCCTTGCTCACATTCCTAGGGTTCAAAGATGGTGCCATTAAATTCTGTTGCAGAAAAAAGGCAACAGGTCTTTCATTACCGACTGCCCCGACAGTGATCCCTTCTTTTGGTTTCATATTTTTGAATGTGTATTACAGAACTGGTTTGTTTACACCAGACATGGCATTTGAAGCAATAGTTAAAAAACAGATAGACAGATTACGAGAACCTTCGTTACGCTGTATTGATATGGTAGTAGCTGAATTATCAAAAACTATTAGAAAATGTACTACAAAGGTAGGCTTTTACAACCAGTCAAAATTGATTGGGAAATGTCAATAAAATTTCGACACTAAGTTTAAGTGGAGTTGCAGAAACCACAGACGTCTGATTGAAAATTGTAATGGTTCAAATTGATGCTATCAGTATCCCTGATACACATATAAGGCTAAAAAAACCTTTTCATAATCCCTTTAATTTACAATATTTTAAGGGATATTACTATCTGAGTCATATCAGGAAAATTAGAGAACTAGATCCCTTCATTATTTCAATATTTCTTGTAGATGAGTCGGTATCCCTTATTACGAGAAGAAACCGAGAGAATCACTAACACTCGCGTGAGAGAGCGTGAACAAAGAACGAAAGAACAAGTATTATTATTTATAGATATACAGCTATCATATATGAACACTAATCACGAAGATTTCATTGGATTTGCTAAGTAAGTAGATTTTCCCTCATTGACCACTTCAGATTCTTTGTCACATGACACTGTCCTGGCAAAATTCTCCTCAGTGTACATTGAATTCTTATTGTTTATCAAATATATCTAGGGACAATTCAAAATGTAAACACAAGCAGTCCATTATATTTTTGGATAGAATATAGAATTGCAGGCTGCATCATCTACTCTCCCAAGGGAGGTAACTCTCAATACAGAATTGATAGTTCAAGACCACAATATTACAATATATGAAGATATGTACTCACTACATCTTATTAAATGAATTAAACTGAACAAAGCTCTTGTAAGATTTATTTTGAGCTTTGTAACACTATTAAGTTTGACTAAGGGATGATTATATATAGAGATCAGTGCTCATCTGACTCAAAACAGAAACACGACCAGTCCACTTTATTTGTAGGTAGTTTAAGTAGTAATCAACATAATGAAAAAAGGCTTTATAGTTTCAATTACTATTTATTCTACCCAAAAACAAAGTGGACTGTTCTGTGTATGTTTAAAATTAGACCCTAATGATTGCAAATCTCTAGTCTATACACTGCACTGTTGTGGTGAACTCAGTTAATACGGAGTGTTCAGTATTGTTTTGGTTTTTTTTTTACACCATGCTGATCAGTTGTGTTGCTAAGAGAGATTTTCTTTCCACCATAACCAAAGAACATTGCAACTATTTTAGGGAATTTGTGATTCTATCAGTGAACTTTTTAAAGACTTAACTTAATATTAGTTTAGTGTTTCAGTCATCTGATTGGTCAATCAGTAAAGTCTGGTTTGAATTTGATTTTATTATCCAATCAGATTACAGATTGCATTTCATTAGTGGAGAGCTCTGGTTTGTGTTTAGAACATTGTAATGTGGTTTTTGGACTTGTGAAATGTGAAAGTCTAGTAACACAGCCAAACAGCAATATGTTCTCTGGAGACCTAAGGTTTGAAGATGGAAGATAAAATCATGACAGAATTTTAACCCTTTTTCAGTGCTCAACAGAAATCCGAAACTCAGACCAAGAAAAAAGTGAACAATCAGGTCATTCGAAAGGGCTGGTTAACCCTACATAATGTCAGTTTCATGAAAGGTGGCTCCAAAGACTTCTGGTTCTGTTTAACAGCTGAAACTTTTGCCTGGTACAAAGATGAGGAGGTAAGTTCAAAGTTCATATGAATATATAATAAGGGGTCATATGAATATATAATAATGGTCATATTAATATATCATAAGCAGTGTTGCACTGTGATGTAATGCAGACATGTTCGATTGAAATGAAATTTAGATTCGTTTAAAGACTGAAAACTAGATTGGAAATTTATTCAATCAAACAGTACCATTCATTTGTGTCCAGGGTCTTCTATGACAAGAGACCCTTTGTCTATGACATTGTGTTTGGTTATGGCACATAGTATTGGAATGCTAGACCCCATTTCCAGACCAACTGTCCAGATGAGGATTTAATATCTGAAACATGTGTCTGTAGCATAAATAAGCTCTCCAACCGTCTCTAATGAAATCCATTTTCATTGGAATTTTGTGCAGAATATATTTGTGGTCTGGGTCTTGAGATTTTTTGCCAGAGCAATTGAAATTTTATATGTTAATTTGACATCTTTACCCAAAAGTGGATCTTCGTACAAGGGCAGTGATGAATATTTTCCACAGACTCTTTGTGTAACTTTTCCATGCACATTTATGCTTAGTGATAAGTCAAATATTGCTAAAATTATCACAAAAATAACTCAAATCTTCGGCTTATCCTTTTGGGAAACTTGGGGCTTCGTTAAAAAAATTAAAAATCTGAGGCACATGGCTTCTATTGTCCTTGTTTTGTCTGGTACTAACTGGTTTTCTAGTCTCACCACAATTTTCTATCTTTCAGCTGAATTTCTCTAGCTTTCTTGTTAAAATACTGATTTGGCATTTTTTTTTCTTTTTGAGCTTCGAAACACATCACCAAAAATGCCAAAGATACAAAATTATGCCAGATAAAGATTCTTTCCATAATTTTTCATACTTCAAATGAATGCAGCAAAGTTGATTGCTGCAGAAGATAAATTTCCCGCCAAAAATAAAGACAGAATTCCAAATCAGTATTTTGACGTCTGTCTGGTTTCAGGTTATTGACCTTTTGACCCCATTTATTAACCAATCACAATTGATCACGCTATATTTGAATTTCATGTAGTCACATTCTTTTTTCTAACATTTTCATCTGCTGGAACATAAACCATTGAAGTTCCAAAACCACATCGCTAATTCTTCGAGAGTTTTTTTCAAAAAAATGTGGCCATTTTGAATTGTAAACATTTAATAGGAAGTATTACACATTTCATTGATTTGAAGTTGACTGATCCTCATGGCAACATTTTGAATTTAGGGCATAAATCCAAATGTGGAAGGCTACAGTTAAATTTTCACAATGAAAACTCTTTCTTGCACTTATCCCATATAACCAATTCCATATTTGCTTGCATTTTTAATGACCTAACGAAATGCTATAGTTAGATTGTCCTAAAACTTGGCACACATAATATATTTTTAAAGAAATCAGCAAATGAAACTAGGAGTACAGTACCCACATTTTTTACAAATGCTTTTCATCCTCCATAACGGCTTGTCAAAGCTATTTTATTGAAATGAATTATGCGCATGTATGAAATAAATTTAAAATTAACACAGGGCAGTTTCTCAATGAGTTGGCTTATCATCTGCTTTGTGAAAAGATACAATAAATTAAAATCCTCAAAAAAATAAAAGAACTTGATGCCTCTATCAGTGATTGCGAGAGTTAATTCCACTGTGATGTTTTAAGAAATGTAACGCTCTAAACATTGATCACAATTTTCGACACAACTAGCATGGTTTTGCAGTTCTGTAGTATAGTTTTTGACCAAATAACAACTAACTTTTAGAAGCAATCCTTGGCCTTATAGATTGGATTTTAGCCATTTTGGTTTGTTTTACATTTATGCTTTTGGTTAGATTAAACATTTTCTCATTTAAGATGTTTTTCTTTATATGGGAATTACCTCCCCTTTTGTCAGCTCTTCTTTTCACCATGCAAAATTTTAAGAAGTGTTCTTTTCAGCAAAACTTGGTCCTACAGTCTGTCAGGCTGGGCTGTTACTTTGCTATTTTCATGGAAAAATAACTAGACAATCCAGATGTAGAAGATTCTTTCTTCTACATTGGTCACGATAGAACTTGCACAAAAAAAGCAATCAGCTGCAACGTCCATATATGTTTTTCATTTGGTTTAAAGCATTGAGACACTCCCTCATTATGAAAATGATCTGCTCCTAAGAAAATGATAAAGCAAATAAATTCTAGAAAACTTGGAAGAATCCATACGATATTGAGGGTGTGTCGAAATTTCGTGTTGTACCTTCATTTGTACATGTCTTTCAAAAATTGTCAAATCAACAGCCTGGCTCACACACATAACAGCTTTTAACAATCTTGGCTTTTGAAGAAAAAGAGAGGTCAAACTTCCTTCTTTGACCTATGAACTTTGACCTATGACCTTCGACCATATGAAATCCTAATAAGTGCCTACGTTATTTCAGGAAAAGGACAAGAAATACATGCTGCCTTTGGACAGTATCAAGCTTCGCGATGTTGAAGCTGGCATCTTTTCGCGTCACCCTACCTTCGCGCTATTAAGCTCTGAGAATAGGTATATCTCTATCCTCTATTTAACCTCTGCTCTCTTTTTTTATATCACTTTCTTTTTTGTCGTCCATCTTGTCTGAACTGTATGTTATCAAAAGGGATTTTGTGTAGTCTGTGTCCAAAACATTTCTTTTCAGATCTAAATTGTAGGAAGCAATCTCCATTGTTGATTAAAGGGATTGTAAAGAGGCTTTCTAAATTTTTAATGTGTATAGGGGGACACGTATAGTATCAATTTGCAGACTAAGCGATTTATAGATGTCACTAATAGGCTATAACACAGAAGGCCCCTGTGTTTAGTGATGTCATCAAACATTTAGTTTAAGTAGAATTGCAGGAACCACAGACGTCTAATTGAAAATTGGAATGACCAAAATTGATGTTATCAGTATCCCCGATACATACACATAATTTACAAAACCTTTTTACAATCCCTTTAAGTCAAATTATTTTACCTTTTGTAGTGATCAATCAACCTGTGAAACATTTATATTTGATAGGCAAAAAAAAACTTTTGTTTATGAAGATCATTTCTTCCATTTGGAGTTTAGTTAAATCTAAAGGACACATAATAACCAAATTTCATAGTTATTATGAATATATAATTATATACCAACAGTTGGGCATTTTGAGAATTCAAGTTCAACTTGGAGAAATATGGGGAAATTCACAAAAACCTGAGATGACAAGAAAAGAAGTGATAAAAAGAGAGCTTTAGATGTAGTCTGCTTGCCTTTGTCTTTTCATGTCTGTCACTGAACTAATATATTAATATTGTAGCTTTTCTTGTTTAGTTAGTTTTAGCCACATTACACAATGCACCTGCAGGTTATCATGTGACAGTCATGTGACTTAGTAACAGGCATGTGACCTAGTAACAGGCATGTGACCTAATAACAGCCATGTGACCAAGTAAAAGTCATGTGACCAAGTAAAAGTCATGTGACAGTCATTTCTGGGAAGTCTACCTCACAGATAGTGGACTGTCTACTCCAGTTTGAGGTAATTTAAGCAGTAATAACCTTGCCTTGTTGTCATTTATTGTGTCATACCTCTCAGTGGATGTAGTGGACCGTTCCCCAGATGTACATTGATGTCTTTGGCAGCCTTAAAAGTCAAGAGTGAAATAGTGTCTTTAAATAGATCACATGACTGTCACATGATATCTATTGTTGCATATAATTTTCTTTCAGCTAATGTTTTCATCATTGTCCATGAACATGCCATTATTTGCATAAATTCTATGAATAGTTATATTCCAATTTATTTTTGCGAATTCGCACATCTTGGTTTGGCAGAAGTTCAACTCAATAATGAAATTAATTGCATGTCAAAAGTTTGCTGTCTTTTTCATTTTCAGACATGAACATGCAACAGGAAGCAAACTTAATGGCATGTTTTGGTTATGAATAACCTCCCCTTACACCTTGCATGTAGCTATGGTTACGGCTTTTATGTTGTTCCATGCATGGTGATAGGTCTATGGTAATGGCTCTTCTTCTATGTTCTGTTTTTCGTCTAGGAGAAGGATAAGAAGTACATGTTGCCGTTAGATGGATTAACAATTCGTGATATGGAGGCAGGGTTTATGTCACGAAAAATTAGTTTTGCTCTATCCAGTCTTGAGCAAAGGTAGTCCTGATTAGTCAAGTCCCATCAGTGATTCAAATGTATCATGATTTCTTCTTCACATGTGCAATAATTGTTAAACAATTTTGAAAATGGCAAAATCTCTTTAAATATTTTGAAAAATCTGGATCTTTTATATGCTAAATTTGCTTGAATTGCATGGTTTGATTAAAGTTAAAATTCAAAGTTAAAATTTTACTGAAGCAGCTGTGGAAATGAAATTCAGCTTATGAAACATTTGTATCCTGATTCTGCCACGCTATACATCCTTGACCTTTACACTGACCTTGAAACTAAAATCCGACCAATAGCTATTCAGTTATTGGTTTTATACACATTCATGCACTGATCATTAACAATTTGTCAACATGCATGGATTATCTACCTTTGAAAGCAGATGTAAAAATAATCTTCTATTTTCTTCTTTCGTCTGCGATATCCGTTAAAGGAAGCGGACATCAACCAAAGAGTTCAAAATAGGATTTTAAAGGGTTCTCAATTGTCACACCACTTGATGACTTTAACTTTGGCTGTATTGTGGTAAAATTAGCATTGATTTAAGCTGAATTAGAAACAAAAGCCCCACTTTCGACCAATTTCTTTCCCCCTATTGTAGCCTTTATCGTCTTGTCCCACTTATTCTGCACACCATGGCAACAAAGACAGGAGAAAACTGGACGTCAGAGACTAACCTTAAACTTCTCAATAGATCATTCATGCTCTTCAAAGGTAGATAACTCTCAATGTATGTTGACACTAGCAGCAAGCAGACGTCAAATGGTAAGTGTGCATTTTTAAGCAATTTGTTGGCTATTTTCTGGCAAATTTTTAGGAAACTGAGAAGAGATATATGTTGCCTTTAGACGGTTTAGGAATCCGTGATGTGGAGGGTGGATTATTTTCTTCAAAACGTTTTGCTTTATATAACTCCAATGTAAGGTAGGTATGGCAACCAAGATTTGGGGTACAGCAGTCATTTGCATGCTTGACTCAAAAATAGCGACCAATTCTAGCAATTCGTTTGGTCAATCATTGTTATTGATACCTGTATTAATTTTATTAACCAATCAGAGCGCAGTATTTCCAAAAATTGATATAAAGATAGCAAGGCATGAGTATAAATGTAGTAAATGTGTTTAGATAAGTGTTTAGCTGAAGAACTTATATGGCACCCTTTTTCAGCCTCCTTTTTGAAGAGCAATCATTTCAAAATGTCTTAATGAGCTAGTTGGCAAGAAGAACATATAAAGTCCAATTTGACTACTATAATCGATTAGCATAGCTGAACGTTCTCGTTTCTGAGAACAAGGTACGATTAACACCAAAAAATGGCGAATCTGTCCCTTTAAAGTCAAATGTCTGTGTATTGAGATCAATTTCCAAGCATTATCCATCAATGTTCAAATCAATGAATTATAGCCAGTAAGACATTTGTACAAGTATTTTTGAGCTATATACGTTTTTTTTATCTTCATCTTGATATCCAATTAAAGGGGGAGTATGCACCATTTTCAAAATAAAAGATCTGTTAAAAAAGCAAGTCTGCAAGGATTCAGATTTATCTATTTTTGTTAATATTTTGAAATTATTCCTGCTTTTTCAATTTATGTTTAAAGAGGGGATAATAATCATTCTTCAATTTGTTATAACTTTTAAAAAGATAGTCTCTTTAAACTTTGTTTTAGAAATTTCAAAATACCAAATAAATCAACATACTCCATATTTAATTGCATAATTTTCCAATTTTATGGCTTAATTTATTATCTATGAGTAATATGGGTATAAATATTAAAGCCGAACTAGTGACCAGTAAATGCATTATACCAGTTTGAATTTTTTTACTCTTTTGAATGACGGTGTATTTCGCTCATTTTTGGAGATTTAAATCTTTTAAAAAAAAAAGAAACAATTCTGATAAAGACATGTTTGTTTTTTAATTAAATTACATTTAAAAATGTTTTAAGACTTGAATTTTGGAATGCATCAAGAGTAAATCAGTAAATTTGGTAAATATTTTTTGTTATAGAAATGTATATAAGGATTACAAACAATTAGAGTTATCAGCTGAAAGCCAAGAAGAGGTGGACAGCTGGAAAGCTTCGTTCTTACGAGCTGGAGTTTACCCAGAAAGATCAAAAGATGATTCAGGAAGCGTAAGTCATTATTTTGATATTGATAAGCATAATAGCGAGTGTTTGAGGTCGTTTTGGCTAAGTTTGTAAGGTGCTTGTTCCCAGACCCGAACGCCATTTTGAATTTACGAACACTTGCAAAAAGATGTAATGGAGAAATCACTTGGACTGTACAAAGTGTGTCATCCATTTGACACCCCTCAATTTGTAATGAACTCTTCCACACATGCATACTTTCTATCTGTACATGTATGATTGGAAGAGTTCATTAGTAAAATAAGGGGTGTTCTCTGAATTTCATGCTGTTTATGATATTGTGATAATCTTCATTGTAGGTGCAGCAAGATGTAGGTTCAATGGATCCACAGTTAGAAAGACAAGTTGAAACAATCCGTAATCTGGTAGATTCCTACATGAAAATCATCAACAAAACACAGAGAGACTTAATTCCTAAAACCATCATGTATATGATTGTCAATAATGTAAGTATGATAGTGGGTTAGATTGAAGGATCATGGTGGGCTGGGGCAGACTGAAGGGTCAGAGGGCTGGTACAGACTGGTGGGTCAGAGGGCTGGGACAGACTGGTGGGTCAGGAGGACTGGTACAGATTGAAGGATCAGGAGGGCTGGGACAGACTGATGGGTCAGGAGGACTGAGACAGACTGATGGGTCAGGAGGGCTGGGGCAGACTGATGGATCAGGAGGGCTGGGACAGACTGAAGGATCAGGAGGGCTGGGACAGACTGAAGGATCAGGAGGGCTGGAACAGACTGAAGGATCAGGAGGGCTGGGACAGACTGAAGGATCGGGAGGGCTGGGACAGACTGAAGGATCAGGAGGGCTGGGACAGACTGAAGGATCAGGAGGGCTGGGACAGACTGATGGGTCAGGAGGGCTGGGACAGACTGATGGGTCAGGAGGACTGGTACAGACTGATGGGTCAGGAGGACTGGTACAGACTGGTGGGTCAGGAGAGCTGGTACAGACTGATGGGTCAGGGGGGCTGGTACAGACTGATGGGTCAGGGGGATTGACACAGACTGAAGGGTCAAGCAAGTTGGGACAAACAGAGGGGTCAAGCAGGCTCAGACAGACTGAAGGGTTAGGTGGGCTGGGACAGACTGATGGGTCAAGGGGGCTGGTCAGACTGAAGGGTCAGGTGGACTGGGACAGACTGATGGGTCAGGGAGACTGGGACAGACTGATGGGTCAGGAGGACTGGCACAGACTGGTGGGTCAGGAGAGCTGGTACGGACTGGTGGGTCAGGGGGGCTGGTACGGACTGATGGGTCAGGGGGCTGGTACAGACTGATGGGCCAGGGGGACTGACACAGACTGAAGGGTCAAGCAAGTTAAGAAAAACAGAGTGGTCAAGCGGGCTCAGACAGACTGAAGGGTTAGGTGGGCTGGGACAGACTGATGGGTCAAGGGGGCTGGTCAGACTGAAGGGTCAGGTGGACTGGGACAGACTGATGGGTCAGGGAGACTGGGACAGACTGATGGGTCAGGGGGGCTGGTACGGACTGGTGGGTCAGGGGGGCTGATACGGACTGATGGGTCAGGGGGGCTGGTACAGACAGGTCTTGCAGGCATGCATGGAGAATAGTCTCCAATCCTGATATGTAAATAGATATTGTTTATACAAAAAAAGCTTGGTGCCTGCTTAATGACCTTGTAAACAATATGGCTGCATATGTAACTAATAGTTTTTTTTATATTCTTAATTCTTAAGTTTTGAGACTTTGAATTTCAGGTAAAAGATTTCATTGGTTCAGAATTATTAGCTCATCTTTATTCATCAGGAGATCAGGTAATATTTTAAGTTTAAAGGTAAATCTAGCATAGAAGCATTTGATTGGTTGAATATTAAATGACTTAGTACAAGAGATGCATGTAAATTTCATCAGATTATGGATGGTAAAAAACATGAATGGAAACATCTACATTTTAATCAGATTGAGAGAGTGTAGGACATAAGATATGAAACATAATATCCAGATTTGCATTTTGATTGGAGGGTAACCCACAAAAAAAAAATAAAACAAAACATCCAAATTTGAATTTTGATTGGATCATAATGGTCTCATTTCAGTCGTCAATGATGGAGGAATCTCCTGAAGAATCTGTGAGAAGAGAAGAGATGTTAAGAATGTACCACGCTACCAAGGAGGCGTTACAACTTATAGGGGACGTGTCTACCACAACAGCCTACACCCCAACTCCGCCTCCTGTCAACAATGATTGGCTAAACCCTGAGGCTAATAATAATGGCTCTGGTGGTGGCCAACCCTTTAATGGGTAGGTTCAATACTTTCATTGGTCAACACCTATTTCAATTTTTGGTAACATTAAAAAAAAGGGGTGTGTCTACACACAAGCCACGCCTCATATCAATAAACAATGGCTTAATAATGATAGTGGTCAACCTTTTATGTAGGTTCACATTGGGTGTAAATGAAAAGGGGTGTGTCTACACATACATCAGCCCACCCTCCTTGTCTTAGGATCAGCCATGGGTGTGCAAGTCAATTTGACCTCTATCCTTTGATTCAGTAGGTCTATATTTTATCAATTGAAAATCTTTTTTTTCAGACGGCCAGCCTCACCAATGAGGCAGAGAGCGGCACCATCTATTCCTAATCGTGGCGGAGATCAACCATTAATGCCTGGTCGTCCAGCACCTTCTATACCCAATCGACCAGCCCCTTCAGCACCTCTTATTCCAACGTAAGTGATATTTTTTTTCTGGATCTGAAGAACAATTTTATTGATGGCTGTGGCTCAATTCTATAAGATGTTTGCATCTTGATGTCATTTGTCTTGTATGCAGTTCATTTGAGTGTGTGCATTGTCTTATTTTCATGTGTAATATTTGGTTCTGGGAGGGCTGTAGTTGAATTTGATGAAGTGTTTGCTTAATGAAGTCATTTTTCTAATATAAGAATGATATTTTTGATCTATTGATAGCAAGTGAGGTTTTTGAGCTTTGTCAAAATTAGGCATCTGAAACCAATCAATGCCACCGTATATAAAAGTACTGGCCCAGGACACAAAGTAGGCTATTCAGTAAGCTTACATTTTAATTTTTTTTTTTTTTTCAGTCGACCAGGCAGTATGAAGCCAGCACCTAAAATTCCAGATCGACCCCGATAATAGCTTGGCATTGTGGGATAGTCATAGTTTATGCAAATTAGGTTAATTATTTATTGACAATATAATGATAATAATCAAATATCACCATAGAAACCATGTAAATATGTGTATAGATAGAAAATGATATAGATAGCTTGTTTTGATTGGTCAAAAATATTTCATGGGGGGTGAGGGATGTGCCCTTATTTTGAAATTTTATGTCTGCCACACATTATTAGGATAGGACAAATTTTAAGGGGCAATAAAAATTACATTAACATAAACCAATTTGCAAATGTTCGAGAAAAATGAAGAAATTGCTTATATTTTGGGACAAAATTATTTTTCTTTACAAACCAAAAATAAACATATTGCTTTGGATTTGTAGTAAATGCTTCAAATGTTTGTACAAAACTCAACAAAAATCGTAAAAAAGTGTAAAGAATTTCTGTAATTTTTGTACAAAATGGCAAAATGTAAAGAATTTTTAAATATGAAAAGCTTGTATTACTTAACTGGAATTATTTGTATTTTTCATATTGGCAGTTTGTTTTGCATAATTTATAGAAAAATGGATGAAAATGTCTTGTAAAGTATGTATATTTTGAAAACTTGTTAATTTGAAGCAAAGATATTTTTGCAGATTAGAGGACTATTCGAAACATACACAGGAACAGCCCACTTTCTTTTAAGGTAGTGCAGGTATAGATTCTATTACTACTTACTCCACCTCGATCATAATAGACTATTCCTGTTTGTTTTGAATTGACCTCAGATGTGCTGAAATATCTGTGTTACACTAAACTTTTATATATTTATTCATATATATTCACTTCACAAACTTTGATCATGTTTATCACTTAATGGGTGTGACTACAAAATTTCAAGACTTCCGATTTGTTAATGTCATCATTGCATTGATGTCAATCAATCAGTGAAATGATCATTGGATTAAAACTAACCAATCAGAAATCCTTTTACTACTACCTGAAAATAATGTGTTGATCTATTTTGGTCATACAAATGGGATTTTTCATTAAATTTGTGCAATACACCCACATTATAATTGGATATCAAAATCAAGCAACTGAACATGCCAAAATTCTTTGTGATATACATGTTTCATTCAAAGAGACTTTGATATTTTGCAGTGATTAGTTGACTAACTTGTAAGGTGTTTTCTATTGGCTTGAGCTGCATGTTGATTCAAAGTGTCCTCATAATATATGTAAATTAACTTTGAATATGTAAATTTGTCATTAATATGTAAATAGATCATGAATATTCGTAACAAAATTATAAATCTAAAATTGTAAAAGTTACGTGATTTTTGATGCAGCCATTTTGTATTTGCTAGTGACCTATTTGTAATTTGGAGTTACCATTTTGTAAGTTGGTTTGTACCATTTTGTATTTGGAAGTGACCACTTTGTAATTTGGTCTCTACCAATTTGTAGTTGGAAGTAACCAATTTGTAATTTGGAGTGACCATTTTGTAAGTTGGTCTCTACCAATTTGTATTTGAAGTGAACATTTTGTAATTTGGTTGGTACCAGTTTGCATTTGCTAGTGACCAATTTGTAATTTGGAGTTACCATTTTGTAAGTTGGTTTGTACCAATTTGCATTTGGAAGTGACCATTTTGTATTTGAAGTGAACATTTGTATTTTAGTATCATTCATCTTAAGGGTATAAATGTTAAAAATGTGCAGCTTTTAGTGAAAATTTATAACGAAATAATTGTTGTTCTGTCACATAATTAATTATATGCGCATATTTTAAACACAGGGCACGTTTAGGTCAGAAAATCAGAATATTTGACAAAGTCTGAAATTGGTGGGAATTGAACAGTAGGGGCACCAGCCTTCCAGGAAGGGGGGTACAGATTGACTTAATGGAAGGACAACTTGTCGAGGTTGAGATTCAAAATGCATCAGCTCTAAAGAAGCGCAGAGGCACATGCTGCTCATGGAACCTCTGGGGGAGTTTTGACACACATTTTAGACAAAAATCATTTTTTTAGGGTAGCAAATGCCCCCTTTGTGTCAAATATTTTGATTTTCTAAGTAGAGTGCCAATATAGTAGATAGAAAATATATTATATTATAATATGCTGTGTTAGTTAGAATATGTGTGTTATAACTTGTATAGACCCATCTAGATGAATTAAATGAGTACAAATCAGGGACAAGGGTTCAATACTAATACCCAGCTCGTATACCCTTGTGAAATCAAGTTAGTGTAAATTTGATTCAGCTTTAGAATTTTAAATTAGAGAAGGTGGAGAGATGGCTCTGTGTTTTTTGGTGAAGAAAACTTTTTTTATTAGTGGAATTTTCTTCAAGAATAGGACAATGACGTCATATTTTCTTTGTTTTTTTATTTTAAGCACAGTATAAAGTCAGAAGGGTGATTTGAATTATTTATATGCTTTATACCTGGTGCAAACTGTTACATTTAAAAAGGGATACATGTCAATCAAAAGTTGTTTTACATGCAAAAATATGGCATTGGTTTCTGTGGACATGATTGTAATATGTTTTACACTGAAGTTCTTTACATTGTAAGTCACAATCTTTTTTCCATCCATCTTTGTTTTGTAAACTTAAATCATGTTTTGTTTCAGTTTTTTTTGGTGATTGACTTCCTGTAGTTTATTCTGCTTATAAAAAAACAATGGCTTATCTGATTGCCTTCGTGATTGAAATTGATGTTGATTTTTCAAATTGTTTATGTTTTGTTTGATTAAGATTTTGTAAATGATATGGTCGGTCATGCTAAAGAGGGTCCGATTTGAAATAAAATGCCTGTTGCCTGATCTAGAGATGAATCATAAAAAGGAAATCTGGCAACAGTTGATCCAAAAGAAATCAGGCAATAAGAATCTAGCAACAGGCAACCAGTAAAAAATAATGTGTATTAATTTATAGTAGCTTTAATGTTTATGGTAGTTTTAATGTGTAATATTTTATAGTAGCTTTAATGTTTATGGTAGTTTTAATGTGTATTAATTTATAGTAGCTTTAATGTTTATGGTAGTTTTAATGTGAAATAATTTATGGTAGCTTTAATGTTTATGGTAGTTTTAATGTGTATTAATTTATAGTAGCTTTAATGTTTATGGTAGTTTTAATGTGAAATAATTTATGGTAGCTTTAATGTTTATGGTAGTTTTAATGTGTATTAATTTATAGTAGCTTTACTGTTTATGGTAGTTTTAATGTGTATTAATTTATAGTAGCTTTAATGTTTATGGTAGTTTTAATGTGTATTAATTTATAGTAGCTTTAATGTTTATGGTAGTTTTAATGTGTAATAATTTATGGTAGCTTTAATGTGAAATAATTTATGGTAGCTTTAATGTGTATGGTAGCTTTAATGTGTAATATTTTATAGTAGCTTTAATGTGTAATATTTTATGGTAGCTTTAATGTGTAATAATTTATGGTAGCTTTAATGTGTATTAATTTATAGTAGCTTTAATGTTTACGGTAGTTTTAATGTGAAATATTTTATGGTAGCGTTAATGTGTAAGATTTTATAGTAGCTTTAATGTTTAATAATTTTTGGTAGCTTTAATGTATATATTTTCTCTTTAAAGCTACCATGAAATTTCGAGCATCTGGACGGGCATCTTTAAAGCAACCATGAAATTTCGGGCCTCTTTACGACCCTCTTAAAAGCTACCATGAAATTTCGAGTTCTTTAAAGCTACCAGAAAATTTCGGGCCTCTTTACGGGCCTCTTTAAAGCTACTAGGAAATGAACAGCCTTCTTTAAAGCTACCATGAAATTTGGAGCCTCTGTACGGGCCTCTTTGAAGCTACCATGTAAATTCGGGCCTCTTTAAAGCTACCATGAAATTTCAGGCCTCTTTAAAGCTAGCATGAAATTTCGGGCCTCTGTATGGGCCCCTTTAAAGCTACCATAAAATTTCGGGCCTCTTTAAAGCTACCATGAAATCTTGGGCCTCTTTAAAGCTACCATGAAATTTCGGGCCTCTTTTAGCTGCTATGAAATTTCGGGCCTCTTTAAAGCTACCATGAAAATTCGGGCCTCTTTACAGGCCTCTTTAAAGCTACCATGAAATTTGGGCCTCTTTACGGGCCTCTTTAAAGCTACCATGAAATTTCGGGCCTCTTTAAAGCTACCATGAAATTTCGGGCCTCTTTACAGGCCTCTTTAAAGCTACCATGAAATTTCGGGCCTCTTTAAATCTACCATGAAATTTCGGGCCTCTTTAAAGCTACCATGAAATTTCGGGCCTCTTTACGGGCCTCTTTAAAGCTACCATGAAATTTCGGGCCTCTTTAAAGCTACCATGAAATTTCGGGCCTCTTTAAAGCTACCATGAAATTTCAGGCCTCTTTAAAACTACCATGAAATTTCGGGCCTCTTTAAAGCTACCATGAAATTTTGGGCCTCTTTAAAGCTACCATGAAATTTCGGGCCTCTTTACGGGCCTCTTTAAAGCCACCATGAAATTTCGGGCCTCTTTACGGGCCTCTTTAATGCTACCATGAAATTTCGGGCCTCTTTAATCTACTATGAAATTTCGGGCCTCTTTAGAGCTACCATGAAATCTTGGGCCTCTTTAAAGCTACCATGAAATTTTGGGCCTCTTTAGAGCTACCATGAAATCTTGGGCCTCTTTAAAGCTACCATGAAATTATGGACCTCTTTAAAGCTACCATGAAATTTCGGGCCTCTTTAGAGCTACCATGAAATCTTGGGCCTCTTTAAAGCTACCATGAAATTTCGGGCCTCTTTACAGGCCTCTTTAAAGCTACCATGAAATTTTGGGCCTCTTTAAAGCTACCATGAAATTTCGGGCCTCATTAAAGCTACCATGAAATTTCGGGCCTCTTTAAATCTACCATGAAATTTCGGGCCTCTTTAAAGCTCCCATGAAATTTCGGGCCTCTTTACAGGCCTCTTTAAAGCTACCATAAAATTTCAGGCCTCTTTAAAGCTACCATGAAATTTCGGGCCTCTTTAGAGCTACCATGAAATTTCGGGCCTCTTTACAGGCCTCTTTAAAGCTACCATGAAATTTCGGGCCTCTTTAAAGCTACCATGAAATTACGGGCCTCTTTACGGGCCTCTTTAAAGCCACCATGAAATTTCGGGCCTCTTTACGGGCCTCTTTAAAGCTACCATGAAATTTCGGGCCTCTTTAATCTACTATGAAATTTCGGGCCTCTTTAGAACTACCATGAAATCTTGGGCCTCCTTAAAGCTACCATGAAATTACGGGCCTCTGTATGGGCCTCTTTATAGCTACCATGAAATTTCGGGCCTCTTTAATCTACTATGAAATTTCGGGCCTCTTTAGAGCTACCATGAAATCTTGGGCCTCTTTAAAGTTACCATGAAATTTCGGGCCTCCTCACGGGCCTCTTTAAAGCTACCATGAAATTTTGGGCCCCTTCATTGGCCTCTTTAAAGCTACCATGAAATTTAGGGCCTCTTTAAAGCTACCATGAAATTTCGGGCCTCTTTAAAGCTACCAGGAAATTATGGTCCTCTTTAAAGCTACCATGAAATTTCGGGCCTCTTTAGAGCTGCTATGAAATTTCGGGCCTCTTTAAAGCCACCATGAAATTTCGGGCCTCTTTACGGGCCTCTTTAAAGCTACCCTGAAATTTCGGGCCTCTTTAATCTACTATGAAATTTCGGGCCTCTTTAGAGCTACCATGAAATCTTGGGCCTCTTTAAAGCTACCATGAAATTTCGGGCCTCCTCACGGGCCTCTTTAAAGCTACCATGAAATTTTGGGCCTCTTCATTGGCCTCTTTAAAGCTACCATGAAATTTAGGGCCTCTTTAAAGCTACCATGAAATGTAGGGCCTCTTTAAAGCTACCATGAAATTAAAGGCCTCTTTAAAGCTACAATGAAATTTTGGGCCTCTTTAAAGTTACCTTGAAATTATGGGCCTCTTTAAAGCTACCTTGAAATTATGGGCCTCTTTAGAGCTACCGTGAAATTTCGGGC